TTGAGATTTTTCACATTTACCGGGCCAGATTCCCACATGCACATGTTCCACGTTTTTGATATCTCGTCCCTTCTTTCTGGTGCTTATCTCTCGTTGACTCACTTTATGTGATAGTGCATCTTGCGCAAGAATAGGTCCTCTACATCAGCGTTCCTTGTCCGCGATGCTCTCAGCTTAATTGCTGCCTTCGGCTGTCTTTAGCCGAGGGGACTATTGGTTTTATATAATAGCTATATTTTCAATTATAGTATATCAGTTCTATCTTCTTGTAATATGATGTATATGTACATGTAACTGTTCTGTTTCACTGTGTCTTGATAAAGGCGCGGATCGCTCCGAAAATTTGACAACCTAAACTTGTCCACACTGTTGGAATTACTTCTTTGCCCCATATATATATACATACATATGCCATTACCAAGAACCTAAATTCAATAAGCACGCTTATACTCGCACTACATACTTATGCACTTCATAACCATGAAAATAATATAAATACACCCTTGTCTTTAATATTCATATACTGTACTCTAGTATACACCGAGAACAAAAGTATTTTATTGTATATCCCAATGCATCATATCTACACATCCTTGTATTCGACAAACTATATCATGCACACGTGTACTGTATTTAATCTGCACAAAATATACCCTATATTCAATAAGCATAATGTTAATTCAAAATACACAAATTATATTCAATATACCCTAAAATATACAAGCATCTTTATATTCAATAAGTACTTAGTTTAGCTATGAATAAATATACAGTATAACTACATTATATTCTTACATTCCATAAGCACGAACTATATATTAATAATCCGTTATATCCAAAATTTATATACCATATCTATGTATTTATTCAGTTTCAGCACACTCTATATCATTGCGTGGATATCATATTCAATATTCGCACAATACAACCATATATTCGACGAATACAATTATTATATCTTATATTAATTTCAATTATATACAATAGGCCATTCAATAATAGCCTGATTATTCCAGTAGCCATATTTTCAAATAGCATCATCTTTATCATATACATATACCTATTTACACATCCATTATGTCGTTATAAAGTGCATCATTGTATAACTGTACAGACAATTGAATGGATCAAGTCATAACTCCGGTCATCATGAAATAACCAAATAGTATATATCTTATAACATGCCAAATATGGATATGCAAAATGAACGTATTCCTATCTATATTTTAGATGTATTTTTTTATACTAAGATATGCATTAAAGCCAAATTAACTTTTCCAATTTCACCTTTTGCACATCATAACACTATCATCCAGTATCATTTCAAATGTATGTTCCGGTATCACACAGTTATCATTTTTTATTCCATTGTACATATTTTCAAGTATATATACATATTACCATATACATATCTTCCATAAACATTTTACGTATATACAGATACAGAAAATTAGAAACCGTATACCCACCTATAACATTTGGCACGTAATTGCATGGATTTTTTTTATATGCCTCATATGTACTTTTCACGGATCATATTAAATCTATCAAGATACGAGTTACCGATATTTGTATACACTCAATATAGTATATAGTTAGTAAGGTTTCATATACTCTGACTTAATATTGGTCGTTATATATTTGTGTATAAATCATACGGTTAGGTCTTAATAAACCAAAGGCTTAGAGGAAAGGAAATTGTAATGCAATATTTAGTTGCTCATTTTCCTTGAAATTGTAGTGCGAAGTTATGCATGTCCTTCAAAGAATTTATACGTATATGTATTATTGCTTGTTTCATCAGTCAATATCTTGTTCTTCCTTCACTTTTTTTCCGGAAATTGTACAAGAATGCAAATGTTCGCATCATATTTTGAAGGTACCTTTGGCGTATTTTGAATTTTGTAGAATCTCAACCCAGTTTTGTCGAAGAATCACTTACCTCTTCAGCACTTTTCAAAACCTCAAACCAAAAACCCAAAAAATCAAATCAATGCGGAACTTAAATATTCAATAACATTTTGGCTACAGCTAAATTAAACTCCAGTTTTCATTGCATTACTATATATTCCAGTACATTATAACAGGTTACCACAAGCTTAACAGATACAGTTATAGCAAAGTTATACGTGTAGTAAAGGTGTTATAATCTGTTATTATTTGAGACTATAAACTGTCACATCATACTCATTAATTGTTCATCTGTTAAGCCTCGACATACAGTGGGACTTCCATTAATTCAAATAACGCCTATCTTGCATTATTGTTTGTACTTTGACTAATGATGGTCACGCTGTCTTTTATTTTTCCGGCACTTCGATTACTGGTGGTTCCGAAATTATTACCGGGTGCGCTGAGATACCAGAACCAAAAACATATAAAAAAAAAATCCTTTTAAAATAAATCTAACTTGAGTAAATGGTTAATGTGTTCTGAGTAACAAGGAGATTTAGTAGTAATATTGTTGTTAATAACATATGATATAGGCACATGATGTTTAGCGATGTGTTTAACAATTAGGAACAACGTATCGAACGTTTTTATACACTAAATGTATAGTTTACTGCTCCCAAATGTATGTATTCTAAATATATCAAGAAACAATTATGAAGCTAATAGCTCAATAAATAGATCGAATTGTTTGGTTCAAGATTGTTACTTTGTATATCAATGTATACAAATTGAATTAAAATGCTTTTGCGAACAAATAAAGCATTTAATCAAGATTTCTTCTGCATCTTTTTTTTCCTGAATGTCGAAGAAAATTGACAAATATGCTTATCTTCATAATAACTTTGTAGACATTTCATGAACACAAAAATAAGAGTACCCAGGAATTTGCATACTTTTTATTGTTCAAGGGATATGTATATTTGCTCTCACCTCACATTCAATATGTATGCTTGTATGCAAGTTTTATATAATTAGCATTTACACTTCTGTCACAGTTATACTCACAAAAAACAAAAGTTCAAAGAAATTAAAATGTGAAAATCAAACAAATCATATTTTGTAAGAAGCAAAGAAAATATATCAAAATCCTTACAACCTCGATTCCAAATGTTTCATAGGGTAAATAACTTTTTAACGAAATTTTCTATTTATCTTAAAATTAAAAAATAAATCTCTTTTGATAATATAAAAACTCAAAACACCAGACCACTGGCCATTCTGCTTTGACTTTTATGACAACTTATCTTGATATTAGTTACAAGTCGTACACAAACTTTTTTTCGTATTCCCATCATTTGTCGAGTATAACTGTATACTGTTCTCTGATATTTATAATCCGAACTTCCATTTTAAGTTAAGAATTCTGACTATTTTTGACAAAAGAAACTTGTTTCATGAACATACAAAGTCGTTGTAGTCTCACATCGAAAAAGGACTTGAATAAAACATTAATTTTACCCTGGCTTCATACAGGGGTCTTGGTCAACTACATTCACTTCTCCAAACCGAAACCTTCTAAAACCATTCATATGTTTTATTCCTACGCATGGCCGGTTTTGAGAAATCCTAGTAATCTATTACAGTTTGCCCCATTACAGTGATGGTATTATGATTTATCTCAGTATAATGATAATGATGAATTACTAGCCTATCACACAAAACCAAAAATCAACGTCAGACCTGAATCGGGAAGTTATAGTATCTTGTCACAGATAAGTACACGGACTCATCTTTTATTATTTACGATTTATTTTTGCAATAAACCTTTATATATTAATTTTGGCACGGCTTATTGACCTAAGTCGACCGAGGTAGAATAGTTCACACGTTCATAGTTTCACAAAAGCATCAATTTCTTTATAACAAAGTCGTTAGGAACATGAAAATAGACAAACGAAATATTTGATAGATACATAAGACCATACACTTTATATTATTTCATAACTTTAAAGCATTGTGCTAGTCCAAAACAAACCTTGATCGGAAGCCAAACATCGGACATTTTAATGATTTCGCTATTGTGATAAATCAAAATCGAAATGAAATCATTATGCATTTGGAGGATTTTATCACACCACCAAGTGAAAAGTTATATATAAAACATTGATTTAGAGTTCGTTCTATATCTAGAACAATATCAGTTGATCCAGTGATCCAGTAGGAGATCTTGAGAGCTTTTGTTTCAAACAGCAGACATTTATTCCTGAGTGTAAGTTCTGTTTACCTGTTCAGCAGACAATTATCAAAAGTTTTACGCAAGAGCTCGTTGCAAATATCAAGTTACCCAGTTATCAAACTCCCAGTAAAAATGTTCTACATGTGAGCCGGAGTGGTCACTTTAGAAAAGTCTTACAAAATAAATGTCTTAGACAATGGTATAACTTAACTCGGTCAGCAGACACACAATTAAAGTCTTACTTAGGTTCTCGACGGCAATATCACTTTACCCGTCAAGCAGATACACAATCAACGTTGTACCATAGGAGAGCATTGCAACAATGTGAACTCCGAAGATGATCTTGAAACAGGTAAAATTTGGCTGTAAAGAAAAAGAAAAACAAACAATAGCGCATATGACTAAAATGTTGAAACATCGTATAAATGCGTCGTTAATCTATCTAATATTTAGGAATTCTCTGTACCATTCTTGGCTTTTGTAATTTATCACATTAGTGAGAAAGTCACATCAATTATAAATAGGGCGGCTTGAATATTTTAGAAGTATTTTCAAAACTTCGAAATACGAATATTGACTCACATATTTTGCACATAGTTTACGTATATCTGATCACTTACAGTACCGGCTTCCTCCTCATCGGTTAAGCTAATATTAGCTGCAAACTCATCTGTTTCATTGCTCAATCGTGCTGAAGAAGACAAGCATCAAACATATATATTTATTTTAACAGCAATACATTGATATGATGCCTCTGGATTCATTTGCTACTTTGTTTACCATAATTTTTCTTCAAATTTTTGTTTTCGTTTTCCTGCTAAAGTCAATATGATCAATATACTTTGTTATCAGAACCCTTTATGACACAATGGTATTGTCAGACAAATGATGCCGGTAGTTTAATGTAAACGACACATTGCATCCATGTATTATCACGTTTATGGTATATTCGTAACTTATATTTTCACAATTATTGTACAAATTTCATACAATTGTATTAACTATAAACAGTCAGATAGCAGAAAACGAAACTGAAATAATACCAATGAAAACAAAAGTAGTACTGTTAAATCCTTTTTCCCTACGATATAATCAAAAACATTTCAGATGCTAGAGCATGATTAGTTGTTTTTTTTCTTAAAATGTTTGTTTTTGAAAGTATACATAAATCTATCTTATACAAACTCAAGTGACAAAATAGATTTTTAAGATATTTATTTTTTGTGTCCTAAAATTAATCGTTTTGATATCTGATACACTGGTAAATAAAATTGATATCGTCATACTGTTTGACTTCAATTATTGGAATCACTTAAATAATTTTAGTATATTTAAACAACGATGATACCATTTCAATCTCAATAATAATGTGCTTGTATCAGCTAAACGAATTGTTCATATATAAAATGGTGTTTAAAAGAAGGCATGATTATGAAACAAAACATAATGTTCACTTACCCGCGTTTCGCTTCATTACACACTTGGTGATCTCGAAAACGATATACATGCTAACGAAGGTTCCCGTGTACATATACATGACGAACAGGGCATCATTAACAGGCATGTTCACTTTGTTCAGGTGAAATCCAAAGCTAATGTTGAAACCTACAATATAACTATCAGTTACTCAGTGATTATCATATGGATATATTAAGGAAGCAAATTATATGTACTTTAAACGTATTTATTTTAGCGGACAAATTATTTAACGTATCATCGAATTTTAACAGATTAGGGCCTTGAATAAATGGTGCACTCAAAACATATGCAACAGAAAACTATATACAGAAAATTCAATTAGCACAATCATATTTTAGCGCAAAATTCAAAACACGCAAAAGCGCTAAAATTATGATACCGGTAATATATGTGCGTTAACATAATATTATTATTTTAGCTATGAATATATTTCCGAGGTAGATATAGATAATTATTTTGAAAACCTTTGTATGACAGGAATATGATGTTAAATATAGATAGAAGCGACATTATTCTCACAAGGGCATACTGCTTATCACAGATAATTTAACTGTTTTGGCAAATAAAAGCATTCGTATTCAAATAGAAATATGATATACGAAAGAAATAAGTTATGTTCATGACGTATGCGAAATGTAAGTCATACATCGTTTTATCAAAATGCTATTTCGGATATATAACTTTTGCAATGATTTTTTTTGTTTGTAAAACATATTCATTTTAGTGAAACTTCCGTAAGATATATATGTACGTTTTACCTGAAATAAATTGCACCACAAAGGCAACGCCCCAATGTAACCAGTTAAATATTGGGCGGTGGGCACTGTCGTGGTCACAACGGAAAAACGCCATCGCTGGCTGGAAGGAAAGACCACCTTGAAATTGTTAGTCTGTGGATATGGCATATTATCATACCAACTTATTTAAAAAAAAAACAGCAGTTTTGTTGGAATCCAGTGTTTGTATCTGTACACTTCACAACTAGAGGATTTTTCTTAGCATAATCGAATTCGATATGAAAATTGTAAATGCATCAAAACATATTTATTTGAGAATAATGTAAAGGCGATTAAACATTGGTTATTGTGTCACATCAACATAAGAACTAAGTTGAAATACTCTTTATACAACCTGTATGTAACAAGTTCAATACAGATACATATTAAATTTTTAAATATTGAATTTGACGTATTTCTCTACCTATTTATTCACGTTTTCCTTATAACCATGGTTAGGCTGGGGCGAAGATAGCCACACCAACCAGTTAATAGTCAAATGTATATATTATTTTTAATTCTTAGTGCCCACTTACAACAAAGTATGCAAAATATTTCAAGATTATGAAATACGAAAGTTTGTGCAGACCAACTTAAGCTTAACTAAGTTTTAATCGTGAACTACATTGAACTTACGTTAAGGAGCATCAACAGTACTATTATGAGTCCCAGTAGCGGATGTAGCTTTACGTAAGCGATATCGTCTGGGACACTTATCTACAGTAAAGAGGGAGGACAGTAAAGCACACACATGTAATAGCACCTTTAATATTGGGTAATATGTAGAGTTTACCAAAAGGAAATTACACTTATCCATACAGCTGTTTCACCCTTTTAGGACTCATCGGTGATACTTGAAGCTAAAATGGTGAAATATTGAAACAGAACGGAGATGCGTTAAACCCATGACTTAAATGTATTTCAAGAATTACATGAGTACCGGTTAATTGCATTTACATAACGAGTAAAGTGTGTAGATTATGGACCGTGCCACAGGCAGAGTATCACCTTGTAACTCGAGAATGGTGAACGTGGAACACACACAAGTGATTGCGCCTTCAACATATGGTGATACATACACCCTGCCAAAAACGACTTACACTGTACCATACAGCTGTTTCGTCCATCGAGGACTCATTGGTGAGGCTAGGGACCAAACATGCGGTAATGAAAATATATAGAAACATACATTTATATATCAGTTGAGATTACGTCAATTCGGACAGTGTTAAACGATCCAACACACATACAAAATAGAACGATCTATCTTTATAGAGAATAATACATGCCTCTTCTATATCACACCCAGTATCAACCCGAGGGCTGATATTGGTCGAGGGTTTTTACTGGGTTTGATATGGAAAAGGCGTCTCTTATTCTGTTTATTGCATACTTACTAATGAAAGCTACTATCTTATGATCTATTTTTCTTTTGAAATATCGAAAAACGAAAAGTTTCCGAAAGGGGTGTGATACTGGTTTTGCGGGTTGATACGGAGAGGGCTGCTACGGGTTTTCGGGTGTTATACGGTGGGGGCTGATACGGCTTTTGGGGTGTGGTACGGCGATATGAGTTAGGGCAATTGTGTCGTATCGCATATACCCGTATTTATTAGTATGTATGTAATAAATATGGATAATCCACAAAAAGTGATCACGTACAAGGTTAAAGGAATGATGTTTTAGATCATTTTCTCTTACAATGTTTTATAGTGTCTTAGGCATTAATGGTTTTCTTTTACAATCCACGCATTATATAGGCCTCCCTCATTCATATATAACGAAGTGACGTTACATGAAGAGATCAACATATATCACACTACATCATACATTTTCTCATGTCTGTTGGGTGGATCAGTACTCTGATATGATGTAATTTTAGACAAATTATAATTTTTCATAACCGTTAAACATGTGTTATCCTACAACTAGAAATGAATGATTGGGTGTTTTTTTATTATTTTTTTATTATGGCCTTTGCTGATTTGATGAAGGCAAGAAAAGACACAAGGATTTATTTTGTTGTAGTAGACGAATATAAATAACAAAGAACTTTTTAAAATTCCTTTACAAAACATTTCATACCTTACTAATTCCTCCTACTTCTACTAAAATAGCGATGAGGGCGGTCAATGTGAGAACCACCACTGTACACATGCATGTTCTGTGGAACTGCAAAACAAATGAACATATTTGTTATCTATTATAGTCTTTAACTGAAAATGGCCAGACAAAATTAAATATCGCGAACATCATAAACAGTTAAATTGCCGCCGCCGTTGTTTTCGTGAGTTTATATCCTCGTGAATTAGCCACTTAAAGAACCATCGCTATTATAATTCTGATTTATGATTAAGTAATTCATAGTATATGCAACAACTTCAGATAAACGCTAATACAAATAATTAATAATTATATTTATAAGTGCTCAGACATTGTAAATTTATTTTAGAAATATCATTTTTGAAATATTTACCTGAAACCAGAGATGTTTCCCTTTGACTTTCTGGTGAAAAATTGGCTTAAAATATCGAGCAATCAGCATACCAGAAGTGGATAATATAATCCAAGCGACTATCATCAGAAAACCTGCATTCAGCATCATTGTGAGTATAAGAAGTCAGTATGTTGATTTCAATGTATACTTGTATATATGTATGAAAAAAAGGAAATATAGCTTGTAATTGTATAAATATATGAGGCAACTTTTAAATTTTAATGTTTTCATTCCTACAACCTACTTAATTTTGCACAATTCAAATTTATGTATATTTGAAGGTCATTTCACAAACAACCTTTTCTGCATACGTACATTATACTTTTAAGTAATATTTTTCGGAGAAATCGGTTATCACAGTCAAATTTAACCTGCAGAAATAGCTATATCAGAACCCCGTGAAAGTTACATCTCTTTGTTATATCTAGTAAAGCATATACTTAAAACTCGTTTCTAAGTGTAAGTGTATTTTGCGTTATTAAATAAAGTTAATGATATGCATAATGAGAATGTCTCGTTAATGTCTAGAAAAACTATTTTTCGATATTTACCATGTAGTTTTACAAGTCCAGATGTCTGCTTTCCAAGGCCCACATCTCCGGTCTTGAGGAAGTTAACCTTTGATTTACTGATCTTTGGTTTGTCCTTATGTCTCTCCGGCACTCCTATGATTATAATGATCTTACAGGTAATGCTATTAATACACTTACATAAACTTCCAATACAACATAAAATTGTAAAAGCAGAAAAACACAATTGAAAAATGTAAGTTATTAAACATTTTTCTTTTTTTCTTTTTACGTTTATACATTGACTTCCTATGAATATCAATACACCTACATATATATTTTCAATGCAACACTACACTGTAAAAGCATGAGGAAATTATGTTAATTAGATATAGTCCTTTTCCTTTAGATGGTTTTACGATGACTATCTACAGCTTGAGTATTGAAATGGTATGGTAGCATCGAAAAGATTGTTGTTCTACCTGATGGTGCTAGCCCGTGAGCAAAGAGGAGGTACCATTCATCCTCGAGGTCGAATATCTTAGCACTATCGGTGTTAAGGGGGTTTGACACTGTACTTGCCCTCTGGAAGGTGCACCTCATTACACTTCCGTCTATAGAACCACTCATATGTGACAAATATTCTGTTTTCTGTATAAAATGATAAAACTTACATATGTTATGATTCTCAGTTAAATCATAAATGGTCTCCTAAGATGAATAGCCTCTGTTACAATTTTTATTTATTTATTTGTTTTTCCAATTATTCTGTTTCTGTGGTCAATTATTGAATATGCGATTGACAATGCATTATCAACCTTAAATATGTTTCTATTATCGTTCTAGACGTAAATAGCAAATACTAGGAATTTCATTGTTAAACATACATAAACAAATATGATACATTGTTTGCGCTCATTTAAATGTTTTATCCATTACATGTCGTTGACTAATTGATACAGTTGTCTTATTGACATCAATAAAAGATATGTGTTACACGCGCTAGTATGTAAATCTAAAAAGCGTATACAGAATGCCAGCAATGTTCACGTGATGTATTATGACTATTACATTAGTTAGTGGTACGTATATGCGATCTTTTGTATTATATCCAAGCTCCGTAGTGACTACACCATTCTCCAGCACACACATCATTACACTAGACTTGGCCTGAAATACAGATATTTAGAATCTTAAATGTATATTCTTTATTGTATACCGGGAAAAATTATCGCAGACAAACTTCGGCCTTTCGCCGCTGAACTCGATTTTCGCCCAGTGATAAATTCGCCTTTCACATTTAGTTACTATATTTATTATGCGGCCTACCTATATTCACTGTAATGATAGGAGGGCGAAAAAGGCGAAAATTCAACTACATTGAAAAAGTCCCGGCTAACAGTATATCTCTTTATAACATAGACTGTAAACTGTACGTCGTAGACCACAAACAATTTTGAAATTTCGTGATTTGTCATTGAATTGTAAACTTGAATAGAACCTTTCAAACAACAACATATAAATTTGTAGACTACCTCTCTGTTTTTAAAAAGGCTCTTAAAGAGCTAGAACGAAACACATGTATTCAACTATATGATGAATAAAAATCACGCATTGATACGATAAAATTTTACAGAAGGATATTATAAGTTTAAAATATTACCATTTTTGCTTTAGGTGATAAGCCAATGGCTATCCAATCGTCCATGCTTGGGCTGACGATGGATGCGATTTCAAATTGAATCGTTTTAGCTTTCACCTCGTTTTGCCACGTGACCAGACATGTACATGACTGTCCCTGATTATCGCAGTCCGAGAAACAGCCTTTACTTTTACCACACTCAGGGTCTTTGACTATTGATGACCCACTCTGAATGAAGAAATATGCTACGTTATATTTCTTAAAACACCTTGCCCAACTGATGTAATTAAAATCTATCTTTTTAATTTTGAGTTATTTAAACTAACGCACCATTTTTATAGACAATTTTTTAAGGACATTTTATTCGAAAAAATGAAGCTTAAGCCTCACTTAGTATGAAAGAATCATGTTTATTCATTTTTTTTGTAATTTAAACTAACGTGCAGAGGATTTTTGTTCTGTCTTGTAGACGAACTTTTTAAAAATATATTCGAGAAATGAAGTTTTAGCATAATATTTTGTAATTTATATATTGTCGGTCTATCAGATGGCCAAGAAAAGCAACTTAATTGTTAGAGAAAATAAGCCTCTATATAAGATATTTATACACAATAAAAATTTAATACATGCATACATTTATTTAAACTGTAATTCATCTTCATGTTTAATCATCCTTCAATATCTGATTTGAAGATAATGTTTCAAATGTTAATGCAACAAGCTGATAAAGAACGAATATAGTTTGGATAAACTCTATATATTCTAACTGATTTCTGCCGGGGTTTCCTTAAATGCCATGTTAAAAAGTTATATGAAACGAGACTCTCAGTGTTTCAATAGTTTACCTGAGTGGTTAACTCCCCTGGATTTGTTGGTGTAGTGTCGGGAACGAAATGGATAAAATCCTCCTTATTAGGACTGACTGTGGGGTCGGATTGGTGCTTCGTAGGAATACCTAGCCAAACATTAAACCTCGATATATACATTCAGCTCTAACCTCTCTATCATCAGTCTACATGTAACACCTGTATACAACTATCAATTGTATACTAATACCATCTGTATATAATTAACTATCAACTGTCCAGACCTACCTATTACTGCTGATTAAAATATGTTTCTTTAATCAAACGTTTAGAACACATTGTTTGCTCTTTTTCATAAGTGATCTTTATAGAGTGATTTGACTGAATAAAAATTGAAATCTGTAGTCATACTCTTAATTACTAACATATGAAATGTAAAAGATCATGGCATCTATAAAATCGGATTTGGCCAGCAGTACTTCTTACCAGACGATAGCGATAACGGGCCGTTACCAACAATGAGATAATGTTTATTGGTCAATGCAAATGTGTTATTGAAGTCAGTGATTGTCTTTCTTCGTTGGAAATTACACATGAAGACTCCATCTATGTGTGATCCACTTGTAAATATGAGGTCACTGGTATTCTAGAAACAACAAAAACATATTTTGTTTACAATGGTAACAGAAGCGAAAAATAGGTCATAAGCTCATGATTTTGTTTTCGAAGGAACAGAGAGTTATTTGTTTAGAGAAAGGCAATCATAACAATGTAAATTTGCATTGTGCGCATTGTGGTTACTATTTCCCTGGGATTATATTAAATTATATTAAATTACATGATATCATCAAGTTGAGTTTTGTATTCATCATTCAATTTGCTAGCACACCTTCGTTAAGAATATGATTGAGACATTAATTGAAAACAGACTTACCGTTTCCACAGTGGTGTACGCGTATCCAGGGTTATAGCCGAGCTCCACTGAAATGTTGCCATTCACATCTTTGCACATGATTACACTGGTATTTTTCTGTAACATAAAACACAATAGTTTTTTTCTCCTAGTTATTTTCATCTGTACTATAACATTATGTTTATAAAAGCTTAACAGATTAGTTATTTACCATGATAAATATACTGATCGATAAATGGAAATGAAATATATAACTGGCCTGTGTAATTTGACGGTAGATTACATCGGTCTATATAAAGTGGATGATTTCGGAGTAAAATCCTGTTCTGAAACCCGTGTTTCATTGTCATTATCCATGCATCTAATACTAGCTCCGGACGTAGTTTCCAATTATTTATATGTGTGCATCGAATGAAAGAATAGGAACGAATAGTACTTAGATTGTTGGTTCGAAATCATTGAAAAAAATGAAAAATGATTACCGAATATCTTTCATTTACATTTTGTTTATGATTCGAGAATTAATAACATTGCTCATACCATGTTAGAGTCATCCGATATACCGAGAGCTATCCAAACGTTGTCTACAGCACTGATATTCTGTGACATTGTAAAGTCTATATAGTCTCCAGCCTCCTGCCATGTCACTTGGAACATACAGTCCTCCCTACTCACACAGCTAAAGAAACACCCTTTCGTTACACCACAGCCCACATCAGGATTATATGGCCCTGGCTTAAATAGAAAAGAAGTATATATCCCATATTTTATACGCTTGTTATCATTTATTAAACAACTGTTTATTGGTAAACTCTTCTTTTTATAGAATGATCATCAGCTTAAACTTTCTTATCCACACCATCTAAACTTCACAGGGTAACTTTAAAATTAATAGGAATTCATAATACATTTGTTGACACAGCAATTGCTGCATCTGTATCTACATGAATATAATGTGAAATACATTGTGATAAACTTTATTTATGTTTGATATATAATAAGCTGTGTGATCGTATTTCAGCTCAAGCTCTTTCCACTTTCCAGAATTGATCCACGATTTTTTTAAATCCAACACTGTACGAGATGAAATAGTACTGAGAGAGACTATCCCAGGGATCATCTATTCTTTGAGTATGGGAAGTTTTCTAAAATTTAAATGACGATATTGTTTGCGTATTTTTTTTACTGTGTCCACGAGTTTTCCCCCCGATCGTAGCGATACAGGGAGGACACATGCCATCACTTATCTTACCTTTTCGTCAGGTTCAATGTCAAGTATCATTGCTTTTCTATTACTCGCTTAAATAAAGGTTCATATAAATAAATTTCTCTGAATTATTGTTTTCGCACACACCAGAAAAAAAAATGTCAATGAAAGTGAGTGGTTATCTCCCCTGGGTTTACCGTGGTGGTTTCTGGAACGACGTTGATGAAGTCCTGTTTTTCTGAACTGACTGTAGGTTCGTTGGTATGCTTCACAGGATTACCTTTTCGAAGAAAACGTTTGAAAACAAGGTTGTTTTGTTGATAAATATTTAGAAATTAACGTTTAGGGTAATAATCAATACAGTGTACGATAATGAAGGAGAAATTGGAAAAGAAATTATTTCAGTTATTAAAATATCTTACCAGATGCTAGAAGACCATTAGTAACGATGAGGAAACGTTTCGCAGTCAGTGTGAAGGTGTTATTAAAGTCGGTGATTGTCTTTCTTCGTTGGAAACTGCATGTGAATATTCCATCTATGTTTGATCCACTGGTATGTATGAGGTCGCTGGTATTCTGGAAATGACAAAATGGTATTCTTGATCATTAACGGTAAAATTCAACCCCCCTAGCTTCTTGTTGACTGGGAAATTGATTCAATTTTGATGTTTTTCATTTGCTTCTTTTTGAATATGAGATGTTTTTACAGTTATTGTTTTGATCAATAGCATTAAATATTGATTGCTGAAATAAATAATAACATAAATGATTAACTTGTTTTATTATGGAATAACAAGATAATGAATTCTTAATTGATGATAAACCAACCGTTGCCACAGTGGTGTACGCGTATCCGGGGTTGTAGCCGAGCTCCACCGAAATGCTGCCATTCATCGATTTACACATAATAACACTGGTGTTTTTCTGTAACATAAATGTTTCTGTAAACAATCCTGCAAAACCTGAAACGGTGTATAAGGGTATTATTGTGATGAAAATGTTCCATCATGATCCTTTTATCGTTCAACTGAAACGACTTTGTTATGGTACCGAACATCTCTTATGTAGATATTAACGTATATCAACCTACCATGTTAGTGTCATCTGATATACCGAGAGCTATCCAAGCGTTGTCTACAGCACTGATATTCTGTGACATTGTAAAGTCTATGTAGTCTCCAGCCTCCTGCCATGTCACTTGGAACATACAGTCCTCCCTACTCACACAGCTAAAGAAACATCCTTTGGTTACTCCACAGTCCACGTCAGGAATAATTGGTCCTGGCTAAGACAAAAGAACATAGTGTTTGCCGTTTGTACACATATCATATCTTAAATTAAACGAAATTATTGTTAACACTTATTCAATGGGATTACCGGTTTTCTAATAATAATTAAAACCACCAAACCTCATTTCTCTATTGATGAAAGAAGAATAGCTTGACTATATCACGTGACTACCCTGGAATTGTATTTAGTTGAAATTGAGCCGGTTCTTCCAAGTAATAAATCGTCCAACTAGTGTGTATTTAATAAGTATGATTCTGTACCTGAGTGGTTATCACCCCTGGGTTTACCGTGGTGATTTCTGGGACGATGTGGATGAAGTCCTGTTTAACCGGACTGACTCTCGGCTCGTTGGTGTGCTTCACAGGAATACCTGTTCAAAGAAACGTAGAATACAATGGGTTTTTTTGCTGTCATTCTTAATATTCATATTTTGGATAATTCAAAGTGAAGAAGAATTGTTAAAACAATGTTTTTTCCATACGATAATTAATATAAGCAGAAATGTAAAGATAAATGTATTTGAGTTATTGTAACGTCTTACCTGAAGATAGAAGACCATTAGCAACGATGAGGAAACGTTTCGCAGTCAGTGTGAATGTGTTATTGAAGTCAGTGATTGTCTTCCTTCGTTGGAAACTACATGTGAATATTCCATCTTCGTGCGATCCACTGGTATGTATGAGGTCGCTTGTATTCTGGAAACGAGGAAATTGGTTTATTGAACAGTCTGTGTGAATTCGATCGAACTAGCCTTGACTTTCAAGATAAATTGATTCTATATCGATGCTTTCATTTCATAATTTGTGGTCAATTCGATCTTTCGTACCTGGATTTTTCTGCAAGATCGATTTTGCTTTGATTTTGTGATTTGAAACAAATATAATATTTTACGTCTTAAACAAATACGATATGGCTAGCTATGTTTATCGTTTGAACATAATATGAGAAAAGGAGTCGGCTACAGTATTTATACCACTTACTTCTTTTGGACATAAAATAATTGGAAACAAGTAATGGATGGAGACCCTTGATAAAATACAGAGAGAATAAGACCATGTGTTCCGGAAAGTTCAGCGCCTTCTGCTTCATCAACGCCACCTGTCATGTAAATCTAGGTGAAATCAATTTAATGTCATGTCCATACAGCGAATGCTCGGGTAATGACAACAAATCAAAATATAGACTTACCGTTGCCACAGTGCTGTACGCATATCCGGGGTTGTAGCCGAGCTCCCCCGAAATGCTGCCACTCATCTCTTTACACAGGATAACACTTGTGTTTTTCTATAACATAAATAATATAACCATGTTTCTTTAAAACTTTCCAACGAACGCGTGGTCCCTGCAGGTAGGGCGTAAGAATTGTACCTGCTGCCCCATTGCATCATCGTAAGAGGCGACTAAATTTGGGATCTTATCTTTTCTATTCTTTCTAAACAACTTTCTTCTTCCCTATGTCTCCCTGGACAGTGCCTCGCCTTTTGGCCTTTAGTTGAGCATTCGCCCTTGTGGGGGAGGCTTTGGGTTATGTCCCCTGGCCGAGACATACCAAAGTTTGTAAAAATGGTAGTTTCTACTCCTGCTTAACGCTCAGTAATTTAGGAGTTGGACGACTGGTTCGCCCGTTTTCAGTATAATGTGACCGGGTGAGGTGTCCTGCTGAGTGTCTTCGGAAGTATGTTTCAGTGAGGTAACACTATAAAGTCGGCATTAGTTCCGCGCTATCACAAGGAGACAAACACAAACATATCGCAGCCTCCTAAAACACATTACACGCAGGCATCTTTCACACAGGGGAGTTTGTCCTTAAAAAACCATACTAAACCAAACCAAACCAATCAATCGAACACGTGTTTGTTATGGTCCCGAACATCCCTTATGTAGGTATCAACGTATATTAACCTACCATGTTAGTGTCATCTGATATACCGAGAGCTATCCAAGTGTTGTCTACAGCACTGATATTCTGTGACATTGTAAATTCTATGTAGTCTCCAGCCTCCTGCCATGTCACTTGGAACATACACTTCCTTGTATCGTCACAGCTCGAGAAACATCCTTTGGTTACTCCACAGTCCACGTCAGGAATAATCGGTCCTGGCTAAGACATAAAAACATAGTGTTTGCCGTTTGCACACATATCATATCTTAAATTAAACAAAATGATAGTTGTACACGCTTATTCAATGTGATTACCGGTTTTCTAATACTTATTCAAACCACCAAATCTCATTTCTATTGATTAAAGGAGAATATCTTGACTATATCACGTGACTACCCTATAATTGTATTTAGTTGAAATTGAGCCGGTTCTTACAAGTCATAAAGCTTCCATACCTGAGTGGTTATCTCCCCTGGGTTTACCGTGGTGGTTTCTGGGACGATGTGGATGAAGTCCTGTTTACCAGGACTGACTGTCGGTTCGTTGGTGTGCTTCACAGGAATACCTATTCAAAAAAACGTAGAATACAATGTTATTTTGCTGTCATTCTTAATATTCATATTTTGGATAATTCAAAGTGAAGGAGAATTGTTAAAACAATGCTTTTTCATATGATAATTAATATAAGCAGAAATGTAAAGAGAAATGTATTTGAGTTATTGTAACGTCTTACCAGACGAAAGAAGACCATTAGCAACGACGAGGAAATGTTTCGCAGTCAGTGTGAATGTGTTATTGAAGTCAGTGATTGTCTTCCTTCGTTGGAAACTACATGTGAATATTCCATCTTCGTGCGATCCACTGGTATGTATGAGGTCCCTTGTATTCTGGAAACGAGGAAATTGGTTTATTGAACAGTCTGTGTGAATTCGATCGAACTAGCCTTGACTTTCAAGATAAATTGATTCTATATCGATGCTTTCATTTCATAATTTGTGGTCAATTCGATCTTTTGTACCTGGATTTTTCTGCAAGATCGACTTTGCTTTAATTTTGTGATTTGAAAAAAAATATAAACAAATACGTCTAAAACAAATAAGATATGGCGAGCTGTGTTTATCGTTTGAACAAAAAATGAGAGTCGGCTACAGTATTTATACCACTTACTTCTTTTGGACATAAAATAATTGGAAACAAGTAATGGATGGAGACCCTTGATAAAACAGAGAATAAGACCATGTGTTCCGGATAGTTCAGCGTCGACTGCTTCATCAACGCCACCTGTCATGTAAATCTAGGAGAAATCAATTTCATGTGATGTCCATACTGCTAATGTTCGGGTAATGACAACATATCAAAATATAGACTTACCGTTGCCACAGTGCTGTACGCATATCCGGGGTTGTAGCCGAGCTCCACCGAAATGCTGCCACTCATCTCTTTACACAGGATAACACTTGTGTTTTTCTATAACATAAATAATTCTGTAAACAAACCGGAAATGCATGGAAGATTGTGTTATTGTATTATATAAACGACATGTTCCTTCATAACCATGTTTCTTTAAAACTTTCCAACGAACGCGTGGTCCCTGCAGGTAGGGCGTAAGAATTGTACCTGCTGCCCCATTGCATCATCGTAAGAGGCGACTAAATTTGGGATCTTATCTTTTCTATTCTTTCTAAACAACTTTCTTCTTCCCTATGTCTCCCTGGACAATGCCTCACCTTTTGACCTTTAGTTGAGCATTCGCCCTTGTTAGGGAGGCTTTGGGTTATGTCCCCTGGCCGAGACATACCAAAGTTTGTAAAATTGGTAGTTTCTACTCCTGCTTAACGCTCAGTAATTTAGGAGTTGGACGACTGGTTCGCCCGTTTTCAGTATAATGTGACCGGGTGAGGTGTCCTGCTGAGTGTCTTCGGAAGTATGTTTCAGTGAGGTAACACTATAAAGTCAGCATTAGTTCCGCGCTATCACAAGGAGACAAGCACAAACATATTGCAGCCTCCTAAAACACATTACACGCATGCATCTTTCACACAGGGGGTTTGTCCTTAAATGACCATAGCTTTTGATAGGACGTTAAACCATACTAAACCAAACCAAACCAATCAATCGAACACGTGTTTGTTATGGTACCGAACATCCCTTATGTAGGTATCAACGTATATTAACCTACCATGTTAGTGTCATCTGATATACCGAGAGCTATCCAAGTGTTGTCTACAGCACTGATATTTTGTGACATTGTAAATTCTATATAGTCTCCAGCCTCCTGCCATGTCACTTGGAACATACACTTCCTTGTATCGTCACAGCTCGAGAAACATCCTTTGGTTACTCCACAGTCCACGTCAGGAATAATTGGTCCTGGCTAAGACACAAAATCATAGTATTTGCCGTTTGCACACATATCATATCTTAAATTAAATAAAATGATAGTTGTAAACGCTTATTCAATGTGATTACCGGTTTTCTAATACTTATTCAAACCACCAAATCTCATTTCTCTATTGATTAAAGGAGAATATCTTGACTATATCACGTGACTACCCTATAATTGTATTTAGTTGAAATTGAGCCGGTTCTTACAAGTCATAAAGCTTCCATACCTGAGTGGTTATCTCCCCTGGGTTTACCGTGGTGGTTTCTGGGACGATGTGGATGAAGTCCTGTTTACCAGGACTGACTGTCGGTTCGTTGGTGTGCTTCACAGGAATACCTATTCCAAGAAACGTTTAATACATCAAATTCATATTTCAGAAAAGTCAAAATAAATATAAATTATCAATATTCGAACAATCCTGCTTCGTACGATAATGAATCATGAAAAGAGCATGTAACGATATATAAGGTTAAATTTGAGTAATTTAATGTTTTACCAGTTGCTAGGAGACCATTAGCAACGATGAGGAAGCGTTTCGCAGTCAGTGTGAAGGTGTTATTAAAGTCGGTGATTGTCTTTCTTCGTTGGAAATTACATGTGAATATTCCATCTATGTTAGATCCACTGGTAAGTACGAGATTCCTGGTATTCTGGAAACAACACATTGACATTTGATAGTCTGTGATATATGAATCTTCATAGCGTTCACTGTTCAATTGACATTGTCCTGATGAGTAACTTTTCCCAACTTTGACGTTAAATTATAAATTATATAAATCGTTTGTACATTTTGTATTACGCTGTCTACTTTTAGACAGATAGAATTTGAAACTTAATTGAAATAGACCAACCGTTGCCACAGTGGTGTACGCGTATCCGGGGTTGTAACCGAGCTCCACTGAAATGTTGCCGTTCACATCTTTACACATTATTACACTGGTGTTTTTCTGTAACATAAATATTTCTGTAAACAAAACTAAAAAAAAAAATATCAAAATTGTATTTGAAATGAAATCAAACATCTCTTATGTACATATCTAAGTACATGTCCTTACCATGTTGGTGTCATCCGATATACCTAGAGCTATCCAAGCGTTGTCTACAGCACTGATATTCTGTGACATTGTAAAGTCTATGTAGTCTCCAGCCTCCTGCCATGTCACTTGGAATGAACATAGGTCGCCTGAACCGTCACAGCTATGGAAACATCCTTTGGTCACACCACATCTTGGATCAGGTACAAATGGCGCAGGCTTAAATAGGCAAATATATTCTTTATATGAAACGGAATCATGCCATTTTATTTTCACAAATAAGAATGTTGTTGTATGTGTTTACTCATCTCTATTACGAAGATGATGCGACCATGACATTGTACTGATTAGCACAGTGTTTGTTTCAACTGATATATGAAATCTACTGTAGTAAGTGTAAACAACTACCAGGTGAACTTATATATTCAATTTCAAATATATGAATGTCCAGTGTCCAATATATAGTCTCTACGTTATAATTTATCTAAAGTTTAAGTGTATATTCGTTTACCTATTATGGAAAGCCACTATTAATGATTCAATTACTACTGGTATTTGTAAATCAGTATCCCCTACCTGTAAAGTGACGTCAGGAATGGGAGTAGTTGTTATGACATCATTTCCGCGGATGAAGTCCAGTTTTTTGTCCGAACATACGGGGTTTTTGATGTGCATGTGAGGGTTTCCTGTAACAACCCAAAATAAATGTCCATTCATATGCACAGGACATGAAAGTTGCGATTAACAACACCGCAGCAGTCAATAATTTGGACTGAAAAGTTAAATTCATTTTGCTAGATTTATGTTGTAACATTATGTTAAGCCCGTTTAATAATATACGCATTAACTTAAAGCACACCCTTTTGTGTTAATAATAATCTGAAAATAACTTTGAACTGTGTATATTTGAACATTACAAGCAGAAATGCATTTCATTTGAGAATGAAAGCAAAAACTCCCGTGAGGTAACACGTGGTTCACTTATGACGTCAAATATTAACCTTGTTCAATGAGAGTCTGGTCACTTGGCTTTGGATAACATTGAGAATGCCCCTGCGTCAAACGCTTAAATGACCACGTTTAATTATTGGCGCCAATTTTTATTCCAATAGGACTGTTCCGCCAATGTCAATTAAAGAACGACGCATATACAAAACGCAGTATTTTTTTTTTTATCTAAGAACAAATAAAAATGTAAATATATGGATTGAACGGCATTGTATTATTCGGTATTGAAAAGTGTATTTTCATGCAATATGGATGCAACCGATTTGCGTTTATATCGGCATGAAAATTTCAAAAAAAAAACGCCGTTCAACCCCTGAATGAAAATTCAATAAAAAAATAAACTTATCAATACCGAATGATATAATTATGAGTGAGGGAAAAGGTGAGAAAACAGGATAATACCAAAAATGTTAACAAAAACAGTTATTCTAACTAAACATGAGTTAAACCAGGGCAAAGCGTGAACATAAGCATCGGGGCATTTTCAAAAGTACAAAGAAAAACAGATCAGGTGTTTTTGATGGGTAAACGTTTTCTGTTTTATTGACGGCATATGCCATATATATGTAGGTCAAGTCAAGGTAATATCACGTTTGCAAAGAGAGATTAAACTAGCATCAAAGCATTTACGTAAATGGCATATATTGTTAATGTGAATACTCTTGGGAAAAAGAAGATTATACGAGTTAAACAGCCTGAACTTTATTAAGACTATGGACTTATTAGTGTATTATTTGATACTATCCTGTTCCATGCGTCTGTTGTGGGCTTATTGGATTTTGCAATAACTAAAATGATATGCCGACCATTGAAATATTTCCCCTTTCCATCTATAATTCGAAACTCATTTACTGCCAGTGTCTCTCATTAGTACTAATGGAAGACTAATTTTGCGTTGGACATTAAAATGCCAGTTCCGAAGTTATATGAAAGAAAAGGGAATTGGAACATTAACTGATTTCGAAACACATAATTTTAAAATTATTATTTGTTATTTACAGAATATACCTATTATTAAATCGACATCACCCTGTCCAACCAACATGTATAATTCGTCTGATAGCAGAGCCACGTGCTGATGTTTGACCTTGATGAGGCGCTGAAAACGACAGGTAAAAATTCCGTCGACGACAGAAACTTTGGTGTTCTTCAGTGTGTCTGGTACCTAATACAGAGTATGTAAAAGCGATTATGATTTAAATTGATAAAGTCCTTTAGTAATCATACAAATTTCGAAAAAATATATGAATAAAACAAACAGATAAGGAAGGAGGCCATTTCCGGCCGTTTTGTAAGGCCCCCTAACCGATAAGCTTTGTTTTTGGATGATAATACCTTCGGTTTAGACCTTCATACGTTTCTTTATTTGAAAAAAAAAGGTGGGAGGGGGAAATGAAATGTTCCCGACTTAAGTCTTACAACTTTTTCTTTTGGTATAAAAAAATATAATTTTAATGAGCAATCCTTTGATTGATGTAATATTGAAGGAGAACATCAATGAAAAAGTGGGTAAATAACCAAAAACAAACAGGTCACGGAAACTCATTTCAAAAATAAAGTTGTTTTTTTGCTATGTTTACGTTTCAATTACTTGAATATTTCTAATTGTTTTATCCAAAGTATAATTGATACTCTAGAAATATTAGATAAAATGTGTTCTTAGTAATTGTATAGAATGCATGGAAAGGGCAAGAGGTCCATGGCATGCATACATGCAGGAGACAATATGGCAGATTGTCATTTCAACTAGCAGCTAGTCTTTTCATTATTATTTTTATGTTTAGCGATTTTTATTTAGATCAATTTATTAATACCCTTTTTAATGATTCTTTTTAAATCATTTATTCTTATTGATGTTATTTTATGAAAACATAGATGCATAATTGATTTTGTCTGCAATGATACGTTAGAACGGAAATCAAATTCATTGGAACAGAGAAACGAAACATTTGTCATTTTGCTGCCCTTAGTTTGATCTCCAATATCTCGCAATACAAGGGGTCAAACGGATTTATTCAAAATTGGCTATTATGCAGGTCCAACCTAAAGGCATCTTCATGCTAAATACATGTTTATCGGCAAGGGGACATAAAACGGTCTAATAACGGTCTAAGGAGAAATTAATGTATAACATATACTCACATTTGTTATCGTTTCGTAGAAGTGTCCCGGATTATAGCCGAGTTCTACTGACGTAAACGTGTTGTGATCCTTGCACATCACTACACTTGTTCTTGCCTGTTTGTATGTAATTAAACATGAGAAGTAATAATTTAGTGACATGTCATTAACAAAACATCATTCACCTTACTTGATGCCTACAATTGGAAGCTTCAAAAAAGTGAGATAAAAGCCAATATCATGTGGAAACAAAATAAAATATGGAAAGATACTGAACCTTAACTGTGATATAATTTAAAAAATTCAAAATCGATGTCAAGAGTAAAATGGTGCTTCTAATAATTTTGCAGGTAAATCTCGAGTTTAAAGTTATTGGTCTGATATAAAGGGAGTACTTAATTAAGCGCATCTAAATATAGATATGTTATAAAACATTCTATAAACTTAGTTTCAGAAAAGTTATACCCTTGTTGTTAGAAACTAATAATGATCTTTTATAAAATATAGTGACCCATTAAATTAAGCCGTCACCATCAATGCTGCAATTATATATCTGACGTCATTTTAGTTTGCGACGTCAATTTAGCATTCATATGCATTTTGAGGATTGGCCTCCATCGTTACAGTAACACATTTTGCGAAAAATTTGCATAAATCTGGTTTACATTGTTAAGGTTCAATAAACTATAATACTGAAATCATATGCTATCTTTCAGGAAGCAAATCACGATGGGTAAATAACATAACTGTGCATTGAGGGTTTTCTTCTAGACACCACTTTACCATGTATTTGTCAGTCGAAAATCCAATGGCTATCCATACATTCTGACGTAGGTGAGATACATCGTGAACAACTTCAAATTCCACATAGGCACCAATCTTATTCCATGTGACTCTGAACTGGCAAACCTCAGAATCACACTTTTCGAAACACATCTTTTCTGTCGTTCCACAGTAAGGATCCGGCGAAATGCCTGGACTCTATAAATATTGACGTTTTACGTCATAAGAAAGTTTAACTAAGAAAACTTTAATACTTTCCTAAATAAAGCAGTTTATTAGTTTACTGAGATTGATAAAAAATTAAGATGCTAGGTAACTATACCATGACGTAATAAAATACTAAGAACAGTTTGCAAACACAATACTAGGATAAACCAGATTTGAAAAAAAAAATGATGAATAATGGTCATATCTTAAGTAGTTAGATATTGTCAAATAATTTTACATTATCTTAGATAATCAGAAATGATAAACTAGTAAAATACAAAATTGCAATGAGCAACGCTGAGAGCTCATATTGCGAAGCAATTAAATTTCATACAACCCAAATCGTTTACATATACAATATATATTTAATAAATGCATTGCTTTTTCACCCACGTCTTGACCAAGTTTGATTTGTATATTTTACTATTAGAGAACACTGTTTTTAACAATATGATTGGGCCACATGATGCGTACCGATTTAACTGCATAGCTATTATTGGTGTCGGCAGCACTTACGGCGACAGCCAATAGGATAGAAACGGAAACAAGATGGTTCATCCTCCCAAAAGATGTTCGCTGATCTGTGAAAGTAAAAAGAATCTGGATATTTCATATTTAATGTACATTTCCATGCTTTATATAAATCAGTCCTTCAACTATTTAATTAGGTTAGTAATGCCAAACACTATTCAAGGGGAAAAATATATCACGTTTAGCATTACACAGAAATACTGAGGTGACATGAACAAAATATATATACTAAAGCTGATCTACAAAATTCATGAATGTATCTCACCTTTATGTGTATCGAGGTCCAGGGTCTGGTCACACTGAACATAGGGCAATATCTACACATCAATATATTACTTGTATCTGTATTATCACCTGTATGTGAAATGCAAACAGTCACATGATTATCATGTGCACGACCCGACGAGGTGTGCTATCACAAAAACTGAGTAAGCGTGTACTTGATATACTTAACGTTCTACAGTACGTAAACAAAACTCTGTTTATAGTTGAATTACTATATGCCAAATGAATCAAGACGTTTTGTTATGTTTTACAAGAAAATGAGACAGGTTTTAAAGTATGATTCTTCATTGACTTCTTTCAACGTTAATTTGTCCCTAAATATCGTGCAGGTCTGTTTAAACATGTTACAAAGAACAAAATCCATACATGTGGTGCAAGGCTGTTTATGTAGTTGGTGTTCGTGGTATGTATTGGATAGATAAAAACGCAGGTATGTTTACATATTGTTTCTGTGGTATGGTTATATAGAGTCAACATTATCTTACTGCCTCACATCGATCACTATACTGCTGTATAGTGATCAGTGTGAGGAAGTTTACCCAGTGTGAGTAGCCGGTGCGACAGCATAAATGTAGTGAGGTGTACTAGGTGATCGTCGGGTACTGATAACCCTAAGTCTGTCATCAGTATATTTCGATAACAAGACTATCGGGGAATAGATAGGACACAGACATTACTGATTGTATCTCTATTATCATACTCTATTTCCCCTGTCAACTATTTTGAATTGCCTTTCCTGTCTATGTACTTATAAATCGCTTTTCTTTATTCATATAATCCTTGTGGAGCTTTTATGTAAATAATTAATTCCATTGTATTCTATATCAATAGTGAAATATACTGTATTATTACTTTATGAACATGATCAAACTGGGTAGAAGTTATTTATTTAAGGAATAACCAAGCAATTTTTTTTTGTGGTTAGACCGTATCCAATTTTGTGCACTTTGCATTAATCCGCAAAGTGCTTTATGCCAAATAGTTCATAGTTTAGGTATGTAAGGTACTCCTAATAATTTCTTTTGAAAGACACTTTCCCTTTGCAAAATCAATTGATATATAGTTTTGCTTCACAACAAAATAAATACTGTGCACTTATTATTTTTTGCCATTTTTCGATAGATCTGATTCGCAATTGACCTCCGAAAGCTGATTGTGACGTCATGATTTATTTTTCCCTTTGAAGATTTCTCATTTCTTTCCGTGTGTCATCTGTCATACACTAGGAGGTGACAGAGACATTTTTAACTGGTCAAAAGGGAGGCTACTCATTGAAAGGATGGAGTAAAGCTTACCGCATGTTAAATGTTGTTGATATTCCGATCATGTTATGTCCTACTGTTATATATGTGATCATATAACATACCACATTTTTTCGTCAGTAAGTTACAAATCAAGTGTATGATAGTCTTATGTACATATCTATTGTTTTGTACGTAATATATACCTAGACATATCTATGATAACAATGTGCCATCAGAGTCGAACAATATGGTCTGATATTACTTTTCTCAGATAAATAACAAAAATATTTATATCAGGTGTTTGTTCCATTCATTAATTATTTACAATATTTGGTTTCTATGTCATGCAACCTTACCAGCCAAGAAAATAGGTATTAACACTATTTGACGTGGGAGAATAGATTCAACAGTCATACGCTTGTGTAATAGGGTAGACTAGATAACGAACTCGAACAAAATGGTTTGCCGATCTGACGTTATACATTGCGCCACAATACACGCAAACAATCACATTTGTTGCATATTTACTTATCATTAAATATATAAATATGCATAAAGTCGTGCATACCGTTGGAGATATTTTGAACCAAGATATATTGTAAACACATAACACAACTCGTTACATTCGACTGGAAAGAGTTTCACTAGTAATTGTTAATGTCATGTTTTCTTTGTGCACTTTCAATTTCCGTCCTTTTTTTCACGAACAAGAGGTTAAATTTAACACATGGATGAAATATTTCACTTAAGAATTTCATTGTGTACATTTACAGTTTGTCTTATTTCTGTCTTACATAAATACAAGTGTCCTATCCTCATATACATTAACTTCCTTACACATACATGTATAGCCAGTAGCTATGTGTATGGAAGTTTTTTTCTGAAACCTGTAATCACTTTCCAAATGTTAGCAAAATGTTATTCAGCTAATATCATATAATGGCATTTATTATCCCCCCACCTTCACCGAAACGGGGGATATTAATTTGGGTTTGTCCGTCTGTCTGTCTGTCCGATTTTCTTCAAACTTGGTCACAGGGTTAAATGCCTTAAGGGCTCGACTAAATTCGATGACCACTTTCAGCGGACCCTATTTGGCGGAGTTATGGCCCCTTGAACAACGAAAAACGTCATTATCTGCTGCGTTTCGTTTCCGTACAATAACTACAACAAATGTTAATTGATTTTCTTCAAACTTTGTACCAGGGTTAAATGTCTTAAGGGCTCGACCAAGTGTGATGACCCCTTTAATCGGACTCCATTTGGCAGAGTCATTATCTGCAGTTTCCGCTTAATAACTCGAGCAAATATTAGATAAGGGTATTTTGCAAGCTATACATTATGTCTCAACAGCACGATACTCACTTGTTTAAACCTAACCTCAATAATATTTACCTACAATGTGTCCTGAAAGCGGGGGATATAAATTCCACGAATTTGCATGTTAACTTTATTATATATCCCAATGGCTTTTCTTTTATCACTGAATCGTTTACGCTCATCCATGAATATAACATAAATTTGCGAGCATCCTGAATGTTTGTTTGTTTGCATGAGTCTCGTTAACATGAATTAAACTTTGAAGCAATTAATATCAGATTTGTTCGAAGCTCACTTTCCCTTTTTATATTCCATCCCTTCTGTACTGTACGATGTGATCAAATACCATTATATAGATACAATTAGTTTAAATACAGAGGATATTAAATAGTAGGGTAAACCATTGAATTTTCCCTTAATAACATTTTCCAGAGTATCTGCAATATATCAAATATGAAATGCATTAAAAACTTTTGGAAATCTACAAAAGTAATCTTTGGTGCCATGGTTTAATAATGTCACGCTTGACAACAATGCTATGAGTCATTGTTAATCAGCAACTCATTGTAATTCTACCGGGTTTTTTTACTATCTGTTTAGGTTTACTTGAAGACATGTAATTAAATGGTTGATTGCTTTCATACGTTTGGTTGATGAGGAAAGATGTACCAAAACAATCACTTATTCTATCGTCACTTTTTCTGCATCCGAACAACAGGAAATCTGCAGCATAGAATGCAGGGAACGGAAAGTACCGTTCTTTTTGGTCAATACTAAATGTGATATATTCACATTGCGTATCAAGTTTACAGAATCCAATAAAATCACCAGATGATCCAAGGTGTACCAGGATAAAAAGACATAAGACTTTCATTATTTTATGCCAAATATTTACTCAAATATCATTATAACATAAACGTATGGCACATGGACATTGATTATTTGCTTTAATGATATCTATTAATCTTATTATCCTTTCGAGGAAATGTGATATACAGATATGTAACAAATTTAATAATTAAGTCATTAATAATTTAATTTCACTGTTACAAAATATTCTATAAATCTTCAAATAAACTTGACAGTAACCTTGTAACTTAAATCTATTCTGAGAATGTTTACATTAAATACTATCTGTTCAGCATAGGTTGTATAATACAAAGTTATAATTGTTTTATATGAATCGTCCTGTTTTGCAGTATTACTTAATAGAATCCGAAATACTTTGGAAATCAATGTAATTACAATTGATCTCAGTTTCCACTAAATATCCTAGGAGGACGAAATGTTCATATGGTATAGTAACATTATTTCATTGTGCTCATTCGGCCTTAGTTAATAATTCTAGCGCTCGTTTTATATTCGGAACAATTATAATTCCTCCCTGTATATGTATTCGCTATACTGATGAATTTGTTTGTGCTTATGTTAACCATTTCCGGTCAAAAGGTAGTCACTAGTTCCAGACATTTGGGCCGTGACTCTCCTCAACTCTGGCCCTAGGCCCGTGTCCATTGGACGTGTCAGTAATGAAAATATCTATATCATGTAGGTCCATACCGTCACTGTCACTGTCGGAGCACGGTCTAACAATAACTATAGGTGACACAGCATTTGCTGAAGATTGATTTCGAGGCTGAGGTGGTACAGCTTCTTCACTTTCCTGCTTGAATTTGCGTTCTAAACGATCGGCTAGTTCCATGAAATTTGGATACCAACAGAAAAAGGTCCTTAAGAAATATATACGACTCTCTTTGAATACAAATACAAATACAGTCGTGGTAATGATATATGAAACTTGAAAAGCAGTATGGTAAAGTTCTGCATAAATCAACACCACACTATCAGCGCTTAAAGGATTATCATTCACGAGCGATAAAAGAAATGAAACTGCCAGTGGACAGCAGGTGAAAAACACAATCACCACTATTGCAAACATGACGATGGGAGTGTGGTACAAGTTCAAGGGCAATCCATTGCTGTGTCCATTTGTTGGCACATCAACAGGCACAACCAATCTGTCACCTCGTATCTTCTTAGCGACAACAAAGACACACATCAAGGAAATAAATGCACAATGGGAGAACATTAAACAGATAAGTATTTTTTCCAATCTGAAATCATTATAGATTGATGCAACACAGTTTCCACTGTATTCGTTCCGAGCAAATGGAATCCATGCGCAGATTTGTATTATCAGCCATATTGTAACACAGCGCGCTATGGTGGTCTCCTTAGTAACGTGTATTATATACCAGGTCACATAGTGTACAGCTAACATCCGGTCAACAGCCATGCAGGTCACGACCCCAATAGAGACACCCACGACTTCAGTTAAACCAACCAACACTGCGTTACAATAATAGGGGAACAATACCAGTCCCGAGTGTAAAACAATCGATCGACTTATGATAATCCATACCGAATACATCCATTGTATCAGAAGTAAATTGTATACCAGAATCTTGATCTGTGGGACGATATTTCGACAACGGTAAAGTGTCACAGAGGCAACTGTGTTGATGGTCAGTGAACAAATAGCAACGGTCAGATCTGCAATACTGACCAACGCCCTGACGAGTAAGGCGTCCCCCATCGTAATGCACGGAGCACCTGCTCCAAACAGCGAGTTCAAGTACTGTTCATATGCGTGCATACACTCTCGTGTTACCAAGACATGATACCACTTAGATGATTAAATCACACTATACAAGGATGCTTGACAACACTTCTTGGTTGAAAAATGGTTTCGAGTAATCCCTAGATGGTGGCACAGATTTTTTTATTGCACAACTTGGTTAATTAGTCACTTTATTGTACAATTTTTTGTATTGAACAGAAGCAAAATATTGACCATTATAAAAACAGATCATTCAAATTAAAAAAAAAATTATTGCAATATTTTGGTTCTATTTTAAAAGTCTTCAACTAAATACTTCTGCCCACTGCTACGTCTGATGAAGGAACAGTAAAATGACAGTTCTATCACCATTGGTTACCATAAATGAGGTACATACAGTATTTAGTACAATAATATTGCCAACTGTTATCATCATAAAGACATATTACTTTCTTCACCTTTAATGAGGATGCTGTTACCTACATGAATCCTGATTTTGTCGCAAAAATAATGACTAGGACCTATAATATATTGTGATATGCAAAAGCAAGACGTCCGGTTTAATAATATAATGTATTCTGTGACTTTACTTGGTCATCATTCACAGCTGAAAATCACATTCAAAAAATTATATTTGCAACAGGTTAGATAACACAGATTTTGTTTGAATTAAAAAGAAGACGATAATGTATCATTCCCATTTTGTCCTACATCAATGTTGAATTCTTTGTACAATAATCTGATACATGCTTTTATTATGATATTTTGTTGGAAGGCTAATCGATACCTCGAAGCCTCTTGATGACAGATTTTCGGTTCATTCTCTTTGAATAAAATCTGTCTCCCCTTTTCTTCAGGTATTGTCATCTTGTATGGCTTGTTTTTTTTTTTTTTATATAAAGATGCATATTTTCCAGATGTTTCACCAATGCCACTCAAAGATTGAAATAGGAAATGGTATACTGTTAAATAATATTTCAAAAATAACACCATTGTGCCATAACCTGAGGAGGGAATCTGAACTCAAAGCGGATACAAACACACAACAACAGGAACCGAGCTCGAGGTGACACAAGAACTAATGGACAACATCAAGAACCGGAGGCGACACCTGGTGCACCGGAAGGGTAGGCGTTTTTTTTTTTATCACATTAAGAACTCGTCATATTAAATTTATGTTGTGAATGAGGACCTTTCCTACTGAAAGATGTTTTCCTTATTCTGAAATTTAATAAAAATCAATAATTAGCAATTATGAAAACATCAGATGTAGTTGAGACAGATTTTTTTTTTTTTTCAACTGCGATTTTATCACAATACGTTGGGAAGTTACAATATGTAATAAAACAACAGATTTTTTCTCATATACATATACTAGTAGGACTTCAGGTTACTACGAGACATTAAATGTAGCAAAGGACTAAAATGAAATAACTTTTTAGTATACAAATATTGCTTAACCTATTAATATATAATTCATGTGTGTCGAAGCGTGTGTAAGAATGTGTATCATTCACACTCGAACTCATCTCAGTTATAATCCCGGTTGTAACGGATGCAAGGACGTAGTCCCCGGATGTATCTGATGACACGTTATTTATATACCTCCATTTATGGATGTAAATATAACTTTCAGCAGAACGAAACGAAGGTAAGTGCGTTGACTTTTCAAATAGAAAACAAACTTTAGAATTAAAATGTATTGTTTTATTGTTAATTTTTACTTACTGTGCATGCTTTCTAATGTTTATAAAAGGCGTCCTTTGTAATCAGAAATAGAAATACAATGTGACTGTTTGCTTGCGTTTTAATTTGTATACAGTTATGCATGTTTAAGCAACTAAAAAAAGCTTCATTATACAAATTACTATCTTATAAATGTTGATTTTCTTCTATTTGGAAACTATATGTTTAGGTACAGTGGGTGTACAGGGCTTTCGCTTTGTTTAAAATGTTGCTGGTCGTTGGTATATTTGATTTGTTGGCGGTGATTAGTATTTCATCGGTTGTTAAAGATATTCCTTTCTTATTTTCAGATTCTTATAATTGAGATGTTGACCGTAATTGCTGTACTCAGTTCTGTCCTCGCTTGCCATGCACAGGTAGGTGAATTTCTAACGTAACTAACAAGAATCTTATAATATCACCTACAATGTCATTATGGATGGTTTTCTACATCTTACAGCGATCTGGTCAGTGATACATGTTATTATACCCATTGCAATAAGAACCTAAACGTAAAAGGTTATAACATCGAAATTCAATAACTCTGTTCTGGAAGGACACCAGTCTATAAAAGGAGTACTACCAGTGTGCTTGCACAACTAGACAGATTAAATCAATGGGCAGTAACATAATCACAGAATATTAGTTATACCAAAGGAGATAGGACAACAAAAAACCGACTTCTTAGCAACTGCATTATGGTTTTTGAGACCAGTGGCAAACCTTTTGCATCCACAGCGAAATAAGTGTAATGATTCTTTATTTCCGACTTTCAAAGATATCCCCTTGTAGTATTTTACATGCCCATACACTATTTATATAACATTGATATTCATTTAGTATTTTACATTTAAGATTGTTACAGGTTGGCAGCAAGATAATTGACTTGTAAATGCATTTGTTCAGGTATTAATTGACTTTGTTCTAGCAATATTTCAGACAGGACATCTAGCAAGGGTCCGAGATAAAGGTAGATTTACATCTAGCAAGGGTCCTAGATACAGGTAGATTTACATCTAGCAAGGGTCCCAGATACAGGTAGATTCACATCTAGCAAGGGTCCCAGATACAGGTATATTCACATCTAGCAAGGGTCCCAGATACAGGTATATTCCCATCTAGGAAGGGTCCCAGATACAGGTAGATTCACATATAGCAAGGGTCCCAGATACAGGTATATTTACATCTAGCAAGGGTCCCAGATACAGGTAGATTCACATCTAGCAAGGGTCCCAGAAACAGGTAGATTTACATCTAGCAAGGGTCCCAGATAAGGTAGATTTACATCTAGCAAGGGTCCCAGATACATGTAGATTCACATCTAGCAAGGTTCCCAGATACAGGTAGATTCACATCTAGCAAGGGTCCCAGATACAGGTAGATTTACATCTAGCAAGGGTCCCAGCTACAGGTAGATTAACTTCTAGCAAGCGTCCCAAAATACATTGAAAGAATATATTATATTGTTCAAAAGAAGATTCAACCTATCAGACAAACTCAAGAAATAGTTACTGATTTTAACTTTTTATTACGTGTCATGTAATGACTTATGATTTCAACCGTATAACAAGTACCAGGACATTGACCCCAGTAATACCTGTCATTACCGAAACTGTTACTTAATAGAAAGAAAAACAAATTTGAATTACGAAAAAAACTATCTGCAATCTGTTGACAAAGTGAAAACTTCGCCAACTGGTAACTTGGGTTTTTTATGAGATATGATATACTCATATTGGATTGATTCTTCTTTTTGTATAAAATACACCCCTTAACTGATTTCCTGACTGACCCAGCTGCATTTTGCTTTTATTTGTCCCTATTCATTTAACCTGTTAAAATACTTTAAAGATGAAAATCAAAAATAGATATTCTCCAAACATCTTATATTAACAGTGTGTAAAATCACTGAGGTTTCTATATGAACAACAGTATTTAAACAAAAGCTATTGAATCTATAAGGTCAAACATTTAAATTAACGAGAAATATACATATGGTAATATCTAAAATAGTACACCGGGGTTAAAGTATTGATAGGTTGATGGGTATTATCACTTCAGTATAAGGTAGATTGGGGAAGGTGTCTGTATGTTTACCGAAAATAGCAGGGTAAACTGAGATGTCCAATCAGTTTTCTTACTAATATGCGTTGAGAAAATTATGCTTAAATTGGGACGTTTACCTAGCATACTCTGTCTTCATGTAAAAAGAGTGGTCAGTCTTAAATTTGGAGGCACGGTAGTCTAGTGGTAGGGCGCCGGGTTCGCGATCGAAGGTACGCGGGTTCGAGTCACGGCATGGCACTGTGTTGTATCTTTTAGCAAGATACTTTACTCCGCTTGTTCCAATCTACTCAGCTGTAAATGAGTACGTGGTTGGGCAGTGCTAGAATTGTAGAATGCTAGCTGTGAGTGCCGAAATAGCAGTACCGGGGGGTTGAGAAAGATATTGGCTGGTTGCAAAGGCCCTATCACCACGGATAATAATATGTAAACCGCTTTGAGACGACCTACGAACTAGGTTGTGATAAAGCGGTATATAAGAACCTCTAAATATTATTATTATTATCATTAATTACTGAGCCGGAACATTCCTCTCAATATACCGACCTGGTCGGACAGCTGTGTATACATCCGTCTTAGTAAAGTGTTACAAACGATAGCCTCATAGACACCATTTGAGATAATAACGTCAGGTTAGTAGACAAAAACGTGATGTCAAATGAATACTCAGTTTAATTAGATACATGTTCTCACTTAATTTGTCCTTATGTACATACATCATTTCCTGGTGGGATGTTACTCTTATGTGTATGCAGAGACAGTTGATTGTTATACAGGGATAACTTAATGATGTCTTTATATAATGTCCCTTCAAAAAAAAAATCAAAGCAAAAGGCTATACGTTATGTTACTGGTAACTTTTGTAATTAAAAGATATTATATTTTCTTAAAGTGGTGTCAACGTGATAAGAAAAACTGAAAAGAAAATGTGCATTTCATTAGCTATTCCTTTCCGAAAACATGCTACGCAAGTCTGCCTAAACCTCTAATAAATCTGCAACACTCATCCCGTCATTCTAGCATTATGTGTGTCTGTATGTGTGACATGCGTGATACCAAAAATCTATTATTTATCAATTAAATACACATAGTTTTAACATTTAATTATCAGAAATGCAGTAAATATTTTCAACTTAAAAACAAATGATTTCGACACCAAATAGACTCGAGACCTTTTCCAAACTAAATGCGTCGACTGGCAATATGCAAATCGTATGTAGCTTCAGTTAACTCTTGTATAAATTTAAAGATATTAAAAGTCAACAAAGTCTTCGAATATCTTCTAGTTTTTAAGTTGTATGCTAAAAGCATGTTTATGATTGACGTTGGAAACGGAAATATGAACGGAAGTTTGTCTCACTTCGGAAGCTGCTTTTGTCATAACGGTATTTAAGTGTAGGCTGCTAATCTGTATAATGCAGTGTGTCATATAGCAGCGAAGAGGAAACGTAAAAAGTAAAGGTAGGTATCATACATAAACTTCTAAACATTTATATTACGCTTGACATATTAGCAAAGGAATCTCACTTTAGAGATGCTTGTAAAGTGTTTTTAAACATTTTATTGTCATAATAAATTCAAAATCAAAACAGAATATCATTAATCTGAATATTGTACGGAGGTCGACTTTGAAACGCCCAATTTTTGACAAAGTACCTTGATTGGAAACGTTTCAGGAAGGCAGACAAATTAAATAATCATGGTAAGAGGAATGAAAACTATGAAGTATGTGGATATATTTTTTACGGTAATACGATTAAACGAATTTGCCTGAAAAATTTAATAGTGAAACCTTTGTTGCAGATGTTCCAAGCAACCATCATTGTCGCATTGACGTGTCTTCATCTATCGGTACGTATCAGATGTGTTGTTGTGTTAAAAATATTATATTAAGTCGATAAGTGGGCATCTTTATCATTATCAGGTTTTTGCTAAGGGGTGATTTTTTTCTGTCGAAGAAAACATTTTTCTCATGATTATCATATATAATATTAACAATATATAACAACAAAATATCAACGAAACTGAGTACAGTTATATTCATAACGAAATGCTGAGGCATAGACATAGCTTGAGCTGGTTAAAGTTTTGGTATTTTCTCCATCTCTTGAATGATATAATGTAGTTTAATCAGAAAAAAGGGAATTGTGATCTTTTCGAAAAGATTATAACGAAGGTCATTGCTCTCGTTTAATATGGCAAATATCCAATGATAAAACATGGATAACACACAGGAAGTCATCAACATGATATGCACGTATTTCCGCATACCGACATGCATTGCCATAGAAACCTAGTGTCTCATGTTGTTAATGTGAATACGATTCGGATAGTGTGGATATTTTGTCAATTTGTATTGACTAAACAATCGCGAAAGAAAACAGATACGGATAATATTACACTATAAAATGCAGAATTGAATATGCAAAAAGAAAATGCAAAATACAAAATACGATAAGAAAACGCCAATATTTGCATCTGCAGGCATATCCAATATGTTACCTGGTTCTAAGGACCACATAAGTAACGTTATGACGAGGCGTCTGTTGTCCTTCATCTTTCTGTCTTCAGTCGTTCATTCGAGATTTCCATAATGATACGATTAGTGCTTAGTGCTTTTCATCATCATACGATAAGCGCTTAGTGCTTTCCATCATGATACGATTAGTGTTTAGTGCTTTCCATCATGATACGATTAGTACTTAGTGCTTTCCATCATGATATGACTAGTGCTTAGTGCTTTCCATCATGATGCGATAAGCGCTTAGTGCTTTCCATCATGATACGATTAGCGCTTAGTGCTTTCCATCATTATACGATTAGTGCTTAGTGCTTTCCGTCATGATACGATAAGCGCTTAGTGCTTACATCATGATACGATTAGTGCTTAGTGTTTCCATCATGATACGATTAGCGCTTAGGGCTTTCCATCATGATACGATTAGTGCTTAGTGCTTTCCATCATGATACGATTAGTGCTTAGTGCTTTCCATCATGGTACGATTAGTGCTTAGTGCTTTCCATCATAATACGATTAGTGCTTAGTGCTTTCCATTATGATTAGTGCTTAATTACACGTGGATCATCCCCTGGTGAAGGAAATTTAATGTTGAATAAGGAAACGTATGGCCGTCTGAAGAAGGGTAAAGAGGTGAACACTCCTGAGTGAATGATGTTTTCACCTATTCCGTCTTTGCGTATTGCAGAGTTATCTTCTCTTGGGAGTAGGTATTGATTGTTACGTCATTGGTTTGTGTGAGAAAATTACGTCGTTTTCTCAAAAATTGATTACGTTACTCTCACAAACAAGTGACGTAACAATCAATACCTGCTCCCAAGAGCAGATAACTCTGCATTACGCAAAGACTGAATTAGGCATCGGGGATGCATTAAACAAGACATTGCTGGAAGTATAAATGAAAGGGATGTCTCTCTGAGGGCAATGGGATAGGACGTAAATAAATCCTTTAAAACATTTATCCTTTTAACAGAATTGATGATATTCTAATTGCAGTTGATTTTCGCCGTAATTACTCCCGACCCACAATGTGGAAGTACTAAGGGTTGCTACCCCCCGACCTGTCCCGTAGGTGGATGCAAAGATTTTCACCTTCGCTGGGAGGACGCTGCGGAATACATAAGGTTCAAGATGGTGGCTTCAGTTCCATCAACGGGGAACGTCTGGGCAGCTATAGGCTTCTCAAAGGACAACCAAATGGTAGGTCAGCTTAAGTAGATGGGAAAGGATCATATACAGAAAAGAAAAAGAAAAGAAGATTTTGTTTTGTTCTGTTTAACCGCAGAAAAATGCATCTTTATAGTAGTTCATTGTTAATAACAGAACAGTGTCAATTTGATTTACAATTTTATGACATGAAATGCTATTAAAGTTGGAAATATGTATATGATAGCGTCTGCCTATTATGATATCTATAGTTATGTCTGTCTGTCTGTCTATGATAATGTCTGGCTATGGATTTGTTTGTCTATGATACAGTCTGTCTATGGTACAGTCTGGCTATGGTTTTGTCTGTCTATGGTACAGTCTGGCTATGGTTTTGTCTGTATCTGGTAATGTCTGGCTATGGTTTTGTCCGTATATGGTAATGTGTGGCTATGGTTATATCTTAGGTAACGTTTTTGTTTAGCCATTGTTTTTTCTGTCTATGGTACAGTCTGTCTAAGGTTATGTCTATCTTTTGGTTTGTCTGTCTAAGGTACAGACTGTCTAAGGATATGTCTATCTATTGGTTTGTCTGTCTATGGTACAGTCTCTCTAAGGTTATGTCTATCTTTTTCTTTGTCTGTCTATGGTACAGTCTGTCTAATGTTATGTCTATCTTTTGGTTTGTCTGTCCATGGTACAGTTGGTCTAAGGTTATGTCTATCGTTTTGGTTTGTCTGTCTATGGTACAGTCTGTCTAAGGTTATGTCTTTCTATTGGTTTGTCTGTCTATGGTACACTCTGTCTAAGGTTATGTCTATCTATTGGGTTGTCTGTCTATGGTACAGTCTGTCTAATGTTATGTCTATCTTTTGGTTTGTCTGTCTAAGGTACAGACTGTCTAAGGATATGTCTATCTATTGGTTTGTCTGTCTATGGTACATTCGGTCTAAGGTTATGTCTATCTTTTGGTTTGTCTGTCTATGGTACAGTCGGTCTAAGGGTATGTCTTTCTTTTGGTTTGTCTGTCTATGGGACAGTCTGTCTAAGGTTATGTCTATCTTTTTTGTTTGTCTGCCTATGGTACAGTCTGTCTAAGGTTATGTCTATCTTTTGGTTTGTCTGTCCATGGTACAGTCTGTCTAAGGTTATGTCTATCTTTTTGGTTTGTCTGTCTAAGGTACAGTCTGTACAATATTATGTCTATCTTTTGGTTTGTCTGACTATGGTACAGTCTGTCTAAGGTTTTGTCTTTCTTAGATGACGCTTGTCTTATATTTTGTCTAATAGTGATTTTATATGTCTACGGTAATGTCTGTTGTGGTAACACCAGTCTAATATGTTTTCTATTGATGATATCGTTGAATATGGTAAGGTCTTTCTATGGTAATTTATATCTATGTTTATTTCTATCTATGACTATGTCTATCTATGGTTAGGTCTGTCTATGGTTATTTCTATCTATGATTATGATATCTATGGTAAGGTGCGTCTATGGTTATTTCTATCTATGATTATGTATATCTATGGTTAGGTCTGTCTATGGTAAGGTCTGTCTATGTTTTTTTCTAAATATGGTAACGTCTTTCATAACAGCTTTATTTGGTTATCTTTCTGTAGAGTAGTGTCTGTCTATCATTGTCTGCCTAAGTTAAGTATACATATGGTAACATTTCCAATATCTTTACACTTACAGAAAAACAGTAGTGTGGTGATGTGCAAAGTGGACCCGACGACAGTGGAGATAGGGTATACCGACCCACTCAAAAACTCCTATGCTGCCTTAAAGGTTTATACGTTAAGAACTTGTTGTATTACATTTCTACACAGATGTATCCACCTTATCAATTAGATATTTTCACTTTCTTGAGTTTTGAAAAGTAATGTTATCCAAAATGCATTGCATTGAACACTAACATAATTGGGAATATCTAATAGTTATGCATATTTGAATAAGTGATAGATAGCAAAATAACGACAAGAAGAATGAGCAATTCAAAACAAGAAAAATGGAGTGCATCAGTCAAAATATGTACTTGGTTTTCTAAGATAAGGTTTTTTGCTTCAAGATTGTCGAAGCACTGACAATCACCGATAAACTTGAAGATGAAACAGGACAAGATTTGCTTTATGTGATATCACGGTTATGTTAGCTCTGTGCGAATTTATCATAGAGTATGTACAGTAGGCGAACGAAGTTTTTATTCAATGAAAACAAAAGTGTCAAGAGAACAGTAATTCTAAGTCAAAATCGATGACATCAGGGCGAATTGAACCCGACATGTATTGATATGCTAAATGTATGCAATGAAAATATTTTCAAAGACTCGTGACAAAGAAACCACACGTCACCATTTTGATCACAAATTCATCAAAATTCCTATTGCACAAGGAAACAGAATATTTCCAAATCAAATAATGACGGCGACCATAAAACCTGGCCTAAATCTCCTCAAGCTGTAGCTCTCGCACCCTGTTGTAAGTAGGTCAGTAAGCAATCGATAAATTACTATCAAGAATGAGAAAGTATGCGTTCGAAAATTATTCAGCAGTACTTAGAATGGTGGTGGTGCCTTACAATAATCAGTACCAAAAAGCTTATTTCTTGAAGTCGTGAAGTACTCAATCGAAAAGTCAATCCGAAACGGAAAGACACCAAATCAAAGGAAAGGCGAAACAAAAAAAGATACGCGTTTTTCTGCACCATATGTGTTAAAACCTTAAGTGAAACAAATCGGTCACTAGCAATCTAAGAAACTGTAAATAATCATAATAGCCCCGGCCGTTACATAGTTAGAAGTAAGGCAATGGTTACGAGCGTAATATTTCCTCAGCAAAGGTTGATAGCCTCCACAGTAGAAAAATGTGGCCATGTTGTCAATCTGTCATAAGGATACATTCATCCACAACATTATGATAATGAGGACAGGTCGAGTTATCTCCCATGTGGCGTACATCATAGATGTCACCACATTTATATTCAGTTTCTGATTAGATAATCTGGTGAAAGGAAATGTGACATGCAAACCCAATGAGCTAGGGAGGCTGGTATTTTACTACTTAGAAAGAGCAAAAGGGGGGGGGGGGGGCATTCTGTTTTAAGCAAACGAAACGTACATTACGTCGCATATAAGTAGCAAACGAAACGTACCTTAACAACACTGTTTCAAAATGATCGGTGTTTGAAGAGAAGTTATCGACATTTGGCGCATATAAATAGCATAAATTGAAGTACATTTGTTGTTGCAGACTGTATCCACCCTAACCAATGTGTCAGTAGCCCGTAACGGATCCTATATGACGTGTACATTCGCTCGGATCAAGAAACCAACGGAGTTCCCGACTCAGATATTTGCTCTAAACCAAACCGATCTATATCTTCTGAATGCACATGGACCACTTATAGGTGATAACTTATGAAGAGGAATTGATAAATAAATGCAAATTTAGAAACATCATATTTCAAATTTCTTTAGTTTAAACAAAACTTTTTAGTTTGAAATTTGACATTAATTTGTAAACACGAAATCGAGCTAGGAAACATATTTTTTTTATTTGATTCATCGCCTAAAATGTGACATAAAAATTACTTGCTCGTGGTATGTTTTCTATTTTACTGGAGCTATATTAGTATTATTGAAAATCAAAAAAAAGTAATTTGTGATTTTTATCAATTTAACTGGTTATATTGTCTCTGTTAATAATACTATGATTTTGTAATGGTGTCATTTCCAATCAAATGTTAATTAAAATAATGTCTGATGTTGATGCGTATGATATCTAATATACTTATTTATTTTTTATTTCAAGACGGCATACCTGGCTATCACAACGCAATCAGGCAAGCAAGCGCGAGCACCCTGTCGTTCGTAAATATGACCGACACTACTCCAATTTTGCCAACAACTGACGCCCCTCCTACCAGCACTCAGATGGCAACTCCTAGCACCACTCCTGCTAATACTGCTACACCCCTGAAAATCACTATTTCGTCCATGTTCCTTACATGTTTGGCAGTGGTCGTCACACTCCTGTAAAGAGAATAGAACTGGTTTCTATACAAACAGCTTTTAAATCCAGTGTATCTTGGTCAAATTGAAACGTTTCATTAGTATAAAGTTATCTATAAATTCTAACGATGAAGTTCGTCAAATACCAAGGAAAAGATGTCTGGAGCAAAATAAGTCTTTCCTCTATTTCTGATTAAGAAATATAATGCATTTAACTATTCCGTCTTTTTGTATTGCAGAGTTATCTGCTCTTGTGAGCAGGTATTGATTGTGACGTCATTTGTTTGTGAGAGGATAACGTCATCAAATTTTGAGAAAACGACGTAATTTTCTCATACAAACCAATGAGGTAACAATCAATACCTGCTCACAAGAGAAGATAACTCTGCAATACGCAAAGACGAAATACAAAGTATTTTCTACTGTCATCTAGTACTCTTTCGCACAGTTTACAAAGCGTTGCTAGATAATACAATGTCTCGATACTGAGCATGAAAGACATGCAGTATGTTATTTAAGGAATGATTTTTATTTTTTCAACATTTATGAGGTCATAACAACAATGGGTTTATGGACATATTGAATGAATCGCGTTAGCGATTCATGTAAAATATGTCCAAAAACCCATTGTTGTTATGACCTCATAAATGTTGAAAAAATAAATATCATTCCTTATATTTACATTGACGAATCCTTTCAGTGGATCGATATAACAACGAATAAAACAAATAAACAGGGTTTGTTCCTGCTTATACACGGGTGCAACGCAGTGGCGAGAACAGTGTTTTTTCGCGGGGAAATGTGACACTATCGTGAGAGATCTTAGCAACCGTCAACAACAATAACACAACAAAATGTAGTTCCATATTCAATGTTTATTTGTAGCACAGGACACGTGAATACGTGGATATTTCACAAAGCACAGTTCAATAATATTTTAAGATGTAAGAATTAAGCATCTAGGTCGGTCGTTCCGAGTGAGTAGTTTTTGTAGTGTATTACTACGCAGTGTGATCAGGTTACTATCAGTTCCCACGTGCTGAGATTCTATGAACACCTGTGTTATGCATTTATGAATGTAATTTTTGTCAATGGGTCTAAGCATACAGAATGTAAATATATACACATGTAAAGCAAATACAGAGGTTATTGGTATCACACGGATGGCCGATATATGTAATATATCTTTTTATATTCAGATGAACACTTTTTCATTAAGACAATAAGCTATTTCAGAATGGATAAACATAATAATTTCCAAAACTTATAAACAGATAATAACCATCATTCATTAATCTTAGCGTACGCATCTAGTTAAAAAAAAATAAAAAAAAAATTTTGTTAAGGCTTATTTTAATTGTATGTACATTATATCTATACATGTATAATTTAACAAGATAGTTGTATTTAAAGATAATTTCGTATTGATTTTTTCAGCCTTGTTTACGTTAGTATGCATTGCTTATTAACAGTATGATATAAGTGAACATTATCATTGTGCTTTGACACGGTAAAAAAATCCCGCGCGACACCAGGTTTCTTTTTGTGATATAGGATCTGGTATTTCATCAAGAGGGGTGAGAGGTTGTCAGGTATTAGAAGGTGAGGGGCATCTAAATACTATAAGCCCAAATAAAATTTGGACTGAAATACCTCCTATATTCCTGGACCGATCGTTTGGGGTTTTCGTTCTCTGTTTTTAGGGAATTTCTGGGGATTTAAAAGCCAGGACACAGGGACAATCTCCGAAAGAACTTCATATGTTTCCAATAGAGAATAATTTCCGTTCACACTTTTCCTTTTAACACGACAGCATTAAAAGACACATCATTCTGTTTTGTTAATTAATCATCTACGTGTCATTGATATATCTTAGTACGTATCTGGTAAAGTATATAAATCATATTAAGGGGCGTACATGTGTGACATTTATCAATATGCATTCGTTGAGAATATACGTCACACTAAGGGGGTACATGTATGATAGCCATGAGTATGTATTAAGGGGAGTATTTATATCATAGTTAAGAGATATGTGTTTTTGAAAGTATTCAAAAGTTTTACTTCAAATGTTGCATTTTGACACAGTATTAGCAGTGAAAAATTACTTAGTTCAACTTTCAAAATTTTAAATATCAATATTTTAAAGACTACTTTGTTTTTTGTTCTCCTTCAACAGCAAAGATAATGGGTTTTTTTATGTGAAAATCCTTTGAAATACATGTTCACATTACAAAAAGACTACATTTATAGACAAATGTGTACCTCATTTCAGCTCGCATGTGCAAGAGACGGTGTCCAAAATTAGAGTAGGCGAATATGAAAGCATTTGATTGTTCAATTTTACAAATGTTAGAGAAGTATAATATATTGTATACCTATTTACTCATTCCAGTTTGTCGTCAATACTAAATGCCCAATAAGAGCCATTCCTTGTGAAATAACGTCCTTTTTTTAATCTTCGAAAAAGCATGAGACATGGCGGTTATAAAAACTGCCAAGATTATTACAATTATGGTAAATATTTAATAACAAGTTTGTCTGTATGTTTGACATGTCACATCCCATCCTCACGTGATGAAAATCTACATCAACATGCTCCCTAGGGAGTTGAGAAAGATATTGGCTGGTTGCAAAGGCCCTATAACCACGGATAATAATTTGTGAACCGCCTTGAGAAGACCTCCGAACTAGGTTGTGAGAAAGCGGTATATAAGAACCTCGAATTATTATTATAAACAGCACATCAACTTACCGAAAAGAAAACTGAAACTGAGTGAAACATTTAGAAACGAGTGCTTAAATAGAACCTAACTATAATCCCATTTTATGAAAATGCCATAAGAAGAAAGCAATAAATAATATACAAGATAACATGCATTTCATTAGCTTTTCGTTTCCTAGATAATGCTCCTCGATTCTGCCTCAACCTCAAAACCTCATACAATTTTGCTTCGCCTGTCCCGTCATTCTGACCCTTTGTTTGTCTGTAGGTATGCACAATGTATGTTATGGTTTTATTAAAATGTGTGATGTAAAACAAATGCTCTCTTCTGTTATCAATTAAGTACACAACGATTGAATATACAGACTGGATGTTAATATTTTCAAGCTAACAATGAGTTCAACATCAAAAGGACTCTCTGGATTTGTTTGCAAAACTGAATGCGACAAACTTACAACTACAACGTGCAAATCAATCTTAGATTCATTGTTCATGCTTGTGTTTATTTGAGTCTGACAGTGTCTTGAGTTTCTATAGATTTACAGTCATAGTTTAAGTTGTACTTTTAAAAAAAAAACATTTATATGATTGACGTTGGAAACGGAAATTTGAAAGGAAGTTTGTCTCATTTCGGAAGCTGCTTTTGTCATAACGGTATTAAAGTGTAGGCTGCTGATCTGTCTAATTCAGTGTATCACATGGCGGCGAAGAAGGAACGTAAATAGTGAAGGCAAGTACCCTCCTGAACCATTTATTGAATGAATAATACATTTTCGACATGTAAGCTAAAACAATGTTTTTCAACTTATTTAGTAAGCTATTTATTCAATTTCTACTGTGATAATGAATGAAATACAAAGGCAATTTTTAAGTTAAATATTGTACAAGATGCCGACTTTGATATGCCCCGTGCTGTATCATGTACATCTGTTGAATCGGGTCCGCTTTTCTGAAACGCTTTAAAAAGGCAAATTATATTATTTTGGTAGACAAAAGGAAAAAAATCGTTTGAACTATAAAGATTTTTTTTATTGTAATACGATTAGACAAATTAAGCTGTTTTCGATTTGACAAATTTAAACTTACTCATTTCAGTTTGTTTCAGATGTTACAAACAGCGATCATCGCCACATTCGTCTTCATTCAAATATCGGTACGTATACTTTTAAAGAAAACAGCTTTTCAATGTCATAACAAAACATATTATACATGTAATAACAATTATAAGGATTATAACACGAAGATATAACAGAAAGAAGTAAGAACTTAATTGAGACGGCTATAATCACAATGAAAAGGTCGAGGCATGGAATGAACACCCTGAATACAACGTGCTGTTGTGGTAGTTTTTGGTATTTCCTCGAGCTGTGGAATGATAACATATAGTTTTAACTAAGAATTAAATCTGCCATCACCATCTCTTAATAAGATATATCTAAAGAGATAAATGCTCGCGTAAAAAATGGCATATATCCAATGATGAAATGCCGATGAAGACAGGAAACCGTCACAAATTATGTATATAAATTACTGTGTACCGACATAACTGTCATTTATATCTCGCGTATAATTCGATAAAATAAAAGAGGTTCGCAATGGTTTGTTAATTTGTATTTAGAAAAACATTGAGAAAGAAAGTAAATAAATTGATAAGCTATGACATTCTTAATCCGAAATTGAGAATTCGAAAATTTCCTGACAAGTTTGAAGAGTCAAAACACGAATATCTTTTCAAAATCACAAACATTTCTATTTTTAATTCACCTGGCGAACTTGTTTTCATGGGACAGCGTTCGTTTGTCTACATTTGTTCGTTGGTTGTCAATGTTTCTTTTTAAAAAGGTATTTCGACTTAATTTAAGAGATGTTGGTTTTGACCCTAATCTTAGTGGAGCATCCCTGGGCCATGATTATTGCATATATTATCAATGAAAGTTCTCTTTGAGATGGGATAAGCATTTTGACGTATTCCTGCTTTGGGTAATGTCGATTTATCTTTCTGTTTTCACGAAAATCTGGAATTTTATTGTTTTTAAAAGAAGCAAAAAAGAAAAAGAAAAAGAAACAAACACGCTTAAGTACCGATGATGAAGATTTGTTCTAATTCAACATGAAACATTCCTGAACCAAGGGATTTCAATATTCAGAGAAGTAAAGGGTGTTTCTATAATGGGGATACACTTCTAAAATATCGGGATGGGAATTTGGCTTTATTTGGCATTGGTGGTTTCCCTTAAAAATAGGAGAAATTAGGATATAACCATAACACTTCTCCCTAAGAGTAGCTGAAGGGGTTATCACGCAAAACAGTCGATGAAGGCGCTATATTGTTGAAAAATTAATGGGGATGCTCTCTATAAGAAAAGAGGGTCCGGTCCGTGAGTAAATTTGTCAAAAAACTTAACTTCTTTTCATTTAGCGAACACTTTCAAAGATTTATCAAACTTGAGGGACTAACATTTTTTTGTAATATTTCGGACTGATGTGTCATCCTGCTGGGGTAGCTAACACTAATGTGGTGTCCCTGTGTTCTGCAGGACAGAATTGATTTTACAAACACACCAAAAAGTTACTTTATCGAACTTCAAAATACATGTATAACGGCTAATTCTTATAAGTGGATCAATATATAGGTACTATTGTGTTGTCTAGCAGTAGCGGTGGTAGTTTCAAGTAAGCATGTATTGTGTTTATGTTTATTTAGAATCTGATGTGCCTATCAATAATCAATCACTTCGACATCAAGCGCATTAAATATTGTGTGATTTCATTTCAGTTTTTGTTTGTTTTCAATTTTGAAGCACCATTTAGTTGATTTAATGTAAATAATTGAAGACATATACAACGGGAATTTAACTTGAATTTGATCACATAATGAAGAAAATTATATTATATGCATTTATTGACCATATATATTAAATATAACAACTAAGAAGATACTCTAATTCCAGTTGACTTGTGCTGTAATTACGTCCGATCCTGAATGCGGTAAAACAAAGGGGTGTTACCCCTCCATCTGTCCCGTAGGTGGATGTCAAGAATTTCACTTAAGCTGGGAGGACGCTGGGGAATACCTAAGGTTCAAGATGATAGTTGAAGTTCCAGCAGATGAGGTTGTATGGGCAGCAATAGGTTTCTCAAAGGACAACAGAATGGTAGGTCTGCTCAAATAGACGGGGAGACAGAGTGACAGGGATAAGGCAGAAAGACAATTAACAAAAACACTGACAAAAAGGCGTCTTAAAAAATGTTTTACAGGCGATTTTATAATACATTGTTGTTATCCGTTGGACCGACGACAAGGTCTTCAAGTTAAATTTTAATCTGTATGAGATAAATATCTATAAATGGATGTGTCTATCTATGGTAACGATTATCTATGGTTATTTCCATTCACAGTAACGTTCGTCAATGGTTATGCTTATCGAACACTTGTATGTGGTTATGTCTTTTTATGGTAATGCATGTTTTCTTTGATAATGTTTTTCTATTGTACTTGTCTTTTTGTCAATCTATAGTAACACTCGTTTATAGTAACGTCAATCTATGGTTACACTCGTTTATTGTAACGTCAATCTATGGTTACACTCATTTATTGTAACGTCAATCTATGGTTACACTTGTTTACGGTAACATCAATCTATGGTTACACTTGTCTATGGATATGTCATTATATGGTTACACTCGTTTATTGTAACGTCGATATATGGTAACACTTGTTTACGGTAATATCAATCTATGGTTATACTTGTCTATGGATATGTCAATCTATGGTTACACTTGTCTATGAATATGTCAATATATGGTTACACTCGTTTATTGTAACGTCAATCTATGGTTACACTTGTTTACTGTAACATCAATCTATGGTTACACTTGTCTATTGATACGTCAATCTATGGTTACACTTGTCTATTGATACGTCAATCTATGGTTACACTTGTCTATGGATACGTCCATATATGGTTACACTTGACTATGGATACGTCAATATATGGTTACACTTTTCTATGGATACGTCAATCTATGGTTACACTTGTCTATGGATATGTCATTATATGGTTACACTCGTTTATTGTAACGTCAATATATGGTAACACTTGTTTACTGTAACATCAATCTATGGTTACACTTGTCTATTGATACGTCAATCTATGGTTACACTTGTCTATGGATATGTCAATAGATGGTTACACTCGTTTATTGTAACGTCAATATATGGGAACACTTGTTTACGGTAACATCAATCTATGGTTATACTTGTCTATGGATATGTCAATCTGTGGTTACACTTGTCTATGGATACGTCAATCTATGGTCACACTTGTCTATGGATATGTCAATATATGGTTACACTCGTTGATTGTAACGTCAATATATGGTAACACTTGTTTACGGTAACATCAATCTATGGTTATACTTGTCTATGGATATGTCAATCTGTGGTTACACTTGTCTATGGATACGTCAATATATGGTTACACTTGTCTATGGATACGTCAATCTATGGTTACACTTGTCTATGGATATGTCAATATATGGTTACACTCGTTTATTGTAACGTCAATATATGGTAACACTTGTTTACGGTAACATCAATCTATGGTTACACTTGTCTATGGATACGTCAATCTATGGTAACACCTGTCTATGGTAAACATCTTTCTTTGATAATGCATGTCTATGGTAACGTCTTTATATGGAAACATTTGTCTATAGTTACGTCTATCTATGATAACGCATGTTTATGGTTACCTGTCCATATGGTAACATATATCTGTTTTAACGTCTTCCTATGGTAATGCATGTCTATAATTACGTCTACCTATATGATTACACCTTTCGATGGTTACGTCTTTCTATGGTAACAACTGTCAGTGGTAACGTCTATATATGGTAACGCATGTTTATGGTAACGTCTATATATGGTAACGCATGCTTACAGTAACGTCTATATATGGTAACGCCTGTCTATGATTACGTCTATCTATGGTAACGCCTGTCTCTAGTGACGTCTATTTATTGTAACGCCTGCCAATGATTGCATCTATCTATAATGAGGTTTGCTTATGATCGCGTCTATCTGTGGTAACGCCTGTCTATGATAATGTCTATCTGTGGACACGCCTGTCTATGATAATGTCTATCTGTGGTAACGCCTGTCTATGATAATGTCTATCTATGGTAACGCCTGTCTATGCTTACGTCTATCTGTGGTAACGCCTGTCTATAGTGACGTTTATCTATAGTAACGCCTGTCTCTAGTGACGTCTATTTATTGTAACGTCTACCAATGATTGCATCTATCTATAATAACGTTTGTTTATGATCGCGTCTATCTGTGGTAACGCCTGTCTATAGTGACGTTTATCTATAGTAACGCCTGTCTCTAGTGACGTCTATTTATTGTAACGTCTTCCAATGATTGCATCTTTCTATAATAACGTTTGCTTATGATCGCGTCTGTCTGTGGTAACGCCTGTCTATGATAATGTCTATCTATGGTAACGCCTGTCTATGATTACGTCTATCTATGGTAACGCCTGTCTATAGTGACGTCTATCTATGGTAAAGCCTTCTAAAGTGACGTCTATCTATGATTGCGTCTATCTACGGTAACGCCTGTCTATAGTGAAGTCTATATATTGTAACGCCTGTCTATGATTACGTTTATCTATGGTAACGCCTGTCTATGGTTACGTCTATCTATGATTACGTCTATCTATGGTAACGCCTGTCTATAGTGAAGTCTATATATTGTAACGCCTGTCTATGATTACGTCTATCTATGGTAACGCCTATCTATAGTGACATCTATCTATGATTGCGTCTATCTATGGTAACGCCTATCTATAGTGACGTTTATCTATGGTAACGCCTGTCTATAGTGACGTCTATATATTGTAACGCCTGTCTATGATTACGTCTATCTATGGTAACGCCTATCTATAGTGACNTATTGTAACGCCTGCCAATGATTACATCTATCTATAATAACGCTTGTTTATGATTACGTCTATCTATGGTAACGCCTGTCTATGATAATGTCTATCTGTGGTAACGCCTGTCTATGATAATGTCTATCTATGGTAACGCCTGTCTATGATTACGTCTATCTATGGTAACGCCTGTCTATGATTACGTCTATCTATGGTAACGCCTGTCTATAGTGACGTCTATATATTGTAACGCCTGCCAATGATTGCATCTATCTATAATAACGTTTGTCTATGATTGCGTATATCTATGGTTACATCTGTGTATGGTTACAAGTGTGTATGAAACTTCTATCTACTCTTACAACTGTGTATGGTTACTTCTATCTATGGTTACATCTGTGTATGGGTACTTTTATCTATGGTTACAACTGTGTATGGCTACTTCTATGGTTACAATTGTGTATGGTTACTTCTATCTATGGTTACAACTGTGTATGGTTACTACTACATGTATCTATGGTTACAACTGTGTATGGTAACTTCTATCTATGGTTACATATGTGAATGTTTACTTCTATTTATGGTTACAACTGTTTATGGTTACTTCTTTCTATGGTTACTTCTTTATATGGCTACTTCTATCTATGGTTAAAACTGTGTATGGTTACTTCTATCTGTGGTTACATCTGTGTATGGTTACTTCTAATTGTGGTAACACATGTCGATGATTACGTCATATGTGGTAATGCTTGTGCCTTTTGAAGGTTTTTTCTGCACATGGTTGTCTTTGATTCGTATTTCTATGGCAACATATTTTTTATACTCGTAGAGAGACACCAGTGTGGTAATGTGCAAATCGGACACGATGACAGCCGAAATAGGGCATAATGATCCTTCACGATTCTTCTATGCTCCTTTAAGGGTATGTGCTTCAAGAACTGTTTATCATATACTGTACTGAATATGAAAAGTGATGATAATCTTTGAATCTTTTAAGCTCTTTAATTAAGTAATTTTATTACTTTAAATTTTTTAGAGAAGATCTGATTGATTCCAAATTACATTATGATTATAGTGGTTTATTAAGAAACCATATTGTCCCGTCAGTTAAGCATGAGGTAAAGGGGAAAGTCCAAAGTTCTGATAAAAGAGGCTTTCTTTAGGAAAAGGTGTTTAAGATCGATCATAGGATATTTTAAGCAACTGTTAATAAGTATTGATCCAATAAAACCCTGGTCATTTAATAGTCAAAATTCAGGCAATGATTACGATCGTTATATTTTATTAGCAAAGATTCAAACTTCTCTCGGAAAAAGTCCATGCCAATATCATATCGGTCACAAGGACAAATAGTATAGCAATCACAAGGACAAATATTATATTGGTCACAAGGACAAATAGTATATCGGTCACAAGGACAAATAGTATATCGGTCACAAGGACAAATAGTATATCGGTCACAAGGTCAAATATTACATCGGTCACAATGCCAAATATTATTTCGGTCACAAGGACAAATAGTATACGGTCACAAGAACAAATAGTCTATCGGTCACAAGGACAAATAGTATATCGGTCACGATGACAAATAGTATCTCGGTCACAAGGACAAATCTATATATAACTTACTGTTTTGTAAAACATGCAATAATGACGTAAATGAACTGAAACATGTTTACTCGACTAGCAAGGGAGGACGGCAAGTAATTCCAGAGATAATAGAAAAATGTGGTCAACACTCTTCTCAGCAAACATGAGCGTATGACGGTGAAACCTTTCAAAATAATCTTTGTCCGACAAGAAGCCATCGATGTTTCTGACGTTTGTGCAATGTACCTATTTAAACTAATTTTTACTTGTCTTCTTTTTTGCAGACTGTATCAAGCCTACAGGATGTGTCTGTTTCCCGAACCGTAATGTATATGACGTGTATGTTCTCCCGAATTAAGATACCAAGGGAATTCCCAGCACATATATTTGCCTTAAACCGACCCGACCTATATCTTCTGAATGCTCGTGGCCCGATTGCCAAAGGTAAATTTTAAGTAAAAACGAATAGATAGATATTTCAGATATATCTAATTTAAGGAAAACTTAAAAAAAACTAGTTTACTAATATATATCAATATAAGTAAACACATTGTATTGCATTCTGCATGATTTATATTTGTAATTGTAATTAGTTACCCTAAAAAGTCATAGAAATTGAAAAAAATACTTGAAGTTATAAGTTTATTGTATTTTAAAAAGAAATTGTTTTTTTTGCAAGGTAATTTGTAATCTAATTAATTATATTGTCATGTAATTGAACTCATGACTTGTTATGATAATGTGCGATTCTTACGTAGTTATTCTTCATTTTGTAGGAGGCATGCCTAATCCCCACACAAGCAGACAAGCAAGCGCGAGCCCTGTGTCATTCATGATTATAGGCCAGGAGGATACCACTACCACTACAACCACCAGAAGTCGTTCTACCACTAACACTACCACTACCACTACCACCACTAGAAGTCGCACTACCACTGCAACTACCATAATTGCGTCACCAACTACCAAAGATTCTACTATCACTACCTCCTCTGCGTCACCAACCACTAAACTCCCCCCTTCCACCTCTATCGACACACCTGCCAACACCCCTACCAGCACTTCTATCTCAACCCGTCGCATTTCTCCTACGGCCGAGCCCGTCAGCACTGCTATGCCAATCATAAATACTGTTTCGTCAATGATGCTGACATGTTTGTCAGTTGTCGTTGTACTAATTTTGATGACATAGAACGGGTTTAAATTCAGGTTTAACGCCTAAATGTTACCAAACAACATGTTGTTTCATTGTGTATTGTGTTCCATGGAAACGAATCCTAATTTAGGTTATTCCATAAATCAAAAACCTCGATCTATGAAATTCAACAAACACACAGGAAAAAGCCGTGAACACCGGTTTGTCAGGTGGTTTCAATATGCAGTTTTCCCCTATCTCTCTCTGATACAGATTGTAATACAGGTATACAGATGTAAGTCAATGCTCTTTCACAAAATTTACACAAAGTTGTGAGATAGGACCTGCAGATACATTATTTTAAATACTCGCATTTTTAAATGTTCGTTTCCGCTTCTCTGTGATTTTACGAAACTGCGCTCAGAGGTTACCAAATGCGATGTTGACCTGCAACTCCTTAACAATTACGCGAAAAGACGCAATACAATCCGTTGTTGATCTCCACTAAAATAGTAACAGGGGATCATGTCTATGGCGAATCATATTTTGACCAATCAGAAAACAAAACTGGCAATCACCGAGTAGTAAACAATGACAGGCAGCAATACGCAGACGTCCGATTATCGGGAGGCATTACGATTCCCTCGAATAGATCATAATTACCCGATTCTAAATTCCCTTAATGCCATCGAATTTGCCTAAAACTTTATCCAGAAAACGTAGCAGAGAGAGGCCAACTAACAAAAACAAAGTCTTGACATAGGTTAACACGAGAACTTGCTGGCCATCGATATATGACATTTGTTGGTTTCATTGAATATTGCCTTTCTTGGGCAAACGAATACCGTTTTTAACCTAAAAACGGCCACAATTGTGTTATGTTAAAAAGACTTGTTAGATTTCGTACAAATAAAATATATATATCAAATATACTCATGTACAGATTAACAAATTAATGTAAGACAACAGGAAACCACATCATGGTACATAAACAGATAATAGACATCATTCAATGATTTATTTAGCATTTCTATGTGAAAAAGATAATTTTTCAGTTATTATACTTGTATTCATGTTTTATTTGTATACGTATACACTGATGAGCAGTTCCATGATGTTTTGAAACGCCTAACGTCACTGTACCTAAATCGGGACACTTTTTAGATAAATATCGATGTTCTTTTAACCGTACTATCAGTTCCAAAAATATTTGTTCATTTTTCATATATAGATATGCTATCCACTTTTCATTTCTATTACAAGTTGATATTTCGGGCGCGTGGTTCTATAAATAAAACGCGAAGTACCAACAGGGTTACGTATACGTATGCCATTTATTTGGGGATACACGATCAATATTAGCAGAAAAGAAGACATATTTAAAAAGAGTTTAGATTCAAACAGGGTCATGATTAAATTTCTTCTCCAAACTAGCAGTAGTTTTGATAAAATAGACTTTGGAATTGATTTCCAAATAAATAGCGTCGCACGACACGTAAATCGGGAAGGTTTTGTTTTGGTCATTATTCTTACCTTTAAATTGTCCATTTAACGATAATCAGCAACCAATAAAGCTTACATACAGTTAAATTGTCATAAAAGTGTTATGGAATGAAAACTATATGCATAAAAGTACTTCTTTGAATTGAATGATAGTTCCTTGGGCCGTTTTCCCATAAGTGACCCGTTTTGGTAACTGTGCCGATTTGGGTACAGTGACGGTAAGATTCTAACCCAGAAAGGACGTAAGGTTGGCAGGGATACCTGGTAAATGTATGTGTATAGGGTTCTAGGTTTTAGCATGAAATGACAGCACCATAAGTCTGTAGTTATTTTTTTATTTTTGTTACTGGTGTTGTATTTCTATATGGAAATTTTAGAAAGGGACATTGGAGCGTTGTCTATCTTTTGAATAGAGAAAAACTGCCGAAAATCACAGGAGCCAATATTCATGTTACTATCTATTCTCTCTTGTTAAAATATTTCATTCTTTTGTAGGTGAATTATTTAGTCATTAGATTCTATTGATGTTACTTACTAATTGAAATAAACAACATTAAATATTTCGCAAATTGTTGAATTTATTATTTGGTACTAAGATAATATAAGAAATACACTTCTATTGGCATCAAAAATTGCAAATATTGTATGTGTTTCACTATTTCCTATTTTCGATTAACAGCAAATATTCATTTGCGTAATATGCTGCACGGTGATATTAAGCGAAATTTACGTTAACATGATAAATACTGCTTCACTAGTCAATGCTAAGTAAATTTGGAGCTCTTTCGAATACGATTCAAGCTTGTTTTATCGTATCTGTGACATTGAAACTATTACATGTATACACATTTCCCCTTATTCAGTTACTCTTTGTGAGGTTGAGCAATGGGCGAATTCAACAAAGGTCGAACCCCAATAAAAAGGCAGGACATTTTGAACTCATAAGATATAACATATTATATAAAATCATATTTTTGGAGTATGCATTAAGGTCATGGTCCATGCGCATTAAGATCATGGTCCAAGTGCATTAAGATCATGGTCCAGGTGCATTAAGGTCATGGTCCAGGTCATCAATCAAGTGATTCATATAAGGTAATAAAAACCCGTCTCATTCTTGTTATTGTAAAAGATATGATGGTAATATTTAGTTTTTCAAAGTTTAAACAAACGCACCACGGCGTCAACTAGCAAAAACAAAATAGGAAGTCTAAATAAATTTGAAAGGAAACCAGTATGGAACAGAGAAAGAATCATACAAAACTAAAGGAAAGATAGCATACAACCGGTTAAATAGTTTTAAAAACAAAGCACACACAACTATCAAAAACATAATGATACTAACAAGCACTGTGGTAGTGAACTTACTGTGACATGTATTAGTATACGTCCCATATGTTGATAGGTTTGTGCGAACAAAATTGAAGACGTTCTGTTCGGTGTATAGTGACCTTTCTTGTCATACTTTGGGTATCATGTTTAGAAGCAAAAAAAGTGGAATCTATGCCGCCTTGATTCAAGATCTGAGGAAATCATGAGACGCAAATTCTTATAAAAAGTTTTGTTATTCACGGACGAAACAGCATCTTTATAAGATAAGTTGAGATTAATTCTCTAAAAGCCCAATTATCTTAGTTTTATTACAGTGCAAATACAGATAGGCCCCAACTGGAAGCATCATCATAATCTACCAAAATAAACAAATAAACGGTATTCAACCGAGTTAAACCTTGTTGACAAACACGGAGACAGACAAAGAGCTCAGTTTAGACAAGACATTTTAAATGTGTTAGGATATATTGTATTTGCCTCTGTTGCTTGTTCAGACAGGGATATCGGCAGACCCAGCTTGTGACGTCACGAAGGGATGTTTTTCGGACTGTTCTGGCTCTCTGTGTTCCTTCCTGGTGACATGGAGACCTGTCAACAATGGACAAATCGTGTTTGAAATAACATCCGCAGTATCTGCGCCCAACAGCTGGGCCGCCATTGGATTTTCTGGAGATAGATCAATGGTAATTTTATTTACCATATAATTTTTCACTTTTTAAATTGGGCTAGGTCTTTTTGTGATGTTATTATATCGAAAAGGATTTAACGACACATTTAGAAAATTTAAAACTGATTCAGGTTTAGACAATACGCTTAAAAAAAAATCTTCATTGTGAAAACAAAACATCTTAAACTTAATGTATTATAAATGAGAACGTACAATCTCGATAAAATCGTAACACTCATATGAATTATTTTTTAGATAATACGCACGCGTATAAGAGGGATCAGACAGTGTTAACGCCTGTGTGAGTCCTGGTGTAGTAATTGTGTATTGTATAACAGGGATCAGACAGTGTTATCGCCTGTGTGGGTTCCAGCGGACTATTTGTGTATTGTATTACAGGGATCAAACAGTGTTGTTGCCTGTGTGAGTTCCGGTGGAGTAATTGTGTATTGTATTACAAGGATCAGACATTGTTGTTATCTGTGTGAGTTCCGATGGAGTAATTGTGTATTGTATTACAGGGATCAGACAGCGTTGTCACCTGTGTGAGTTTCGGTGTAGTAATTGTGTATTGTATAACAAGGATCAGACAGTGTTGTCACCTGTGTGAGTTCGGGTGTAGTAATTGTGTATTGTATAACAGGGATCAGACAGTGTTATCGCCTGTGTGGGTTCCGGCGGACTATTTGTGTATTGTATTACAGGGATCAGACAGCGTTGTCACCTGTGTGAGTTTCGGTGTAGTAATTGTGTATTGTATAACAGGGATCAGACAGTGTTATCGCCTGTGTGGGTTCCGGCGGACTATTTGTGTATTGTATTACAGGGATCAGACAGTGTTGTTGCCTGTGTGAGTTCCGGTGGAGTAATTGTGTATTGTATTACAAGGCTCAGACAGTGTTGTTACCTGTGTTGAGTTCCGGTGGAGTAATTGTGTATTGTATTACAGGGATCAGATAGCGTTGTTATCTGTGTGAGCTCCGTTGGAGTAATTGTGTATTGTATTACAGGGATCAGACAGTGTTGTTATCTGTGTGAGTTCCGGTGGAGTAATTGTGTATTGTATTACAGGGATCAGACAGTGTTGTTGCCAGTGTGAGTTCCGGTGGAGTAATTGTGTATTGTATTACAAGGATCAGACAGTGTTGTTACCTGTGTGAGTTCTGGTGCAGTGGTTGTGTATTGTATTACAGGGATCAGACAGTGTTGTTATCTGTATGAGTTCCGGTGGAGTAATTGTGTATTGTTTTACAGGGATCAGACAGTGTTGTTATCTTTGTGAGTTCCGGTGGAGTAACTGTGTACTTTAGTATAGGGATCAGACAGTGTTGTTACCTGGTTGAGTTCCGGTGGAGTAATTGTGTATTGCATTACAGGGATCAGACAGTGTTGTTATCTGTGTGAGTTCCGGTGGAGTAACTGTGTATTGTATTACAGGGATCAGACAGTGTTATTGTCGGTGTGAGTTCCGGGTAGAAATTGTGTATTGTATTACAGGGATCAGACAGCGTCGTTATCTGTGTGAGTTCAGGTGCAGTAATTGTGTATTGTATTACAGGGATCAGACAGTGTTGTTATCTGTGTGAGTTCAGGTGCAGTAATTGTGTATTGCATTACAGGGATCAGACAGTGTTATTGTCGGTGGGAGTTCCGGGTAGAAATTGTGTATTGTATTACAGGGATCAGTCAGCGTCGTTATCTGTGTGAGTTCCGGTGGAGTAATTGTGTATTGTATTACAGGGATCAGACTGTCGTGTTGCCTGTGTGAGTTCTGGTGTAGTAATTTTGTATTGTATTACAGGGATCAGACAGTGTTGTTGCCTGTGTGAGTTCCGGTGGAGTAATTGCTGCTGAATCTGGTTATACTGACGGTCGATCATACAGATCCCTTTCTAATGTAGGTAACAAAACTTCTTAAATAACGTTTAAGCATGCAGTTTCATTGTTTAAAAAATAAAATAGCATGTGTGCCCTCATTTTATTGGAAAAATACGGGGAGTGGAAGATCCAACGTCCAAAAGTACGGGGAGTGGCAGATCCAACGTCCAAAAATACGGGGAGTGGCAGATCCAACATCCGTGCAAAGAGTCCAGCGAAGTTCTGTGTTACTCAGCAGACGGATTCCACAAGGAATACATGAGTCAGACTGTAAAGAGTAAAGTAATCAAAAGGAAAAGATGACCATGACAAGGAAACTAGTCAACGTCAAATTTGGTTAAAGCCGTTATACCTTGCACGACATTTTCATTGTTATTTTTTTCCTTTTGATTATTTGAAAAGTATTTCGGAATTTTAAAATACAATGAATATATATATTCTACTACGATACTCGCGTCGGCTTTAGTATGTACCTAGGACAAAGTGACGTATATCATCAATTCAATTTAATTGTGTATATTTTTTTCGATTTGAATTTTTTTTCCACGTGAAACGTCGTTATCATTCCATTGATAAACTGATGTTACAACTGATATCGTAATTTCTAGACGTCGTTCAGCCAATAGTCTTGGTATTCCTGTTTGAGGATCCCCGTACTACTGGAACATCTGTATAAAAACCTTTTAACCAGCGTGAAAACAGAAGAACCGTTTCTGAAAATAAAACAGAACCATTCCTTGCGGTAAAAATAATGAAGATGAAAAAAAAAAAAAACGGAAAATCAACAACAGTGCTTTGAGAGTAAATATGTAACAATCCCAGTCCGGGGTTGAAACCCTCGACCTCCGATAGCATTACAATCGTTTTTACAAGCTGAGCTACCTGATCAGCATGTGTTTCTTGTCCTATGTACCCTTCAGTTATTTTTAAAACGAAGTAAAAGGGAGATTTGTGCATGAATGGATAAAGGTGCAGTAGAACTATCAAGTATTCACTTGAATTGGATTCTTAAGGTGGATGTGTACGTGTATTTGGAAACGTTAAATTTATGTATAAAAATAACCCCGCATAAAACATCATTCGACAAAGCTTATTTGTCTAAACCAAGGAACACACGGTCTCTCTATTACATTTGCAGTACGGGCAGTGAAGGCCTTTGAAATGCAACATGAGTGTAAAATTGTTTCTGTTTGAAACAATACGTATCGTGTCACGAAACGATGTGATTTTGTGTTTTTTCCTGAAATAATTTTGATATGATTATGCAATTTCACTATTATACAATATTTGCTTCATTTCACTTCTATGGAACCACGTGATGTGTTATACATTTCAGAAGGATCTCGGTCTGTCTGCTGTCACTGGTACAGTAGTTGATTCGGTGATGAGCTGTAGTTTTACCAGGACAATGAACATACCAGGACAGCAAGAGTTCTACGACCTACAGCAGGATTGGCACATTCTGTTTGCCCGAGGACAAGCAGTATCTGGTACTTCAAAAGTGGCAGTATTCGCGGTGTAATATTTTCACAACAGGAGATTTGTTTAATAATATGTTAAAAATGAATATCAACAAATGTTATTTCTGAAATCAAATAGGAAAGATTCCTTTCCCTGGAAGATAATATTACATAAAAAAGACAATATTGCCACACCCACAATGGGTTTGGTTTGAATTGTTTGTGTTTTACGTTCTAAAACAAGTTGTATTGTCGTTTAAGGACGAGCAAGGTTTTGGTGTTGAAGGAAATCCGGAGTACCCACAGAAAAACCACTAACGTACCAACTACAATAGTTTTACATATTACATATTAAGCAGTTGTCTTGTTTAGTCTTTTGTCGTCGACAATAGACCTTGTTTAGTCTTTTGCCGTCGACAATGCAGAAGCTTATCTATATAGTTTTAGTGCAACTTAACGTTTTGACAGTACATGTGAAAAGTAATTTAATAACATTTGCAAGATTTTTATTTTTTCATCTGTAGTTTTTTTGTTATTTTAATGTTTAAGTGAAAGTTCAATTTATTCACCGATGTACAATCTGTCTAATCTGACAGCTGTATTTGCTTTCGAGTGGTACGGGAAGGTATGACAGGGCCTCATTCTGACAACACACATGCAGTGCACTGCCGAGAAAATTGCACCCTGAATCAGAATGATATTTAGCAGAGCAGATTGCTTTTTGGGGAAAGCAGATAATTTCCATTTTTTTTTTTTTTTTTTTGTAATTTGCTTATTTGCAATTGCTTTATAATACCGTTACAGCTCATAAATAAAAATGATTTAAGATTTGGTTTTGATCAAATGCATTGTTATTAGATTGAAATGATCTTTATCATTTTGGTGCATAAGTGATTTGCATTAACTTATACTGATCTTGAATTTGTTTTTCACAGGCAATCCAACGAAACATGCGCAAAGTCCAATTATCAGTAGGGAGGCCGTGGACTTTCAGTCGACTTCGACATTAACTGGGACAGAAGTGTCCTACCCGCTAGTTAAGGCGCACGGTGCGGACACACGTTGTTAACGACTGACTGTATACAGGGAATTTTTTTGCAGCGGTTTATATTTCGCCTTTTTCGTCCTCCGTAATTAGGACGAATTTATCATAAAAGCCAACACCAGGAAACAACAAAATAAACATAGCAATCAGAAGTGAAGGGTGAAATCAATACTGAGCGAATACTGATAGTGTCCCGAGATACTGTAGTGTGACTTAAAAGTACCACATTTGTCCTTGGCTGAGTTAATAGAAGAGTCCTCTTAACGTTTGGAACTAAAAACATATTGCTCCAGAAGGAATCACATTTACATATAAACAATAAATGAATTATTATAAACGAAATTATTTCTTAAAAAACTAAAAAGTAACTTATTATGTTGTATTTACATTTCAGGCTCCCTGATGATTGTGGCCTGGGTGTTACTCGCTAGTATCGGTATATTCGTGGCTAGGTACATGAAACCTCTATGGCCTAATTCTACACTGTTGGGAGCAAAAGTTTGGTTTCCGGTGAGATTAAATTTGATTACCTATTTTCTGTCATTTATGGTAAACGTTTTACGGCTAAGATGTTATCAGATAAATCCCACGTTGAATTTCTTTCAAATTGTCTTTGTAGATTCACAGGATTTGTATGGGGACTGCGATGACTTTAACTATTATAGCTTTCATCATCATCTTCGTGGAAGCTGGAGGCTACGCCCATGTTAGTATGACTTTCAATATGCCCCATCTTTATTTTTTATGGTTTGACATGAACATTGGTCTCATTAAAAAAAAAGTTGAAATGAAAAATGTACATATAAACTTGTATTCACAGAATATAAGACATACACACTTATATTACACATCTACATCTAGTGGAAGATATCACATAGAATATATACATGTACTAATATTAATCCATTTATATAAGATATCCTTGGATACATATGATACAAAGAATATAAGACATTTAACATTTAATAGTTGTATATAGTAGTGTTAAATACATAGATATAAGACATCTTCATGAATATAGTACATAGGGTAAAGTTCAACTTCTTGTGTATCATACAAAGAATATAATAAATCTAAATATTCGTTATCGTCCACAGAATGTACTATATATTCTAGAACATTATACATTATATTAAAAATATCTACTAGTGTGTTAAATGTGTACCCTCAAGTATGAAACATACAAATAAATATGACTTTTTTATTAAGAACATTGGTGTGTCGGCGGGTAGTATATTGTTTGGACAATACCACCCCGTTCTCGGGATCATCGTCACTATCCTGTCAGTGGTAAATGTACGTATATTGTGTGTGTCACCTCCGTCACCCGCATGGGAAACCATTAATAACAAACACACATATATGAATACATAAAACAACTATTTTGTGAATAGTTGGGAAATACATGCATCTGTTTTGTTTGAATGACTTTATTTTGTTGTTTGACATATTTCATTATGTGGGGTGTAGTAATACTGCACACTGTCAAATATTCGCGTTTCAGCGATAACGTCCGTACGTCCGTATAAGTAGTTATAATTTTACACTTCATTGTTCCCTTTATGAACAATTCTCTGTCATTCCGGTGGTAGATAAGAGATAAAACTAAAGAAAGGCGAATATTTCGAGATCTCATCATAACGACAAGCGGCGCAATTGAAATTAAAACTGTTATTGTAGAATCTATAAAATATCACTGTTTGATCAATCACTTGATGTTTTTGGTAAATGACAGGATGAGGAGAAAATACTAATATATAACATAAGAACAGAAAAACACATACACACAGCGTGCATGCCATATGTCTACTGTAAAAGTTGTTTCCTTCATTGCGTAGATTGGTTATGTTATAAAAATTGTTTCCGTCATTGCGTAGATTGGGTTTGTTATAAATCTTTTTTTTTTCTTCATTGCGTAGATTGGCTTTGTTATAAACATTGATTCCGTCATTGCGTAGATTGGATTTATTATAAACCTTTCTTTTTTCTTCATTGCGTAGAATTGGTTTGTTATAAACATTGTTTCCTTCATTGCGTAGATTGGGTTTGTTATAAACATTGTTACTTTTATTGCGTAGATTGGTTTTGTTATAAACATTTTTTACTTTATTGCATATAATGGATTTGTTATAAACATTGTTTCTTTCATTGCGTAGATTGGGTTTGGTATAAACATTGTTTCCTTTATAGCATATATTGGATTTGTTATAAACATTGTTTACTTTATTGCATATATTGTATTTGTTATAAACATTGTTACTTTTATTGCGTAGATTGGTTTTGTTATAAACATTGTTTCTTTTATTGCGTAGATTGGGTTTGTGATAAACATTGGTTCGTTCATTGTGTAAATAAGGTTTGTTATAAACATTGATTAATTCATGTTTTTCTTTTACAGCCCACCATGGCTATTTTTCGTTGTGCCCCGGATCACGAAAAACGACCTATTTTTAACTTTGCCCATCGTATCTGCGGAATAAGTGCACATATAATTGCCGGTAATACATTAAAAACAATTCTTTTGAATTTTAACGTATTGTTTGCTTGTGATAATATGTTAAAAGTAAAAGTCAAAATTCAAATTTCTTATCCTTATTCTTAAGGTTTGAATGCACTTTATAAAAAGCAAAAACGTACATTTATTAAAATCACTTATTAATTCATTGCGTTTCATAGATATTTTAATTAATTTGTTTGTAAACTAGTACCAGCAGAAAACTTTGTAATCGATGACCTTCTTTCATATTTATTGTATTTACGGTTTTTTCATCATGATGTCTTAATGTTGGTATCTTAATGTAATTATCATTCTTTCTATCATCTGGACATTAACATTTTGATTTGATATTAAAACTTCAACGTTTTTGCTGTTAAGAAATAATATCAATATATTAAGGGATTGACGAGTTAACATTCTGATTTAAAAGCACAAATTTTAATCACATAAAAGAAGTAGTACATAAAGACATTCGATATTTATGTATATATTCCAGCAATAACAATCATTTTCGGAACTTATCTGGAAAAGTCTCAAGCAACCGGAAGTGCGTCTGGTGTTGCGATTGCATACCTTTGGGTGTTTATGATTGTGAACATCGTATTGGAAGTATATATGTTAACGAAAAGAAGGGAAGCAGGTATGTTCATAACACATAAGAATAAATGTGTAATTCGATAAAAAAAAAGTCTTATGTTGCCGTAAACGTTGATTAAGATTAACGTCTATTTCGTATTGCAGAGACATTCATACCATGCTCAATATGCGGAATAGTGTATGCAATAGGAGTTGATTAAACAAAATTAAATCCAGAAGAACGTAGATTTTAATATTAATAAGAGATACGTATACAATATCACCAGGAACATATGGAAATACATCTATATTGATTGATTGTTTTGTAATGTGATTTGAGTTTTGGTTACACAGCATATCTTGCTAGTGTATATACGCAATTAACACTTCCTGTACTTGTAACTCAACTGATCAGGACGTTCTGCAGACATCGAACTTGTCAATCAAGGAGGGAGGGAGTCGCTGACACCGGAAGGGCTTCAACAGGTATTTGTACACTATGAGCACACTTATATATTACGACATCTTCGTTAAGGATATTCACTTTTGCATATAAAAGTAGGTACACATTTGCACGTGAATTACCAAGGAAAGAGTGACGCGCTTATTAGATAATATCAGTACATTTCTGTTACTGCTACCTCCAATATTTGTAAACACAGACACTATACTAAACATCAATTGTTTAAACCGCCTACATTCTTCGAAATCGCGTAGTTCAAAGGCAATAGCGTTAAAGATGTTTGCAAACTTTCAATGAATTACAATAATTTAAAGTTGTTTGATAATAATATCATGGCAACCTGATTTTTTCCTATAGTAGTGAAAATAATTATGGAAGGATTAAAAATATTTGTAACGTCAGCTTTATCAATGGAAAAAATTGCAATGGGAACAATTAAAGATATGAAAAAATGTTTTAGTATTGTTACCGACAGATTTTCTGTTTTACAGACGGAGGAATTTGCAGTAAAGTGTGCCTTCGGGGTCCAGATATTACTGATGTCTGTCTTCGCTCTCACACTGCTTGTCCTCATAAACAGTGGCTGATGCACGTCTTTCTGCACGGGAAACGTCTGGAAGTTGGACAAGACATTAAGATCCAGCCGTTGTTGTAATGCCACTGTAGATTAAATGCAGTCATGCTCATTCGCGATGGAAATGAAAATTTCAGCCTCTCATGGAAAACATTAATTATATGTGTTATATTGGAATCTTTATGTATAAAAATAAAGTAAAATACTTAAATAAGGCGGGCATATTTTATTTGTATTTTTGTGTTAAGGAACAGCAGACATATTTGCAGTCTTTGCTTGTTTTTCATTTACTCTAACTGCTTTACTTTGTAATGAAGATTGTGACATCAATTTTCGATATGTTACATGTGTTATATAATTAAGAAATGTTCAACGAAAAAATAATTAACGAAGTCGCTTCCTGCCTTTGTTGGTTATTTTTTCCAACATTTTCGAATGCCAAGTTATATACTCCTCGATAATATATAAATGCATTTATATGCTGGTTAATATCTACTGTACACAGTAAAATGTAACGATTTTTGTTCGTAGATTAGCAAAGTGACCCAGATAAATCTCATTGTTTTAATGAGGCTTTTCTCTTGCACATCCCATCATTTGTCACGTGATGCCTATATGTCTTCATTTCTCAACAAACTTTGCGTTTTTATCTTTCTGTGGGCAGTTTTCCTATTTTTGTGTATAAAGCCTTGATATTTTTGGGAAGGATTTTCTATTGTCAGTCGGCATTTTGTCGACAGACGATAAACAATACACACTGACGTCATGCTTTATGCCAGACGTTTATTTCCATCAATCAAATCCACCAATCTATCGACATCGCTCGTCAATACATGAAATCAGCATTTGACAGATTTTTAAACACTATTTCGAGTTACTTTCGTGGTAAGTTCAGTGGTACAATCTGACTTTAAGATTAACAGATTTTAACATGAGGTTAAATGTAGATTTTGTGTGTTTGTCTATTAGCAAATCCTCAAATGTATACAAAAGCGGGTACTAACATTCGAAAAAATGAAATCAGTAACGCGACTCGCTTATTTATTGGTACTTTTGCCGGGGAGGTGTTTTTGAAGAGTGTTGGTCTGTTGGGAAAGAATACACGTCAGGACAAGTTTTGTGGTTTCCGTTAGATTTTTCCTATCTTGAAATTCTTAATATATGTTTTTGATGTATGATTTGGTTAAGTTTATGATAGAAAGATTCCCAAACACGTTTCCATCCAAGATGTTTTATACAAATTCCGCAGAATTCATATAAGTGGGAGTCCTTATTTGATCCTCTATAACTATTGTTAAATTGATATTTGGAGCATGACATTTGCTACATAGCATATCAAGATAATCCCTTCATTATTTATTTATTATTCTTTTATTTTATTCCTTCTAATTATTCGTCTTTCCTATCACTTAAGAACTAACTAAACATTAAGTGTTAACGAAATAAATTATCTTTGTATTTTATTTTTTTACACAAACTATTTCATGGACAACTGTATAATTATCAACCTTCTGTATGCTACTACAATAGCATCGTTAGGACGGACCACCACGGAAGGAGGCTTGACTATGTGGTTTCAGATATCTGTTCGTCTTAACTGTGGACAAAAGAGAATAAAAACCAAATCGGCTGACATTAAGGATAGCTTCTTTTTCTGATTTTGTATATTTTGTCACAGCCAAGTTGTTTTTTAATTCTGTATCTTGATACACTTTGTCTAAATGTAAATGTTATGATATTAAATAGATTCATAAAGAGATAATAAATAACTATTATCATATCATTATAAATGAATTGTTGGTTACTTTCAAAATTGTGTTATTTAGCTTTGTGAAAGACATATTAAAAGCATCAATTAAAAGTGGGGAATGTTACAAAACATGTATTTGAATATCTCAAAATACATAATTTATTGATCTTTCTGGTCCTTCCAATGAATTTAATAAAAATCGGTTAACGCAGAATTAACGTATTAGTTCGTTATCTCAGTACATCTCTATAAATAATAAACAAAGTAACGCCATGGCAGTTTTCTCATCTTTTAAAGTCTTAATATTGAAGCAATTATGAAGATCAGTTCTAGAATTAAAAAAAAACAAGTTTAGACCAAAGCGGGCGCATTATATGCATATTAATTAGCCCTATAATTATCACCGTATAAGTCGTTTATGTGGCTCAGTCGAATTAACACAAATGGTAAATCAATGTTTGTAAATGAGCCTTATAGCACGCCGGAATGAAATTTTGAAGTTCATTTCAAAAACGTTGTTAATGCTTTGAAATTCCAAAATGCTAAATAAGAATAGAAATTTACAACTTGAATTAATATTTCTAAACTTCAGTAACGAGTCAACCTTGTTGACTGATTTTTTGTAAGGTAAGAAAGGTCTGAATTCAGGCTTTACTGTCATAAAGACAATGTCCTGATAAATTACCGCCTTGGTGCTGTTTATCGTGTATGCAGATATCTGTTTCAAGAGAAATTGTGTAAACTACGTGGCGACTGATATATATATATAAAATGATCACGACTTTTCAGACTTTATCGTAAATTATTTTTATTTTCATTTTATGAAGAGTTGTCTCCCATGGGTTGCTGTAGCGTATGCGTAATTGAAAAAATGAATTTCACAAAATTAAGAAAGACATTTAAGATATTTATTGCTAATACATATGTATTGTAGAGGATTCTTGAACGAAATATAAAAATAATCGTGATTTCTTTCTCAAAAATGTGTTCATCGATAAAATTATCCAGATGTAAGGAGTAATTTTGAACATTAACCCTTCCAAGGTACTTTTAAGCGCATCACGGTATGTACTTTGATAAGCACTAGAAATGGTAGTTATACTCCTATAGTAAGATATCAGAAAAAAACACTATTACTTAAATGTTAATCAGAACAAATATTCAAATACACAGTAGGAAAAGTGAATAATTTTATTGCAGGATAAATATAAATACATACAAAAGGAATATTTGAAAAAAAAAATGTCGATACACATTTGTCAACTTTATTAGTGTTTATAACCTTTAATATCAAATATAATAAAATGGAGAACAATATCGCAATAGAGCTTACCAGTAAATTATCTATAGCCATTTAATGTATGCGGATGACGCTACAAATTTAACTAGGTAAAACATCTGAAAATGAATTTAAAACCATTATTCTTCACAATGAAACCCGAGGAGCCATGTGAAGGGTAAACGCTGCTAGACTTGATTTTTTCTATACATACCTACTTCACATGGACATTTTATCTTTTAATTATATATATATCAAAGAAAATCAAACGTCCTTGTGATTGTTTAATAAACTAAGAAATGACAAAAGAGTGTCTTTTTACTTACCTAGCTAGTACTTTCACCTCGTGGAGTGGGGAGATATATATGTATGAATAAACGAAACTTTTACTAAATGTGCAAATATATAAAGAATAAATTGCGACTGTTCTGACATTGAAATTTGTCCAGTTTTGATCAAGACACAAAAACAAGAAATAATAACATAATTAAAAACGTATGAAAAGTTCTGCTTAATTTGTGTGCTGATGTGAAAGCATATTCCTTCGGGATCGAAGGTTCATCAATCTCAAGACACTTCGGCCAGCTACGGATCAAATGCTCACCCACCTCAAGAGACTTCGGGCGGATAGGGATCAAAGGCTCTTCATAAAACCGACTCAAGACACTTCGGCTGGCTAGAGATCATAGATTCATCCATCTCAAAAGTCTTCTGCCGGCTAGGGATCAAAGGCTTTTCATAAATCCGACTCAAGACACTTCGCTTCAATAGTGAAGATCATAAATTCATTTGAGGACTTTCCCGCAATTTAAATACCTTTTGGATCATGCAGATGAAGACGATTTGGGTTTAAGCGGCCTTTGGTTTTGTTCTGGTTTTTTGACAACTTGTCATTAATTACATGTAGTAGAAATTCTCAAAAGACGTCCAATTATTGGGGTTTATTTATATTTATGTATTGATAAATTATTATTTTTATTTACCAAATGTACTCCTCCGCGAAATATCAGCGTTACACAGTAGTCTTATGGTTAAGTTTACATTAACAACTCTTTTTCATTATCGATTTAATATTGCGTAAAGCATCTCACTTAAGTCTCTATTAGTATGATTTGTGAAAATGTTTGTTTCCCGTAAATGGTGGGCTGGCAATCTTGTGATCTTTTGGTTCAAATCCCACTGGTAATCCTAATGTAGCATATAGGACAGCCAGGCACCGATGAGACAAGCGCAAAGGGATACAGATGCTGGTTTTATGTTGTGTCCTGTGCCCTTCATGACAGGATAAGAGTATGACTTAGGGGAGACTCCTCGGTTGTTTTTGTGGTAAGCAGGTACACCACCTGAGCAAATACGAAACTTGCTATAGATAATAGAAATATATATTCTATCACAATATTCATTATACATGATTGGAAAATAACGATATAAGTATTGCCATACAAATTATTTGCGACATAATAACATGACCATACAATCGTAGTAAGAGATAGCCACAGTTAATGCTGATTCTAACCAGTAACTGATTTTGAAATTTGCATTTCTGTTTCCCTTTCTCTCTTTGTTTTTTTTTTTAGATATTGACAATAACTTAATTCCAATAGCTTTACTCTTTATTTGCATTTTTATAACTTTTTGCTATAAAAAAGAGCTTTAGATCGCTGAAGGTTGTTGATCTTAACCAATCATAGAGCGTTCTTACCTGTTACCGCCCCCCATGCTCGAATCAGGAAGAACGAATCGGTCAGAGACCTAAGAGTGTCCTCGTTCTTGGTGGGTTTCTTGATTCGATCAAAGGAGCATGTAGTTATGTTATTTGTATCAGCAAATGATGTGTTCCGAATTCCATACAAGTCCTGAAAATTGAACGATAATAATTATCACATTTAAAACACTGTAGATGGAATAAATGTACGACTTTCAATTTTATTATAAAACTACTCTGGCTATAAACTCCATTACCAATCACATGATTCGAAATGCGGAATCTGTAATAACATTATGTAGCTATTTTGGTTTAGAATTAGAAGGAATTCGGATTTCACATTCTCACATGACATTTGCATATAATGAAACTATGTTGACGTATTGTGTCTAATTGTGAAGATATATTATCGTGGGTGATCACTTTGTACCAAACGCTAAATGAATCAAGATTTATCAATATAATTCAACTCTTCCACAAGAATGTGCAATTATACCCCAATGATTGCACGATTGATGTCTTCTACATTGACGTCCGATAGAAAAGAAAACACTGCCTACAATGAGACGTTATTAATTATGCAATACACAAAAGCTTTCCCTAACTGTATATATACATATCTATGATTCAATATATAATATATCTCATCGTTGCAGAATCAATATTGAGAATATGAAGGACACCAAATTTGTTGTTGTTGTACCACGTTGGAACAAAGTTTGTATAACGTTGTATGAATGTTGAATTCAGATAACATCATAACGCTATTAGAACATTGTGAAAAGGCGCCAGGAAAACTTTCATATACAACTTTCTACGGCCCAAAATTCAGCGTTAGGACGTGACCTTAACAACGTTATGTGCCCCCCGGGATCCTTGTCGCTGAGTGTATGGTTTCCTTAGGTATCTTGATTAAGCAGATATATACATAATACAGCAAATATTATTTAATACAACTGATAATTGGCTGACAAATAATGGTGTGCGCGGTCTTTTTCAAAAAAGTTTTACAGCAAAAGCTAAAAGTGCGAAGGGTTCCGATTATTAACAAGTGATAAATACGTTATTGTATATATAGAACACTATCTATCGTTGTAATGATCTCAAAGCGTAATTGTTGTCATGGAAACATCGACTCTAATTATATGTATTCTTATTATAATTATATAGTAAGTGTGATGTTTTCAACGACATGTTGTAACAAACTTACTGTTCCAGGCGCGTATGTGCGACCCTGTGTGTATCCAAGCTGTACATTGTCATCACTTCGGCACATCACTATACTGCTGTCCGGCTGGTCAAATAAAAACCGTCTTTCTGTTTAATTCTCAAAGTCTATCAATCAAAAATGTTCCAAAAGACAGTGAATATTTTCTCTGTAGTCATTAAATGTGGGATGAAAACCTCCAGTATTTTTCCTCACTAAAGAGTCGTTCTTGTGGGATTACTTAAACATTAATTCAAGTTATCTCACGTAAATACTCTTCCCTAATTGTGTCATAAGCAATTTCAATTCAAAATTATTTTTGTTGTTTTTTTAATCTTGTTTATGTTAAAATTATATCAACACATGTGTTTATAATCTGCAACACCAGGAACGCTTACCATTTGATTGTTTCCGGAGAACCCAAGGGCGATATAGTGCTCGCCTGATGGGACAATTTCCATCTTCATCTCAAACCGTAGATAATCCAAGTCGGTGTTCCACCAACTGATCAGGAAGCCGACACACCCTTCAGCGGGACATTCTGCAGGCCAGCATATCTTAGCTTTTCCACATTGTGAGTCTGGTGGAATTTCTCCATTGGTAAGCTAGTCATTACATAAATAAACTAGAATTAGAAACGACTACTTAACATGTAAACCCGGAACTAACACAGTCATTAGGAAAACCAAACCAAGTTTCTTCGGAGTGGTATTTCCAGCACCATATATTAAAACTGTGCATAATCAATCGTTTAACACACAGTCTTATTGATCGTCTGATTTTTGAAGGTTTTTAAAACGACTTTAAGCTGAAAAAAAAACCATTTGCTGATTTAGGATGTTGGACTAATTATAGCAAAACTATTCAGTTATAATCCCCTTAAATTAAAATACACACAACACAATGTGTGTGCATGTTTTATACCCACAAATCTGTGTTGTTGTTGCTGTACAGTTAAAATGCTCATTCTCCAACACCAAAATGAGTTGTATCCCCTTCTCTATGAAATACCACTGAAGAAATCCTCTTGAAGAAACCTTTAGTGAAGTGTGTTTTAAATAAACTACATTGTACAATGTTCCTTACATACAACATAAAAGTATTTGTTTTTTCTGTTGACAAGCCTGTTTTTAATTTAACACTCTAGTGCATTTGATATCAAGTGAAAAGTTTAGAAACCTAGTGGTGAAACCTATTTTCATTTTGATGTCTGGTGGTGAAACCTATTTTAATTTTAATGTCTCTTGGTGAAACCTATTTTCATTTTGATGTCTGATGGAGAAACTTATTTTCAATTTGATGTCTAGTGGTGAAACTTATTTTCATTATGATTTCTGGTGGTGACAACTATTTTTCCTTAATCATTTTCGTTTTGTCTCTTTATTAAACATTACTCACATTACAATGGTACACACACGATTATAGAAACAATGCCAAAATTTACAGAAACATATAAAATCATTTGCTTCGCTAAAAACACTTCCTTTGTTAAAGAAATATATATCGTTTTAAGTATGGACCAGTGTTATCAAACTCACATAACTGTATTAAGCGAGCTTTTCACAGGTTAGTTAAATACATGACAATCGACATTTAAATACATGATAATGGACATTTGAATACATGATAATCGATATTTTAATCAAATGTATCAGCTCATCTACCAATAACATATCGTCTTTGTATCTCATAAATTGTGTAAATTTCAAGGAAGTATCGTCCGATACTGTCGGAAAATTCAAATGATTTTTATATCATATAACTCAGTTACACTAGAAAACACTGAGGTTATTTTTTATGTGCAATTTCACAATGATGTAATCAATGTAATACAAAAAAAATATTGTAGTTACTTGCAAATAGACATTTCATTGTATTAATATTCACAACATCTTACCTGAGTGAAGACGCTAGCGATAAGGATACAAATCAGTTTGGTCCACGACATCTGCAATGCAATTAATGTAGTTGTTGGAAGTACTGTTGGATAAGGTGAATGCATAATATGGAATGTTTAAGTCTTATAATAGGGATTTCACGATTTTAAGACGCAAACAGATTTTTGATGAGTTTCATTCTTTTGGATTTCATTCACAAATGATGTAAAATGTTATTACTCAATATGAGACTGTCCTTTTACCAATCTGATTAAAATCATCTGTTACATGGCTCCGCCTGAACATCTGAATGTGCCGCGGTCAGGGTCATGTTCAAGTGACCTTTAGATGAACCAATCAGTGGCGCGCTGGCAACAGTTTACCAGCGAATCGGAATATCATGGTTGATAGATAATTAGCGAGGGGTATCGAACAGATTAGTTTTCCAAAACAATTATGGCGGCGGGGGCTAACGTTTCTACGACGCCAAGGAAAACGTAATTACGTAGGCAACACCGCCATACTGTCTTTCTTCTCTAATAAAGCTTCGAATTTCTTTTTCTGTTCGGGTTTCAGGCGATCAATCTCAAATAACTTCAGAACTTTTGCATCATTCTTATTAATGTCAGCCATACTTGTTACAACTCCGAGCGCCCTTTTGAAAGAGGGTCGCTGATTGGTCAAAATTTAATGAGTATTTATAAATATAAAGGTCACCTGAACGCGACTCTGACCGCGGCACACTCAGATGTTCAGGCGTAGTACGAAGTTAACGACGCCATGCAACATATGATTTTAATCAGATTGTCCTTTTACACTCTCACTTTTAAGATTTCACATCATTTAAGAATCCGTGAGCTTTTCTGTAACTTATATATCTTGATATAGGGTCTTTTGAATTATTAAAAATAAATAAGTAGATTATCTGTCATAAGTTTCCCTTAATATTAGATTTAAGATACAAGTTTTGACTTTTTCATGTTTGCGAGCCTCCGGAGTCTCCGACACAAATTAATATACACAGTATCTGATAAGTGCACACCGTCAGCATAATGCCTAGTGGAGTTGACACTCACCATGTGCGCTGTTTCAGCTCGTCATCCAGGAAAGGTGATAGAGCGGAAAGTTATGCAAGTATAATACGGGTGTTTATTTAATGTGATGCTGTACTCACGTGGTATTTATGCTAGGTATCAATACGATCTCATCTTTTCCATGTGAGACTAGTGCATGCCATGATGGCATTTATCTTACAAACCGGATACGTTAATAATGTTACATGACAACAGGTGCTATTTATAGGAAAGGCTTAAGTTGTAATTGTCAAATAACATGCATCAGGGACCACTCGTACATGAGCACCTAATTTTCAGAATAAAATAGTATCCCTTTTAAGATATTTATTTTCAGATTTATTCTATTATACGTTAACACATTTAAGTGTGATGGATTAGGAAAATTTCACAGCTAGCATTCAACAATTCTAGCACTTCCCAACGACGTTCTCATTTACAGCTGAGTAGACTGGAACGAGCGGAGTAAAGTATCTTGTTCATAGATACAACACAGTGCCGTACCGTGATTCGAACCTGCAACCCTTCGGTCACAAGGCCAGCGTCCAACCACTAGACCACCGTGCCTCCAATAAATGTGCCTTACAATAAATATATTATAAGTAATGATATTATATTTTACGCTATTGAATGAATTATACGTTTGTTTACCAAAAAACGTCAAATAAGTTTTGTTAAACCTTATTTTTATTGTTTTTCACTGAGAGTGCGATACTTTCGAATATCACAATTGGCTCTGGTCGTTCGGTATTGCCCGATTTCCCTATATAGACAACGTGACCGGAGGTATCGAATACTCCTAGCTCTGACATATAACATTTTCAAACACATAAATAATCTTTACAATATCCCTTCCAAAACCACGGAAAGGTAACTGACTCAAACTGTGAGACACCTGACCACATAATAACCATTTGCTGTTAAGTTGCAGCTTTAACGATATTTTTTCCGTCATTTCTCATTAAATAATGAAGATAGGAAAACAAGCTGAACATTTCTACCAATCCCTCTCCTTCTATCATAAGGCAAAGTTAAGTTTACATAGACATGTGCGCATCATTAATGACATGTAATCTACAGAAAAGGTAAAAATGAATGAAATTATATAAAGGTGTAAAACAAGGTGCTAATTGCTACAATACTTTATACGTTAAACATTAAGGTAAACATCTATTACGCGATTCATTCTCAATACCGAGTGAACTGGAACAACAAATATTTTAAAAACTGTCAGGTATATTTTGATTCATTTAGTTCCGATGTACGTTCTATAAACAGCTATGTTCATTTAAGGACGAGTAAGGTCTTGGTGATGAAGGAAAGCCTGAGTACCCGGAGAAAGGAGACAGTACCTGGCAACTGCCAAAGAAAGGCCTCGAACCTGCGACCCAGTAGTAAATGATTAGTGATTATAGACGGTCAAACGCCCCTGTTAACTATGTGAAATTCCAAGCTCAACATATCGACGTGAATCATTTGTATGACAGGGAGGGCAAACTCACACTCGTAGTTATATAGAGCCTCGAACAGTATAATCATCAATTGAGATTTCTGAATATTAACTCTTTAACAGCCTCACAAATAACTGAAATAGTTTTTAAAAAGGTCTTTTATTACAATATCATTTTTACTTGTCTTGTTTTTAAGAGATCTATATTTGATAATGTTCATGCCAGTAAAGTAAATCACGTACCTTTGCTGGGTTAGCCCGATACCGTCAGTGGCGTGAACAACACTTGCTGGGTTAGCCCGAAAGCGTCAGTTGCGTGAACAACGCTTGCTGGGTTAGCCCGAAACCGTTAGTGGCGTGAACAACACTTGCTGGGTTAACCCGATACCGTCAGTGGCGTTAACAACGCTTGCTGGGCTAGCCCGATACCGTCAGTGACGCTTGTGAAGTGTTTGTACCTACCCCGCACTTCTTATATTCGACGAATTCCTCACTTCCGNGCGTCAGTTGCGTGAACAACGCCTGCTGGGTTAGCCCGCAACCGTTAGTGGCGTGAACAACACTTGCTGGGTTAACCCGATACCGTCAGTGGCGTTAACAACGCTTGCTGGGTTAGCCCGATACCGTCAGTGACGCTTGTGAAGTGTTTGTACCTACCCCGCACTTCTTATATTCGACGAATTCCTCACTTCCGATTCGTTGTTCGTCTCTCGAGTAGAGATCGGCTGATGCATATTAATGTTAACTGAGAACTGGTTCAATTGGTATGCTTCATTAATATTCTTTCAGCGTCCTGCATGGATGACGTTCATGTGCATTCGTCACGAAAACTGAATATGTTACATCGCCACAGTATCTTACCTGTAAGCATGCACTGATTTACCTGTGTATCTACTGGACAGACAATGAGCTGGATTAATCGACAGGATCCATTGCCTTCACACCGTGTGTTCACTTTCTAAATCAATCATAGCCATGTATACATGTATGATATTTTCATATCATTAAGGAACCCATTTCATTTTAAACTTTTAAACTTGGGTAAACACTGTAGTGCACTGGAGTAAAAACCGTTATGCACTGGAGTTTACACTGTAGTGCACTGGAGTTAACAATTCAGTGAACTGCAATGCATTTCAGTGTTTTGTCTAGTGTACTAGATACCAAGTTAAGTTTGCTCCCAACTGTTGGTACCTGGTGATAGTTTCTCACAAGAAGAAATATGTGTTTTAACATCGTGACCATGTTGTTATATTGGCAAGTCTATATGATAAAGGAACGTTGATGTTCTACACAGTTTGTCTTCTTTTAAAAATGAGCTTGTGTTTTTAAGAAAGATACACGACAAACAGCCTAACACCACTCAGGTGTTTACAGCTTTTAATTTATAAAAAAAAATAAGTTTTAAAGTACAAAACTAGAACAGGTTGATACATCACATGTTAGCATATAATTTAACATTGAATGATTTCCATTAGAAATGCATACATGAACACGGATGTGCAATGATATAACAGTTGACGGTTTATTGATAATGAGTTTCTTGATAATCTGAATAATCGGGTGTACGTAATGAAATACTTTCTGTAATATGAATATTTTAGAATCATGTTACCGATTCTTAATCATTTTATCATTATCAAAGTTTGTTTCTGTTATAAATTTGACAGCAGTGGTATATATTGAACTTCTATGATCAGAATTTAATTTGTGTTTATCGTCTATAATATTTCAGCTTCAGGGAACATTCGACTTCGTATCGCACGTTTTTGAACAATTTAGACCTCAAATAATACCATGTCAATATGGCATTAAAATGTAACAGACTCCAGCGTCTGTTCTAAACGATGGACGAACGGACGGACACAATATCAAATAAAGAATATAAGAAATCTAGTTATTCGTTATCGTTCACAGAATGTACTATATATTCTAGAACCTTATACATTATATATAAGATATCTACTAGTGTGTTAAATGTGTACTCTCAAGAATGAAGCATACAAATAAATATGACTTTTTAATTTAGAACATTGGTGTGTCGGCGGGTAGTATATTGTTTGGACAATACCGCCCCGTTCTCGGGATCATGTTCACTATCAGTCAGTGGTTCATGTACATATGTACATATGTGTGTGTCACCTCCGTCACCCGCATGGGAAACCATTAATAACAAACAGACATATATGAATACATAAAAAACCTATTTTGTGAATAGTTGGGAAATAAACTGCATCTGCATTGTTTGAATGACTTCACTTTGAGCAATATGTTGTATTCGCATTTTACCAACAACATCCATATCAGCTCAGTTATAATTTCACTCTTCGAATTTGAAATCATGTTTATTGTATACAACGGAAAATATTTCCCCTCATGAACTAATCTCTTTTATTTCGGTGGTTGAAAAGGGATAAAATGAAAGTAAGGCGACTATTTCGAGATATAATCATAACGACACACTTGGAATATGAGCTCTGATTTTGTAGAAACTAGAATATATCACTGTTTTATCAATTAGTTAATGTTCTTAGTAAGTGACAGAGTGTGGATTATGCTTTAACATAAGTTTGTATAAACAGTTACACAAAAACATGTCTTCAAATCCCTTTGACGTATGCTAGGTGTGTTAATGATATAGAGTTAACTATTGTCACTCAGACCGTTGGGGAATTCGCTGATGGCCATCCAACATTTGTTAATGTGATTCCCGTCTGTGGTTTTACTGTAAATGTACCACAATCGCTTCTTCCCCTCTACACAATTAACATTACATAAAATATAAAACACACACACACACACACACACACATGCAAACATTGTGTCTACTGTAAACATTGCTTCGTTTATTTCGTAGATTGGGTTTGTTATAAACATTGGTTCGTTCATGTTTCTGTGGAATGAGTGCTCAAATGTTGTAGGAAATAGATTTACATTATATAAAAAATCTATTTAATTTTACACATATTGTTTCTTGTGAACGTAGACGTACATTTTACAAAAAAATACCTTAATACCTCATTGGATTTCACTTAATTAGTTTGTCTGTGAACTAGTGACCGCAGAAAACTTGATGGCATTTCTTATTATTTTATTATGTTTTTTAACATGATTGATAATTATTTGTTTCGTGATGTAATTATCATTCATAGATATCATCTTGACATTAAAGATTTGAATCAATATTAAAACTACAACGTTTTTGCAGTTGATGAATATGATTAATATCTTGATGGAGTAACGAGTAAACATTCTCATTTAAAAGCATAAATGCATTATCACAGGTAAGAAGTAGTACATAAAAACATTCAATATTCATGTATATATTCCAACAATAACAATCCTTTTCAGGGACTTATCTGAAAAGTCTCAAGCAACCGGAAGTACGTCTGGTGTTGTGATTGCATACCTTTGGGTGTTTATGATTGTGAACATCGTATTGGAAGTATATCTGTTAACGAAAAGAAGGGAATCACGTATGTTCGTAACACAGTAAAAATAAATGTGTCATTCGATAAAAAAAAGTCTTATGTTGCCGTTAATGTTGATTAAGTGTGATTTCTCTTTCCTTATGCAGATACATCAATTTAACATAATCAATATGCGGAATAATGAATGTTTATGATGTATGCAACAGGAGTTGGTTGATACGACAAAATTAAATCCAGAAGAACGTAGATTTTAATATTAATAAGAGATACGTATACAATATCACCAGGAACATATGGAAATACATCTATATTGATTGATTGTTTTGTAATGTGATTTGAGTTTTGGTTACACAGCATATCTTGCTAGTGTATATACGCAATTAACACTTCCTGTACTTGTAACTCAACTGAAAAGGACGTTCTGCAGACATCGAAATTGTCAATCAAGGAGGGAGGGAGTCGCTGACACCGGAAGGGCTTCGACAGGTATTTCTACGCTATTAGCACACTTACATATTACGACATCTTCGTTAATGATATTCACTTTTGTTTCTGTAATGACCAAGTAAGGATAATGGAGCGGTTATTTAAACATATCGATACGTTTCTATTATTATCACCTTCAAGAATTGTAAACATAGACACAATACGAAAGTTCTTCGATATTTCGTAGTTAAATGGCAATCGGGTTAAAGATATTTGCAAAACCTCAATGAAATACCATCATTCAAAAGTGTTTGATCAAAATGTCATGTAAACCTGTTTTTTTCCAATCGGAGTAAGAATAACCATATAACTATAGAAGGATTATAATCGTTATTACTTTTGTAATGTCAGCTTTGTCAAATGAAAATAAAAGTTGCAATGGGAACAATTAAAGATATGTAAAATGTTTTAATATTGTTACCGACAGATTTTCTGTTTTACAGACTGAGGAATTTGCAGTAAAGTGTTTCTGCGGGATCCAGATATTATTGATGTCTGTCTTCGCTCTGACACTGCTTGTCCTCATAAACAGTGGCTGATGCCCGTCTTTCTGCACGGGAAACGTCTGGTGGTCTCACAAGAGTTTGAGATCCAGCCGATGTTGCAAAGCCACGGTACATTAAATGCTATCATGAATATATAATCGTGACGAAAATTAACATATTTCCTACCTGGATATTCTAAAAATATATTCATATATAATTTGGTTAAGCATATGATAGAAAGAACCCCTATGTGATCTTCTTTAATTTTTGTCAAATTGATATATGGAACATGACAGTTGCTACATATCACATCAAGATAAGCCTTTTTGATTAGTTTATTATTCCTCTTTATTATTCCTCATCCATGTAAATGAATTATCGTTGTACATTATTTTCCTTATCACATATTCCTTCATTGACGTATGAATTGCCAAAATACTATTTGCTACTACCATAGCATCGTCAGGACCACCACGAAAGGAGGCTTGACTATGTGGTTCCAGATATCTGTTTCTCTTTACTGTGGACAACAGAAGAAACATAATATTATCAGCTGCCCCTATTGTTACAGCAAAGATCCCTGTCTTTTCTGATTATGTATAATTTGCTATTATTTCTGCTTCAATCCCGATATTTTTTATATTTATAGCTGGTGACACGATCTCTTAATGTAAATGTTATGGTATTAAGTAGACAGATAAAAGATAACATTTTGTTGAATTTGTTTGCTGTGTAATTTACATAAATTGGTAAGGTGTAATTTGATAGTCAGTTGATTGATTCGTTATACTTTTCTGTTTATCCATACAGGAAACGAACAGTTGATTGCTTTCAAGTTTGTGTTAGGACCCAACATTGTTTTCGTGAAAAACATATAAAAAACATCAAATAAAAGTTCAAATACTGATATGTTTTATATAACGTTCGTCGTTATCATAATCGAGTTCCGTTGATAAGATGTAAGAAAAGTTGTTATTGAATATCTCGAAATGTATTATTTATTGATATTTCTGCTCCTTCCATTGCATTTATTAAAAAATTGTTACGCGGAATTCACGCATTAGCTCGCTATCTAAAAAACATACCTTTAAAAAACAAACAAAACAATGTCATGGTTACTTTTTTCAGTTAAAAAAAGTCTTAATATTGCAAATCATAATGTAGATCAGTGCTAGAATTAAAAAATACTACTTAGACCAATTCGGGCTCATTATATGTATATCAAATAGCTCCATACTTATCACCGTGTAATTTGTTTATGGGACTCAGTTGAATTAACACAAGTGGTAAATAATTGGTTGTAGATAAGCCTTACAGCCCGCCGAACTGAAAGCTTGAACTGCATGTCAAAATGTTGGTAATGCTTCGAAATTCCAAAATTTACAACTTGAATAAATATTCTTAAACTTCAGTAACGAGTCAACCTTGTTGACTGATTTTTTGTAAGGTAAGAAAGGTCTGAATTCAGGCTTAACTGTCATAAAGGCAATGTCCTGATAAATTACCGCCTTGGTGTAGTTTATCGTTAAATATCTGTATCAAGAGAAATTGTGTAAACTACTAGGCGACTAATATATCTATATCTGTTAGTAAATTATCACGATTCTTTCAGGCTTAACCGTAATTTATTTTTATTTTCATTTTGTGAAGAGTTGTCTCCCATGGGTTGCTGTAGCATATGCGTCATTGGAAAAAAAAGAATTTCACAAAATTGAAAAAGACATTTAAGATATTTATTGCTAATACATGTATTGTAGAGGATTCTTAAACGAAATATAAAAATATTCGTGAATTATTTCTTCAAAAATGTGTTCATCGATAAAATTATCCAGATGTAAGGAGTAATTTTGAACATTAACCCTTACAAGGTAGTTTTAAGCGCATCACGGTATGTACTTTGTTAGGCTCTAGAAATTGTAGATATACTCCTATAGTAAGATATCATAAAAAAATATTATTGCTTAAATGTTAATCAGAACAAATATATATGTATGATGCAAATATATAAAGAAGAAATTGCGACTGTTCTGACATTGAAATTTGTCCAGGTTTGATCAAGACACAAAAACATGAAACAATAACATAAAAAAGTATGAAAAGTTTCTGCTGAATTTGTGTGCTGACGTGAAAGCATATTCCTTCGGCTGGCTTGGGATAGATGACTCATCCATCTCAAGACACTTCGGCTGTCTTAGAGGCAAAGGCTTATCCATCTCTAGACACTTCTGGTGGCTAGGGATCAAGGTTACTTCATAAACCCGACTCAAGTCACTTTGGTCGGCTAGGGATCAAAGGCTCTTCATAAATCCGACTCAAGACACTTCGGCTGACTAGGGATCAAATATTCATCCATCTCAAGACGCTTCGGCCGGCTAGGGATCAAAGGCTTTTCATAAATCCGACTCAAGACGCTTCGGCTGGCTAGAGATCAAAGATTCGTCCATCTCAAAAGTCTTCGGCTGGCTAGGGATCAAAGGCTCTTCATGAATTCAACTCAAGACACTTCGCTTCAATTGTAAAGATCATAAATGCATTGGAGAACGTACCCGCAATTTAAACATTAATTCATTAATTACTTTGGTACACAATAATATACATACATTTATAGATTCATTTAGTTATATTTATAGAGTATACCTTTCGTATCATGCAGATGAAGACGATTCCGGTTTAAACGGCCTTTGTTTTTGCTGTTATTTTTTGACAACTCGTCTTTAGTTACATGTAGGCGAAATTCCTAGAAATAGATGTAGTCAAAAGACCTAATTATCTTTTTCGAAAGACGCCCAAATATTGGGGTTTATTTATGTTTTTGTATTTATTAATTATAATTTTAATCTACCAAATGTATTCCTCCGCGAAATATCAGCGTTATATTGTGTTATTGCGAAACACATTTTTTTGTGCATCTCACTTAACTCTCTATTAGTATGATTTGTGAAAATGTTTGTTTCCCGTAAATGGTTGGCTGGCAATCTGGTGAACTTTTGGTTCAAATCCCACTGGTAATCCTAATGTAGCATATAGGACAGCCAGGTGCCGATGAGACAAGCGCAGAGGGATACAAATGCTGGTTTTATGTTGTGTCCTGAGCCCGTCATGACAGGATAAGAGTATGAATTGGGGGAGACTCCTCGGTTGTTGTTGTGGTAAGCAGGTACACCACCTGAGCAAATACGAAACTTGCTTTAGATAATAGAAATATATGTTCTATCATTATATGCAATATACATAATTGGAAAATAACGATATGATTATTGCCATAAAAATAATTTGCGACATGATAGCATGACCATACAATCGTAGTTGGAGATAGCCACAGTAAATGCTGATTCTAACAAGAAACTGATTTTGAGATTTGCACTTTTGGTTCCATTTTTTTAACACATTTTAGATATTGACAATAAGTTAATTCCAACAGCTTCACTCTTTATTTATATTTTATTAACCCTTTTCTATAGAAAAGAGCTTTAGATCGCTAAAGGTTGTTGATCATATCCAATCATAGAGCGTTCTTACCTCTTACCGCCCCCCATGCCCGAATCAGGAAGAACGGATCGGTCAGAGACCTAAGTTGAGCCACGTTCCGGATGGGTTTCTTGATTCGATCAAAGGAGCATGTGGTTATGTTATTTGTAACAGCAAATGATGTGTTCTGAATTCCATACAAGTCCTGAAAATTGAACGATTATAATTATCACATTTAAAACACTTTCGATGAAATATATGTTCGACTTTCAATGTTATTGTATAACTACTCTAGCTATAAATTCCATTACCAATCATATATTTCGAAATGCAGAATCTAAAATAACATTATATAGTTATTTAGGTTTAGAATTAGAAGGATTTCGGATTTCACATTCTCACATAACATTTACATATAATGAAAACATGTTGACGTGTTGTGTCACATAGTGAAACTATGTTGACGTATTGTGTCTTATTGTGAAGATATGTTGACTTTGGTGATCACTTTGTACCAAACGCTAAATGAATCAAGATTTATCAATATAATTCAGCTCTTCCACAAGAATGTGCAATTATACTCCAATGATTGCACGATTGATGTCTTCTACATCAACGTCCGATAGAAGAGAAAACCCTGCCTACAGTAAGACGTTATTTATTATTTAATACACAAAAACTTTCCCTGATCATTTTTATATATATCTATGATTCAGTTTATACTAAATCTTATCGCTGCAGAATCAATATTGAGAATATGAAGATCACCGAATTTGTTGTTGTACCACATTGGAACAGCGTTTATATAGCTTTGTATGAATGTTGAATTCAGATAACATCATAACGCTATTACAACGTGGTGAAAAAACGCCAGGAAAACTTTCATATACAATTTTCTACGGCCCATAAACCAACGTTAGGACGTGACCTGAACACAACGTTGAAGCAACGTTATGTGCCCACCGGGGAGCCTTGTGGCTGAGTGTATGGTTCTTTAGGTATCTTGATTAAGCAGATATATACATAATAAAGCAGATATTATTTAATATAACTGATAATTAGCTGACAAGAAATTGTGTGCACGGCCCTTTTCAAATAAATGTTCATGTCACATCAATATGGATAATAATAGGTTTTACAGCAGAAGCTAAAAGTGCGAAGGGTTCCGAAAATTGATAAATGATAAATACGTTATTGTATATGTAGAACAACATCTATCGTTGTAATGGTCTCAAAGTTTAGATGTTGTCATGGAAACAGCGACTCTTACTATATCCATTTTATTCTAGTTATATAGTAAGTGTGATGTTTTAAACGATATGTTGTTACATAACTTACTGTTCCAGGCGCGTATGTGCGACCCTGTGTGTATCCAAGCTGTACATTGGCATCACTTCGGCACATCACTATACTGCTGTCCGGCTGGTCAAATAAATAAATAAAACGTCTTTCTGTTTAATTCTCAAAGTCTATCCATCAAAAATGTTCCAAAATACAGGGAATGTTTTCTCTGTATTCATTAAATGTGGGATGAAAACCTACACTTTTTTTCCTCACTAAAGAGTCGTTCTTGTGGGATTACTTAAACATTAATTCAAGTTATCTCACGTAAATACTCTTTCTCTAATTGTGTCATAAGCAATTTCAATTCAAAATTATTTTTGTTGTTTTTTTAATCTTGTTTATGTTAAAATTATATCAACATATATGTTTATAATCTGCAACACCAGGAACGCTTACCATAAGACTGTTTCCGGAGAACCCAAGGGCGATATAGTGCTCGCCTGATGGGACAAATTCCATCTTCATCTCAAACCGCAGATAATCCAAGTTAGTGTTCCACCAACTGATCAGGAAGCCGACACATCCCCCAACGGGACATTGTGTAGGCCAGCATATCTTAGCTTTTCCACATTGTGGGTCTGGTGGAATTACTCCATTGGTAAGCTAGACATTACATAAATAAACTAGAATTAGAAAAGACACCCGGAACTAGCAAAGTCATTAGGAAAACAAACAAAGTTTCTTCGGAGTGGTATTTCCTGTACAATATATTAAAACTGTGACGTGTATACGTATGGAGTCTCGAATGTTAATACGTAAAAAAGAAAGCAATTGATATCATAAGTCAGAAAAACGTAGAATGCATAAACAATCGTTTGCCACACAATCGTATTGATCGTCTGATTTTTGAGGGTTTTTAAAACGACTTTAACATGGAAAAAAAATCCTAATTTGCCAAACATACAACATTTATTATGAAATGTTTTATACCGACACATATTTATTGTTGTTATTGTTGCTGTACAGTTAAAATCCTCATTCGCCAACACAAAAATGGAGCTATATTCCCTTCTATATGAAATTACCATTGAAGAAACCCTCTTGAAGAATAAACCTTAAACGCAGTGTATTTTATATAAACTACAATGTTTATTTTATACAAATAAAAGATGATTTATTTTCTGTTTACAGGCCTGTCATTAAATTATTACACCCTCATTATATTTTTTATGTTATGATAACACTATAATGGTAAATTTTATGCATTTGATAAGAAGTGAAAAAGTAAGAAATTTGTTCTAGTGGTGCTAACTATTTCCACTTTATATCTCGTGATAGCACCTATGTTTATTTTTATATCTAGAAGTGATAACTATGATAATTTCGGTGTCTAGTGGTGACAACTATTTTTATTTTAATGTCTGGTGGTTAAACCTATTATCATTTTGATGTCTAATAGCGACACCTGTTTTCATATTGATGTCTAGTGTTGACAACTAATTTCATTTTGATGTCTAGTGGTGACAACTACTATCATTTTGATGTCTAGTGGTGACACCTGTTTTCATTCTGATGTCTAGTGGTGACAACTACGATCATTTTGATGTCTAGTGGTGACAACTACTATCACTTTGATGTCTAGTGGTGAAACTACTTTCATTTTGATGTCTAGTGGTTACAAATACTATCATTTTGATGTCTAGTGGTGAGAACTACAATCATTTTGATTTTTCCGTAATCATTCTCTTTTGGTCCTTTTATTAAATCATTGCTCACATTACAACAATACAAACATGATTCATGTTATAATGCCAAACTTTCAACACACATATGAAATAAATAACTTCTCTAAAAAAACATTACCTTTGTTAAAGAAATATTTATCATTTTACTCTAAGTATGGCACAGTGTTACCAAACTTGCATAACTGTATTAAGCATACTTTTCATGCATACTTCACAAGTTGGTTAAATACATGATAATGGACCTTTTGATACATGATAATGGACATTTGAATACATAATAATCGATATTTAATTTAATTATATGTATCAGCTCATCTACCAATAACACATCGTTTTTGTATTTTACAAATTATGTAAATTTCAAGCAAGTATCGTTCGACACTATTGGAAACTTAAAATGATTTATATATTATATAAAAGAGTTACACTGGAAAAACTGAGGTTATTTTGTATGTGCAATTACACCATTATGTAATCAAAGTACTGCAAAAATGGATAATAATTACTTGCAAAAAGACATCTTACCTGAGAGAAGACGCTAGCGATAAGGATACAAATCAGTTTGGTCCACGACATCTGCAACTGAAATTGATAAATATCGATAAACAAATACCTTAGTTGTTTGTGGTACCGTTAGATAAGGTAGCAGTGTACAGTAGCGTACGGTGGCTAGGGAAGATATTTTCGTTCAATGAATAACCCATGTAATATTACATGTATCAAAATAAAAAGATTAAATCAGCACTAAAATTGGCATATACATGATGAAATGGACTATGTGGGCTTCACATTTAAAAAAAAATGAACTTGTTTTGAGACTACATTTTTGGCCATTTGCAAATCTGTGTCTACACAACAAAAGCTAGCTTTTCATGTAGTCTATTTTTGTACTCAGCACATGTGTAAATGTTGTGAAAATGCAGTTGAACGACCTATGCTAAAACGTGAGTATTTCTGTTACCGAGTAGGTGATATTCAATTGAAGACAGGTTTTAAGAAAAAAAATACTACTTTCTTGGGTCAAATTTTGGGTTAAAAACCTTTTGTTAAGCTTTTTTTGGCGTTTTTTTATGTGGTTACCATGGTTTTCACAAGTCCGAAATCTGGGGAAATCACTTTAAAAAAAAAAATATCATTCTTCTAAAAACAATGTATTGAAGGTGTAGTTTATAAATATATATATATGTAGGTGTGTTGTGCAGTATGAATCCGCTATCCATGTTTATCTGAGACATGCCCTGTATTTTGAGGATCAAGCCATTTATACTGTACTCTGCTACCTAAGATGAATGCATAATATGGAAAATCCGAAGTCATCTGATACTGCGGCATGTTATGAATTCATAATATGATAGGGATTTAACACTTTTAAGACGCAAACAGATTTTTAATGAGTTCCATTCTTTTCGATTCAATTCACAAATGATGTAAACTGTTATTAATTAATGATACTGTTCTTTTCCACTATCATTTCAAGCATTTTACATCATTCAAGAATCAGTAAGCTTTTCTGTAACTTTTATATCTTGGTATAGGGTCTTTTGAATGAATCAAAATAAATAAAAAAAAAAGGATTTGTCATAAGTTTCCCTTCATATTAGATTGATGATACATGTTTGCGAGCCTCCGGCCAGAAAATATTAATGTATAAGGAACATGTCCAACAGACTCAGTATACATGTCTGGATATTGCAATGTATTCATATCGTTGTGGTGAACGACCTCTTAACAGCTTTGATTAGTTATGGAAAGTAAGGTTTTAGTGGTGGGGGAAAGCCGGAGTACCCGAAGAAACCCAACGGCCTGCGACCAGTGCCTGGCGACCTGCCCCACGTACCGTCACAGTACCTAAATAGGGGCAGTACCCAAAACGTAAGAAATGTGCATGCTGTGCAAAGAAGTATTTTCAAATTGAAAATATTGTTTTAAAGATGCAAATATACCAATAAAACATTATATGAATTTTATTTACTGCCACTTAGGTTACAATCACAGTTTTACTTTGTAAATAATGACGAAAATGTAACATTCTGAATTGATGCGCCATGCGACGTTATTGATTTTCAATTTTTTGTATGGGATTTTACACAATCCTACTATTTCACAACGAATGTTAGTTTGGAAAAGAAATTCTTTCAGAACGACCATTGACTCTTAAATATTCCAAAGATATGCAATGTTCTGCTAAACATTTTACTAAAAAGTGTCCCGATTTGGGCACTGTAACGTTAGGCCTCAAACTCGCGACTAAGTGGTGGAGGTCTAGATCATAAAAGGACAGACGCCTTTAAAACGCGGCCACCACATTACCCGAGCAAAAAATAGACATAAATTGATACGAAAATCCAAAGCAAACAAATATCATTTGTATGAAAGGGGCAGGGGAGGGTATACTCAAACCCATAGCTATAAAGAGCCACAAACAGTATAATATAATTATTATGTTCATGCCAGTTAAGTAAATCACGTACCTTTGCTTGGTTTGCCCGATACCGTCAGTGGCGTGAGCAACGCTTGTGAAGTGTTTGTACCTAGCCCCTCACTTCTTATATCCGACAGATTACTCACTTCCGATTCGTCGTTCGTCTCTCGTGTATAGATTGACCGATGAATAATATCAACTGAGAACTATCTCCATGGGTATTGCTTCATTAATTTTCTGTCGTCGTCCTTCATGAATTACGTTCAGATGCATTAGTCACGAAAACTGACTATGTAGCATCATCAACAGTTGGGTGAATGAATATCGCCGGCTCTTGTTGGGGTAGACAGAAGGGGTGTTTTCATTTGAGACTTCATGTTCTAGCATTATTTACTTGAAAAACATAGAATATCGTTATACTGTTTATCGTTAATTAGGTACCAGGTAATAATTTCTTACAAGAAAAACATATGTTTTATCATCGGGACCATGTTGTTAGATTTGCAGGTCTATATGATCAAGGATCGTTGTTGTTCTACACATCAGATTGACTGTCCACACCTTATAAACATTCAGAATCTTCGAAAATACTTATTATATGATTCTTTCGAAGATGAAGATAAAATAAAACAGTTTTTCTTGTATAAAAAAAATAGCGGGTGCTTTTTGTAATTAAGATACACTAACACTAACACTGCTAAGGTGTTACAAACAGCTTGCTTTTTAAGTTTTAAAGAACATAATTAGTACAGGCTTAGGCACGATATAATTGCATCAGGATATCCTAGCGTTAAGGAAAAATCAGGCTCTTGAACAAGTATAGCTTAATTATCTCAGCAAGGAGCTCCCAATTAGCCAAATCAGTCATAAGGGCCAAAAATGAACCCCCAGCTTTGTAATTTTAAACATTTTATGAATAAGAATACGGATGTCCAATGATATAACAATTTACGGTTTATTGATAATGTGTTTCTTGATAATCTGAATAATCGGGTGGTATGTAATGAAAATAATTTCTGTCATATAAATAGTTTAGAATCATGTTATCGATTCTTAATCATTTTATCATTATCAAACGTTTATCTTTATCATAAAATTGACATTTGGTTCTTTCGTGTATAATATTTTCAGCTTCAGGGAACATTTGACTTCGTATCGCGCGTTTATGAACAATTTAGAACTCAACTAATACCATGTCAATATGTTTCACAAAAGTCTTCCATGCTAATGGCATACAAATGTAACAGACTCCGGTGTCTGTTCTAAACGACGAACGAACGGACTGGCACACAGTATTCAAGTAAATGAATAGACTTCAATTAACGGATAGGGGAGTTACAATTGAAATTGCAAATTGATTTCATATTGTCTATTTTCATTATATATAATGAATAAAACACGTTTATTGCATTTATATTGAAAAATAGGGGTTTCAGAAGATGTTATCACTAAATTGCTTTCTGTGTTGTCCTATTAAACCTATATAATGGTACTGCATTACCTCGTATTTGTATCGATCATTCTAGATCGTGACCCTCACGCTTTTCCTGCAGTTAATCATATACATCAGGATCCACATGTCGAGATTTACTTTCCGGATCTTTTGGAATTTTTCCCTTCTTTGCTTGAATTTCATGATGCTTTTCTTTCTGTTTTGGAGCCTTCTCGTTTCTGATGCTTTCAGTTTCGTTTTTCTCATTGTGTGCCGATACTGTCTGTTTGAGCTATTTAACAATCCGTACGTGTCATATGAAATACGTAAGGTTACTGATTTCGATGTTTAGTCTGTATCTACTTACACATATCACACTTTATCCTTACGATGTATTGATATTATGATGAAATAAATTGTACGGATGTATTTACATACGCTTTTATTTCAGTTGCCTTATATGAAGTCACTAGCAATAGCACACAGCAATCATAGCATCATAAATGCAACGGGATTTTGGATGCATAGTTGTGATGCCATACCATAAAGTTGTCGATTCTCAGCTATTTCAATGCCTGAATCAAATTTTTGTTTCAACATGTTCGATGAAATGAGTGATCCACATTTTCTAAATGTAGTGTCAATGTATATTTTAATCAATGTGCTACGTACACACATATATATATATATATATATATATATATATATATATATANTATAAAAAGAAAAATTCTCATCAACGAGTCTTTAGTACTTTCATCTCTTCTAGGAGATTCTTCAGACTAACCAATATATATACAGGTATTAATTTTACTATTTGAGACAACCGGAATATCAACAATCATAACTATTTATGAATAGAGTTGATTTTCTAGTAACTGCTACATTTTTTTCTTACCACATCCTAAATGAAACAATCCGGGTAGGTATCTGGTTTATCTGGGTCGACCTTGCTTACGCAAACAGAATGAAACATGTAGTTCGAGCGGACTTAACAGATCTGCTGCAAATAGCATACAACACTGACTCTTTATGGGTAACAAGACGCTGGTCTTAAATTCATTATCAACCATATGTGTGTTCTCAGCTGTGACATATACTATTTCATTTCAGAATATTAATTGTTCAGATCTTAGATACAAAGGAATTGGGCAACAGGCAAAGCCTATCAGCGACCTCTCATTACAGTAACAAACAGTTTACACACATCATATTGAATTGAAGTAATGCAATATATTAATAATTGCATGTCATTATTATTTTTTTGAAAATTGTTGTTACACAAACTAGATTATACAAAAATAGACAAATGATGCTGGTGGACAGCACTTAGTACAGGTATGTGCTGGTATCATTCCACACAGCAAAGTCATGTGAAAAAAGATAAACAAGTAAATGGAATCTAGTAGAAGCGTCTAGTATCTTTAATGAATCTCTGAACCATCCCCAGAATACTTGTATTCATATTGATGTCGAGTCTTCGACATCCATAAAGAAAAGTCTGATTACTTAATGGAATAGTGTCATTAAGAGCAGAAATTCAAGAGAATTTGCCTTTGATAAGTATACAGAGAACAGTTGAGAAAGACGTGATCACAATCATCAACAGGAAAATTACATTAACAGACAGGGGTATCAATTATGTGAGATTCAAATAGATCTACATATAGGTTACTGGCACAGTTTCTAATTGACAAACGTTAAAAAGGGACAAAAACTGGCATTTTATAACTGAGTACAGGGAAAAGGAACATTAAAAAATCTAATCTGGCGAAGATGGTAATTTTCAGTATTACTGTTTTTGTACGGTTTAATTATATCATAGACATGAGAGGGGCATTTCTTAATATATATTTTATAAAAAGTAATATTTTCATGAAAATGTTTTTTTTCTATTAAGTGTTATAAAACAATATTCTCTATATAAGATAACATGACTTGTTCAACGTCTTAAACCTGAAATAATACATGCTGCTTCTAGTTGGACAGACTCCAAGACACTGCATTCATTCTGCGTACAGTTTGCCCACATTATATTTGCATATTCCAGAATTGGACGTATGAATGTGATATATATAGTTTCGAGTGAATTTCTATCAATTTTGTATTTCAACATTCTAAGTATATTAATTCTTTTGTAAGATTTTTCGTATATATAGTTTATGTGGTTAGACCAATTAACCATGCTTTAAAAAAAAGTGTTGATGATTAGAATCATTAATAATTGGTGATTCATCAATTATAGGTTATGATGCAGTGTCTAAGAGTCAACCCGCCTCGAGGAGAGCAGGGCTACAATTTTATCTGGATTTAAGATAATTCCCTATTTTCTAGCCCAGATTGGAAATTTTCTTTAGATCGTCATTTTGTACATTAGCACATTCTTGCCTGTCTCCCTCAATAAGACCTTATAAGGAGGTATCGTCAGCAAATAGTTTGACGTTTGAGGTCAATTCATCACCAATATCATTAATATATAATAAAAACAAAAAATGAACCATGGACTGAACCTTGATGTACCCCTGCCTGTAAGGTTTTCCAGTTAGAGTTATACCAATCTTTGACCACTCTCTTTCATGAAGGTATGATGTCAACCATTCTAACATATTATTTCATATACCATATATTTTTAAGTTTACAGATTAGACTGTCATGCCAAACTCTGTCAAAGACATATACTATATACTGCTTTCATTTTGCATCGTGTTATTTTCGCATTACGTGGGGAAAAAAATCGAGCAGTGTTAAACTGCTTGTTTCGAGATTATTAGGTATTTAATGCTTTCACTCGACTTGTAAAATTTGCAAACTCGAAATACGTGAAATAAAACAGTAATCTTGATTGTTTTAGACATTCTTCATACAATAACAACTTAATATATATAATAATAATGCAGAACATGTGTTTTGCTTGAAAGTGAATAATTCTGCTTTGACATGCAAAATTTTAAGGAAACGTTTTTGAAACGGAGCAACGAAATATATCAACATAATTGTATTTCCGGCAGAAGACCGAATTGTCTGGATCTGATTCAAGTATACATTCGCCCTAGCTTTGTTTACGAGAAAAAGTATAATCTTTTTCTGCTTTCAACTCATTCCACAAACCACAGGACAGTTGGAATACAGTCTCAGAAAGTCTGGAAGCTTGTCTGACAGATATCAGTATCTGGATGAACGCACCAACATGCTCAAGCCTAATCAGGAAAAGACGGAACTAATCGTCTTTTCCCCAAAGTGTCAGCAAACTATGGCTCTCCAGCTCAAGGTTGGTGCCAGAACTATTATCCATATGTTGTAAAGCGCCTTAGAGTAATTTTACAAATCATATAGGGCGCTATATAAATGTTGTATATTATTATTATTATTATTGTACCACCTTTTTTTAAGAACTTTTTTGTTTTCTGTAATGTGAATTATTAGAATATGTTCATAGCGTTCATCTTCGAAAAAGTATCCGAACACTCCTATGTAAGTTTAAACACAAAGAACAAGTATTGTGTGTATATTTTTATTACTAAAACAATGGTTGTGTTTCTAAAGGAAATAAATATTTATATCACAGACGATGTAAGTACGATGTCAATACATCTACATGTTTTGTCACAAATAGTAATCGAGTTCACAGCTACTTCACAAAAGCACACATATTTCTGCTTAATTACACATAATCCTTAATTTTCCATGACGGTATGAACGCCGGGTACACTGATTCAATTTATAAAATCTTCATGTTTATATAATCACGAAATAAAAACTTGACTAAAACAAGTGTTAATGTATACATGATATGTGTTTGTTGACAACCTGATGATTTTATAAAAATTTGTATCAACGCACATAGTTCAAATGACCCGCTGCGTTCAATCCTCCGATTCTTTCAGTATCAGAACAATCAAGGCAACAGCAAAACAAAACATTGACAACATCTGTATTCCAAATATTACTTTCGCAAATGGTGCCCCCTCCTGAAAGATAAAAGATAAATCGATAACATCTATAAAAATAAATTGATTTTGACAGGTTTCATATCAGCAATGCTTCGTAACTAATATTTACAGTTCTGGTATCAAGTCATATACCTTTTATCTGTATGGAATTATTTCTCTTTCAAATAGTATTTATATGTTCTGCTATCATTTAACATTCATTAACTTAAACTATTTTCACTTTTACGATGTTGAATTTGTCTTATTCATTCATATTTTGACATTTAAATCTTTTGATATTATCCGTAATTTTGTTTTGTTTTTGTTTTCTTGGTATTGAAATTTGGATGTGTTTTGATACGAAATAAGGTTTAAAGAAATGAAGAAATAAAGTATTTAGGACTGATCAATATAAAATAAAATGTTTGTGAAACAAAAAAGAATATTTGGATAAGGTTCGTACATTTTTTTTTTATTAGTGATTAAAACTAACTTTAAACAGATTTTTCGTTTTTGAGACATCGTCTGTTGTTGGATCTTACTAACCTCTTCGCCGGTTGATGGAGGTGCATCGGGCGCCACGTCCCCCTGTTGTTTTAGCTCAACTTCTAGTGTTCTGCCTAAATATGAAATTGCACCGATATCATCTCCCTATCGCTTACACAAAGAAATGTTTTCTTTTATCATTGTTAACGATTTAACTCACTATCAGGTGAAAAAGAGTAGAAGAAAGTTTGTACATACAGTGACAGGCCATTTCTATTTTTTTGTATAACTTCATGTTTTGCTCAACATATTAGGAAACAATGCATGAGTCATTTCTTTTTTCAAAGATGATGATTTCAATTAGGACATAGAAAGCATGCCTATATTAATACTCACTCTTTAAACTTCACTATTTGCTTAACCCCTTTTTTATGAATTACATTTTTAGTTACACTGTTTCAGTTAGCATTACAAACCTTTTCTGTTCTTCCGGATGCGTAGATATATTTCTAGGACTATATCCAGGAACACGAACACACATATGTAGGATATTGATATGTATCTTGCACTTGGTGGAACATTGGACTTATCCAAATACGTAGCAAATACAATTGTCACTGCTGCAAAATACAATTTAAAACAACATGATCATTTAACTAACATTCATTGTGCATGAACGAAAACATAGTTTATTTCAAAAGGAAATATTTACATTTGCATGGCATTGTCACTATATAGCCTCTTTGAAAGCTGTGTCGTTGATGGGACTTTGATTACCATGCAGCACAAGACACAATTCTTAGCTTATTAATACAACACTGACCGGAACTACAATATCCAATGTAATTAAACATGACGGCTGCTGAAATATCGCTGGGCATGGTGAGACTTGACAATGTCATTGTAAACGTATGTGCAAAAGAAAAAAAATGAATAAAAAATATTTTTATTACAACAAAAACAAGACTAAGGTCTGCAATATCGTACAAAATGGACATTGGTTGAAATCACCAACGCCGGCATTGGAAACAATTTTAACGCTCATGCAATTTATCAGAAATATCGTCTGGTACACTGCACTGATCAACAGGGGTTCGTTACAAATGTCTGAAATACACATATTCTATAGACCTACTGAAACATATGTTACAGACCTACTGATATGAGTCACAGCACACATAAACATTTCAGAAATTTGTAACGAACCCCTGTGCTCCGTCGCAAGATCACTCACTTCATTAGATATCAGTTTCACGCGTCTCGCAGCCAGGGTTTTCTCAGTTTCTGATCACGACATGTTCAATAATGAGGCTGTTATATAATCTACTGACTGTAGTCAGATTCGCATACAATCAACAAATAAATCCACGTCTGGAATCTTCACAAAATGAGCAAAGAGAAAATTTAGAATTAACTTCCAAAAATAACTTCCTCGTGGAGGTCAAGGTCGGATTTACGGTGTTCACTGTATTTATTCATGCGCGAAATTTGTTGCGGGGAAAAATCGGAACAATTTAAAATCAAACTTTCAGCTCAGATTTCTATTGATAAACTTAAAACACCCTATAGATATAGCATACGTAATTGTATTGATAATGAATTGTGGATTAAAATTGAAGTGTTTGTTAAAATTTCAAAGTACTACTTTGTTTGCCAATCAGCACGCGGCAATACGCTGTTCAATTTATTGAACGAAATTGTGTGGACTGTCGATAAGGCGGGCATTTTTAATTTTAAATATAAATAATCAGTTTAAAAGAACATAAGAGGCAGAGAAAACGTAAATTATGTTGTTTGCTTTGAAAGCTGTGTCATTCAAATCGATCATAAATACCATAAAAATCAGTTCAATGCTTAAACAATCACATTAAAAATATATGAATGCATTATTAACTGTGTTTTTAAATAAGCAAACGGCCTAAAGAAATACTTATAATTATTAACTGTAGTGAACTTTTTTTTCTATTTCTAAGAACGTGCCAGCAGCCTTTTCTAAAATATATTTGCTTTTACAACTATAGGCAATCATTTCATTGTATAGTTACCATTGGCTGTGATAAATATGTGAAAACTTACCTGCTAGGACATGTGCGCTAGTGCCGATAAACCAATGATAAAAGTTAAAGATGGGTCGCTTCTTGTGATCCGGTGCACATCTAAGGAGCGCTATGATTGGCTGCAAAATGAAGTAATGAATAACAGAACAATAACTTGTTTATACCATCGAAATTAAAGATATAGTAAAAAGCCTAATACACTGAAAGCCTAGCTCATCACGGTTCCAAGCTTTCGGGCTTAGCCCTTCCTCAGGGATTAAATGTCACCGGACCTCTATGTCACATCAATCTTGACAAACATGATGAGTAACTATGAAAAGAGTGACTTTAAAGTTTGGTAATATTATTGCGTTCCCTATAGAAACATATGTTTATAGACAATAAGTCTTATTAGAATTATTTTTAACATATCATATGATAACTGATTATAGAAAACCACATGATGTGTTATATATATCAACGTTCGAAACCTAACCTGATAATAAGTGATTGTTAATGGAATTGACCTGTGCATGATAAATCCAGGAATTATAATTTACTGAATGTTTTTAAACAAACTTACTATTTAAATATGTTGATGTATAGTGTACTTACATTCATCACTGTGAGCGACATGACGATAATACCAAGAATGGGATGGTATTTGGCAAAAGAATGGCTCTCATCAGAAACAGTCACCTGCCAGGTAAATTGTTAAGTTTTGTTCATTTCATAGACATAAAAGGTTGTCAAAAATCCAATTATTTCTAATAGTTATTGTCTTATAATGGTTGAAAATAGCAACAAACACAAATACATATCGCAATGTAAATTTAATGTTATACTGTTAATTTCCTATGTAAAATTCAAAATACAAATGATAATATGAATTCTATATATATCATTTACTTATCGCACTAGAACCTTATACCGGAAAATGGCAACTCTGTAAAAAAAACTTTTTTCGAAAAGTTATCTTTATATAAGATCGATGATGGAAAAAAAGAATTCCGTTTATCAAGCCACCATTTTATCAGGCTCTTTTACTCTCAAGTCAATGATTTCCGTGACAAGTTTCATTTCCTTATCAGGAATTTCTTTTTAGATTAACCCAACATTAGTAAATGCTTATACATAGATTTAATAGGCAGGAGTAGACGTGTTACTTTGCTCAGAAGAGTGGTCCCAGAAAGGTTTGTCGAATACCTGAACCAGGTAACATGATAATTGCACTACTCATTGGTAGACAGGAACACAACTCCTCTCGTTATATATACATTTGCTTAGACTCAATACGTACAGTGTAATCGAACGAATGGTAATTAATGGCGTTTCTTTGTTTGATGATACTTACGTTGTCGGCATATCCATCGACTTCCACAAATATGATGACAAAGGCTATTGCAGTGAACAGGAATACTGTCATCATACACAGTCTGTGAATCTACAACAGAAGGAACAATCTATATGGTGAATATAACAGTAAAGACAGGACATGTTCTTTATTCGTGTTTTCCAATATAAGAAATCAAAGTTCATCAACGGTACAATCATGATAAGTTGGTGTATACTTAACACTTAATGAACATTTTATTATCAATTTAACGTTATCGAAGAGCATACCTGAAACCAGACTTTCTGTCCTAAAACAGTAGAGTTTGGCCACATCGTCTTGAGATATCGTGCGACAAAGATACCGATACTGGAGAACAAAACCCAGGCTACAACCATGAGCGAACCTGAAGCAAGATATATACATTTTTCTAAACATTCAGTATAGCCTGACCAAGCACATGAACACCAACCCCCCTCACAGACACACACCACACACCACACCCCCCGCGATGTTGCCCCTGTCGTGGTGTACCCGATAAATCCAGCAAATTTTGTTAAAAAGTTGAATAAATTCATAATATGATTGTATTTGGGTAGTTTTGTGAAAAATGGGGACTAAGAATACGGCTTTGCGTTACTCTTATTCGTGAAACAACATATCAACATTGGCGCGGATACATAGAGGGTTGATGCGTACCGTGAATCTGTACAAGGATGTATGCCTGGTTTACTCCTCTCTGCAGATCAGTTGACATAAAATCAACAGTTCCCACGCTAACAATCGGGTTCTGTGAATGCCGTTGTAAATTTCCTTAAAAAAATAATAATAGAATAATAAGATAGAGTATAATTTATTGTCAAAATATATATATTGATATAATATAAGGTAAAGTTCCAACATTTTTGGTTCATTCACTAATGGATGCTGTCTTTATGTATACGTAAGTACCATCGGTAAGAAAAAACATTTTTCTGTTCAACACTACAACGTACATAGAAATACGTGTGTATCTTATGAATGGAATTTACCATACCAGAAGCAAACGGTCCATATGCGAAGAAAAGACGCCACTTTTGTCGGATATCGAAGAAAGATGATTGTCCAGTTATATTGGTCATCCGTGTAAACTTGCAGTTCAGAACAGAGTTGACCATGCTGCCAGACACTGATGACAGACCAAGGTCAACCTACAATGTCACAAGGTCATTTTCATTTATCAGGATTTTTTGTTAAGAAATGCATTCCTCACCTTTGCCTTGTGCTTCAATGTTATTTACAGACGACAATTTTTAATATTTTAACAAGGGCCGAGTGATTATTTTACTGATTGGATGACTTATTGATCAAGTCATATACGACCCATTTATTTAAAAGATATAAACAAAGAAAAGGCAGCAAAACGAGAAAAAACGATATATGTAGGTTCTCCATCGTATAGGCAATTAACAACTGGCAATTGGTTTCAGCAAATAAATTCTGATTGTATGACTCCTGAATAAGCTGAGATTTTTTTCCGAAAGGAAATCATTCCTGACATAGAATATGTCACTTTATAAGAAATGTGTATTGTGTACGTACTGGTGTTAGTGATCCATAACTTTTTTTCGTGTTGTATCCGGACTGGGCAGACACAACGCCGCCGGAACTGACGCAGGCTACGATGCTGTCTGAACCCTGAACAAAATTTTACATTTATATACCATATGTGTTATATTCAACTATCCCGTGCAAACGCCTCTAATTGATTAGAAAAAGTGGGGTCAATTACACATTTGAAGCTTTAAAAACAATTAACAAGATTAAAACCTTGTCAGAAATGTTTGGGTATAAACTTCCAAGAGTTTACATGAATATGATTAAAAGATTCAGTGTTTCGTACCATCTTCTTGTCGGCTGAGAATCCTATAGCAACCCAGTTATTCGACCCTGCTGAGACGTCAGCAGATATCTCGAATTCAATGTTCTGGTCGTCAATGGTCACCCATGTAACCAAGAAAGAACAACCCGAGACCTTGCAGTCTGGGAAGCAACCCTTCGTTACTCCACATGCAGGATCAAATGTAACCGAACCCGATGGCTGTTAAAGAAAAATTAAACGTTTATGGTAGAAAAACAATCAGCGTCTGTTTCGAGCAAACAGTAAACTAAAATCTTGCCAAAGTTATCACTTCATATCGAAAAATTGTAGCCTTTATGGAAATGCAGGGTATTTGCTTCTTCCAATGACAACTGTATAACGCTACAAAGTATATGAACGACTTATTGTAGTATATTAAGTATATCTATACAGAACTAATACATTTATTTAACTTATTTTACTATGTAAGTATACAGTTCAGTATTAAAAATATGATTCAGTGTAAAAGAAATAGTAAATATACACAATACAAACCTGTCATTTAGATATCTTATACGATCTAATATGAAGTAATATATGTATTACATATTGATCAACTGTTTTATCTTATGCACCACCTTAAGCTCACCGGTTCTGTTGTAGGTGTATTAGGCGTGGTCAACACTGGAGTGGACTGTGTCACATTGAGGAAATCAAAAGTATTTGTAGTAACGTATCGAATACTATGGTATGTCGGGGTACCTAAAAGTAGAATTGACGAGCACACACAGTTGTACGTTTGTTACATTTCAAACAATCAAGAATGACAAATATATTAACAAAAACCATATGTAGAAACTCGACAACAAGAATCTTGAAATAGAAACAAAACTAGAGGCATTTGTTATTCTTCTAATTTTATTTCAAAGAAAGACTTAAAACAGGATGAGAGGGGACTCTAAATTATATATCAAGCTTGTATGGTCGTTCTAAATTCAGCCTTAACAACGATATATAAATATATACTTATAGGTTGAAAGGTATTTCATATTTGGATTGAATGTCGGTTACCATTCGTTTCAGAGCTAACTAAATGTACTAAGGAAACATATACCTGCAGTGATAGAGCCTTTTGCGTGAAGAAGATGTAAAGGTTGGTCAAGATCAAATACTTGAGCCTCGTTCTGGGTTGCGTTTTTAATTCTATCAAACGAGCAGACGACCACGGTTCCAATGCGATTTACAGCCGTGTTCTGTAGACCATAGTTATTCTGTAACACAGTCAATACTTTTAATTATAGAACAGCCCAGATATATCAGGATCTATGTATGCATGAATGTGAGGGAATATTAGATGTGTTGTGTTTGATGGTCTCCCCACAGCTAGTTGGATGTGAGAGGGAACAACAATACAGGCTCCACCTACATGGCATGTGCATTAATCAGACACGGTTACACCAATACACCCACCACAATCCCTAAAACACCCGTGTTTATTGTTCTATTTCCTTCTTTCTCTCTCTCTTTGCTCTTATTGTATATACCGTTTCTGCCATTCTTTTCTTGGTATCGATTTCGAATTACGAATTCGGCATTAAATGTTGACGTTGTTCCTTTTTTTCATTATTTACCTTGTGCCCGGAACCTATGTCCTCCGGTATTCTTAGTATTAATCTATTTCCGTTTTGCAAAAGAAATATTTGAAGGACTGTACACCACTATTGGTAATGGTAAAGCTTATTGCAAGGTTATAGGTTCGATCCACAAAGCAGCAGAATGTGCAGTGTGCATTGGTATGACTCTATAAATTATATGTTGGAAATTTGGAGACATAACTAGCATAATATTTATACACCTTCTCATTCATTACCTCTACACATAAAGAGATTTTTTGGGTATCCTGATAGTGTGGAATATATGTCAGTCATGCTTTGCGCAGAATGTTAGAGTAATTATCTTTGGACTAGATACGGCGCTATATTAACGTAGTATGGTAAATATAATTGATATACTGTGAATTGAGGAATTGCAGCATCCATTCTTTATCACATTAACATACAAATGTTCGTACCGATAACGTTCTGTACGCGTACCCGACTGTATGTCCCATTTCTATCGACGTGGCTCCACCTTCCATTCTACACATCACCACGCTGGAATCGCCCTGAAATATAATACATTACATAACAATGAAAACGTGTTCTCCTCATAATATCACACATTACATAACAATGAAAACGTGTTCTCCTCGTAATATAACACATTACATAACAATGAAAACGTGTTCTCCTCATAATATAACACATTACGTAACAATGAAAACGTGTTCTCCTCATAATATAACACATTACATAACGATGAAAACGTGTTCTCCTCATAATATAACACATTACTTAACAATGAAAACGTGTTCTCCTCATAATATAACAAAGTAAGTGCTTGACAATATACATTGATGGAGGCTTATACAGTATTTAATATCAAAACGATCATGATAAAAGGTTTAATTAGTAACAGTTTATAGTATGGCAATGTACCGATAGTAAGCCTATATCTTACCATATGTGTGTCCTTTGAGTATGCTAGTGCTACCCACTGGTCGTCACCGGCAGATATTTCAAACGTCATCACAAACCGGAGGTACTCTCCGGCCTCTTCCCAACTGACAAAGAAGTCTGTACATCCACTGACGGGACAAGCTTCTGGGTAACAGCCCTTGGTCATCCCGCACTCCGGATCAGGAAGGATTGCTCCATTAGTCTCCTGTTAGCAATTGTGAGAAAATTCTTCAAAATATTCCAGGATTTGTAGATTTTAGCATGTTGTAGATCAAGGCATATTCGACGCGTTATATTTTCGACCTTAAAACATGATTGAAATATTCCATGTGTAACAAGTAATCTAACTCAGTACACCTAGGCAGATATCCCGGTTACAGACCCTGGACCGTTTTTCTTTACCAAAAGTGCGTTCCGTTTCCGTTCCGTTTCCGTTGCATTTGCGTTTAAACGGACAAGAAAAACGGTCCAGGGTCTGTAACTATTCTCGGTCGAAATAAACATGTATAAAGGTAAGAAGAATATTGAAAATACGACCATTTGGAGCAGATTCTGACCTAAATTATTTGAATCCATTAAAAAGCATGCCTCTACACATCTGAAATAGTTGTTATATAGTTATATCTATAGTTTCAGTGGAAATCAGTTATCAAACATAACTCTATGTCAAATAAACAGAACCTGATTTTTTCAATTACATGTGTAGTTGATTCAGGTACAATTCCCCCAAAGCAAATTATGTGGCCTCAATTTGGCGGGATCATCGTCTTATCCTGAGTTTATCAACAAATGATACACCGTCATGACGATTTTGTAGATTCGTTAAGGCAATCCAAATTTGTAAATTTGAACGTTATTGAAGGACTATTACATCAAAGAATGAGTATTTTCCTACTTTTAAATTATTATTTAACCCAGTACAGATTTTAAATGTCTCACAAAGTTCGACCTAATATAATTTCAGAACTGTTGACTATTTTTCGTGGGGCCAAAATTTCGTGCTTTTATCTAAAATAAGTATTTCTTCAGTACACGAGTTCATGGATTACTAAAATCCACGAAACTAAAAGCACATCTTCAGGAATTTAAACAGTTCATTGAAATATTGTCAATCGTATTAAAATCGTAAACCATACCCGAGATTCTAGAAATAAACATGCAATATATTTCTATTTATATTAATTACATGTCTAGCAATGCCTCGTCTAATTGTTTTATAAATTTAGCTGGCAGTATATCACTTAGAATGAAAACATCTGCAAGTCAAACCTGTTATGAACGAAAATAATTACCTCGCGAAAACTAGTGATTCCACAGAAGCTGCCATGAAAAGTGCAAATTACAGAGAGATTCCTATCTCAAGATATGACTATTATTCATTATGTCCTGTTCTAGTGCTACTATTGATTATTTTCGGGCAGAGAATATTGTTTGCTTTATTGTTCTTAAAGATAATATTTTAAAATAGTTATATATGATTAATTATCACGACGTATACAAGGTTGCTTACAAGTCCGTATATCCGATATCACAAGTACCATGGCTATGTACTTAATACATCCAACAGGATGTAGGTTAAAACTTGATAGGCAGGGGCAAGCCGTATTATCAAGATTAGATGCGTAAACAGGAAGTTATTAATACAACAGGTTAAACAGGGTTAAGCTAAGGAAGTTTTAAAAATAATTATTTAGTCCTTGTCTTTTGTCATAAATCAATTAATGTATTTCAGGTATTACTTCAAATATTTTGAGAAAGAATATAAGGGATACTGGTGTAAACAAAACACATGCTGGGTGTTGATGTTTTGATGAAACCACGAATTAGATCAAAATAAGATATATAATAAATAACCTTTAGTGATTCGAAAATGTTACGGTACACAATCATGGAAAGACTTGATAATAGCTTGGATAATGATATCCTCTATCTTTTAAATATAATTACGTGTATTGTTGAAAATACTCATTTTGTAAATAAAACAAAATTTGTGCCTTTTATAAAGGGCGAAAAATGACAAACGTTCAACGGAGGAACACTGAGGGGACTAAACGACAGATGTTGGCTAATACATTTGGTGATGTCAATACTTATTATACATTCAGTCTATAACACATTTAACAGATAAAATTGTCACTCATTCATAAATACAGACGGTTTAAAAGAACGTCATTATAATACTCATCAAAATGTTTGTGGAGAGGGTCGTCATTGATTACAGACTGTTTGTTTATGTCTGAACTCGTTCTCAGTACAGGTGTACCGATGTACTTTACTTTAGACTTGACGTTATTTGGTGTCGACAGCAATGGTTCCTGGTGTGTGACGACCATAACAACTGCAAAATACGTGCAGTCACGGGTGGGTGCCACGCGCAATTATATTTATGTAAACATACACATTTGCAGACTGTTTGTTTATGTCTGAAATCGTTCACAGTACAGGTGTATTGATGTACTTTACTTTAGACTCGACGTTATTTGGTGTCGACAGCAATGGTTCCGGGTGTGTGACGACCATAACAACTGCAAAATACGTGCAGTCACGGGTGGGTGCCACATGCAATTATATTTATGTAAACATACACATTTGTTCTGAACGCCCACTGCGCCCTACCAATGTACTTTAGACTTCATTAATAACAGACTGTTTTTTTATGTCTAAAATCGTTCTCAGTACAGGTGTATCGATGAACTTTACTTAAGACTTGACGTTATTTTGTGTTGGCAGCAGTGGTACCGGATGTGTTACGACCATAACAACTGCACAATAGTGGAGTCATTGGTGAGTGCTTTGTGTCTATACACGTGCACTGAACGCCTAGATGGCCGTCTGTCGAATCAGTCCCAAAGGTAAACATGCACAACCACAGACCAAGGGGAACCTAAATATCAAATTTGAGAAAGATTCTTCAAGTAATTTCTGAGAAAAAGCGCCTTCAAACTTTTACTCTTAAAATTCAAGATGGCGCCTATCGGCCATCTTGGTTATGTGATCAGTCACAAAAAAATATATGCATAAGTAGGGCCCATAGGAAACCTTCACATGAAATTTGTGAAAGATCCCTCCAGTACTTTCTGATAAATAGCGCTAACAAACTTTAATTCTCAAATTAAAGATGGCTGGCTGTCGGCCATCTTGGTTTTGTGATCAGTCACAAAAAATGATATGCATAACTAGGGACCATGGGCAAACTTCATGTGAAATTTGAGAAAAGATCCCTCCAGTACTTTCTGATATATAAATAGCGCTAACAAGAATTATTTAGGGACGGACGGAATGACGGACGGAGGGACGGTCGGACCACGGACCACGGACCACGAACGCAGGGTGATTTGAATAGTCCACCATCTGATGATGGTGGGCTAAAAATGTTCGATCCTGTCATATATTTGAGATAATGGTACTACAAATAGCATACAAAAACACAGCACAAAAATTCCAAATAACATTCCACCTATACGTTGTGGATTAAATAATGCAATCACGTTTCCTCTCCGTCAGCATCAATGTCTGATATACATTTTCAAGATTGTATGAAATAAGACTATTTGATTATCAATCTCGTTTCTTTTTCGTTCAACTTTTGTACTAAATGTTATGTACTTCACTGTGTATTGTTTAAGATGTTAGAAACCAGTCTATTCTTAATTGTAACAGTTGTTGGTAGCAGTGACCTGTGCGATATATGCACATGGACTTTTGGTCTAAGTCTGCCAATATCTGTCTATGATAGTGTATATATGTGCTGAAATTGATGTATTTGTACATGTACTTGTATGTGTGTGTAAGTGTGTATGAGGTGTGTGAGATGTTTCCTTCATGAGTTACTTCCCCTTAGCCTTGTGTTAATACGAATCATTTCTAACATGTCTAAAATATTATGTCTCATTGTTTATTCCACTTTGGCCATTTGGCGGAGAGAATTTACATAGGCTTTGCCTGTTATTCTATCCAATTGACTATGCAATCTTATCAATAAAATTTGATGAAATGAAAAACAAAACAAAAGCCTCGTTCACCTGTTGGCGTCTTGTCGTCTCCAAAACAAGCAAACTCTTTATAAAATAGGTAAGTGCGAAACTACATGACGGGATTATAACACTAGCATGTGTTTATACATGTCTCATTCCGCGTTTGTTTTGGTGTTTATATGTATGGTATTATCATAACTTAGGTATTACAAGCCACCAGTCAGGCTGTTACGTGTATATGACGACATGGATGAATGCAATGACCGCTGTGTTTATTTCCGGCTCATTGACCATGTAAATGTCTGTACAGTGTGTGCCCTATTATGATATATATTATGAAATTGAGAAAATACAGTTTATATCAACGCGTCTGTTCAATTCTCAGTAATGCACTCATTCTCAACAACGTTATGATAAGCTCGACAAATTTTCTTTCATACAATTAGTATTAACATAGGCCCGTTCTATTACACACTTCGCACTCTATGTTGATCTGATAACCTCGATTTTTTTCTAAATATTACACTTTTTTTCATTTCAACAGATTTTATTGACGTGGTGTTATGGTCGATTGGATCGAATAACAGGCAAGCCTATATACATTCTTTCCATAGGTGGCTAGAGTATTACAAGAATATTATAGAAATTTAGCTAAATATGTTATATAGAACGATAAAGTAATTTAAGGGAGGTATCTTACTTTTGATTACTTACAATACAACATAGGACACCGACACACACCGACACACACACACCGACACACACACACACAAACAAAACATAAATATAGCTATTAATCATCATAAGTGCACGTGTACACATGAGTTACTATATAACATTAGATACAGTTAGGTAGATAGACCAAAAGTCAATTTGCAAGTACTGCACAGGTCATCACCACCTAAACTGTGTATTAATTTATTTATATGTAACTATTTAATCTACTTTTTAATATACAGAATTAACCCGATATGTACAATTATCAAAAGTATAAGTAAAACTTTATGTAGAGGAGCACAAAATAAATAAGTGAAAACTTATATTTATTACATAATCAATTAAATTCACAGCTATGTTCAACTGTTTCCATAGAAAATTACAGTTTTTGTCAATGTAATGGCTTTCTAGATCTTGTAAAAGTCAAAACGTTTGGATTTTCCTATAAAGTAATGTATATCACTAAGCACTAGTCTGTTTGTATTACCTTCACACCTAGGACAGCCATGTAAAATAATGTCAATACCGATATGGTTATGGTCAAAGGCATGTATTACTAATAAATGCGGTATAAATTATAATTAATGTTTTTCGATTTTCTCTAGTTTTTATGTAACGAAGAATGTTGAGTCTGTTGTAAGCTTTTTCATATATGTTCTGAATATGTTGTTTCCATGATGCATCATCTTTAAGGGTAAGTCCTAAGTGTGTATGTGATGTAGTGTCTGTAATTTGGCTGTTTTGAAAAGTTATAGTGGGGTGATTTGTGTTATGTTTCCTTGAAAATATGACTGATTTAGTTTTATTAGGGTTAAATTGTATGTCCCATGTGTTTGCCCATTCATTCATGTTAGTAAGGTCAGTTGTTAGTGCTTGTGCTGCTTGAGCTGGGTCTTCTTCTATAATTACATAAAGGGAGGTGTCGTCTGCAAAAAGCTTGATATTAGTAGAAACATTTTCGGTGATATCATAGATGAAAAGAAGAGAGAGAAGTGGGCCAAGGACAGATCCTTGAGGTACCCCTGCATTAATATTCTTGAATTGAGAAAGATAACCCTCAGTACTAACTCTTTGCATTCTGTCTGTAAGATAATGTTGGAAACCAGATGAGTAAATTTCAATCAACACCATATTTTTTTAGTTTATGTAGAAGACCTTGGGGCCACACACGGTCAAAAGCTTTACTGATGTGACAAAATATAAACCTTAACTCCTTTCCCTGGTCCATATTACTAACAATTTCATTATATATGAACAATAATTGATTTACTGTAGAATCAACTGGTGTAAATCCTGACTGATTCTTAGTTATAATAGAATTTTCAACTAGGTAATTATAAAGATATTTGATTTTTTTTTCATTAATTTACTAAAACAAGAAGTTATTGAGATAGGTCTATAGTTTAAAACATCATTGGTTGAACCGTTTCCTTTGTAAATAGCATTAATATTTGCTTGTTTCCAACTATTTGGTATAGTCCCTGATTCTAAAGATTTGTTAAATAATAGTGTGAGGGGTAATCTCAGAGAGGAACTTAGCTTTTTAACAATTTTAGGGATAACACTATCAGGACCTGGTGGTTTATTAACACTAAGACTATTAATTTGGTCAGAGACATCATGTTGAGTGACATGGATATTTGTCAGTGAAAATGGGGTGAAATGTTGTGCTGTTTGAGGGAGTTTAAGGTCAGGTGATGATGTAGAGATATTAGTAAATTGACTGTTTGGGATTTAAGCTTTATCAATTGGATGGTGAATGACCTGATGGTTAGAAATTCAAAGGGTGTGTGTGTGTGGGGGGGGGGGGGGGGGGGGGGGGGGGGGGGGGGTGTAGAGGAGGATTTGTTAGAAAAGTTAGTGATAGATTTTGCTATCTTCCTCCATTTGTCTGGAGGGACCATACTATCATTTAATGAATTTTCAAGGTTTTTTTTATGTAATTTGCCTTTGCTTCCTGAATCAGGTCAATAGGTTCATTTCTAAGAATACGAAATATGTGCCAATAATGAGGAGTATTATTTATTTAAGCCTTTTTGTGTATTCTGTTTCTCTGTCTCATCTTAAGTCTAATGGTGTTGTTCACCCATGGTTTATCATTTGGGCGTACTGTTATCACTTTTGTGGGAATAAAAATGTTGACCTAATCCGTTAAACAATTAATTATAGAAGCTTTAAATAGCTCAGTGTCCTGATTCAATGAAAAATTTAATCAATCAACATTAAAAAGAGCATTATTCATACTTTCAAAATCAGCTTCATCATATTTCAGAATGGTCTTTTTATATCTCACTTGGTTAAATATGTTAAAAGGAATTTAGGCATGAACTGATGAGTGGTCACTACAGAATGGTGGTGATACATAGGTACTTTTAATTATGTTTCTGTTATAAGAAAATATAATATCAATGGATGTAGCACTGTCAGGTGTTATTCGTGTAGGTTCATTAATAAAACTAGATAGATTATATTTGATAAGGAGTCTTGATAAGTGATCATTTAATGGCAAGTTTAACATACAACATTAATATCACCTGTAAGTACAACATCCATAGAGGTATCAGTAGCTCTAGTTAATGTATCATCAAGTTTGTTCCAGCAGTCAATGTTACTGTCTGGTCTATACAAACAACTAAGGAGAAATTTATGATTATTAATTAAAACCTCTGACCAAAGTAGCTCTACATCATCACTTTGTCAGTCAGTTCTTCTTTTCATAATAACAGTGTTTTTTTAATATGCTATAGCCCCACCCCTGGACCAGTAGTTCTATCTTTTCTGTGAGGAGTAGGAGTAAAGGAGTGTAATTGAATGTCAGTGTTGCCTATCAATAGATATAAATGTGATTCAGTCATGTATACTGTATATCATTACTTTCAAGTTCAGTTTCAATTAAGGAAGTTTTGTTTCTAAGGGATCGTACATTAAGGTGAACGATATTAAGATTGTGTAACGGTCCAGGATTACTTTCAACGTCAAAACAGAGGCTTATAATAATAAAGTGTGAAACTAAAAAGAATGATAAGTTATCAAAACATGAAGACGATAAATTTTATAGACAATCAGAGTATTAGAAACCATTGTATATATTCTTAAAATCAAATACGATTAAGTTTTGAAATAACCACCGGCGATCCACCATAATTTGGATAGAGTTACCCATCATAAAATTGGAATAAATGAACGTTTTGGCAGGATAGGTCGATCATCCAGCAACACAGGACTACATGGGGGGGGGGGGTATATGAGAACCAGTTGAACATAGTTGTGAGATACTGTGACAAAAAACTACACACGGATAATATAAACAAACACAGACTCACACACATTTTGGAGGAAAACGGAAGTGACCATATTATATTAGCAGGAGCTGACCGTTCTACGTCCACTCAGTTCAGCCACCGGAAGCTAACGAACGAACGAGCTAGTACACTTCATTCTATTAATAGCTTAACGTGAATTGCAATAACCTGTAAACCCAATGAATAAATTCATAGTAAAAAAAACAATGTAGCTCTGTTGATTGAATTAAATATATATATATATATTCATACCTGTAACGGGACTACTGCCATGACCACCGCGAGGATTACCGGCCACATCGTCTGTAATACTGAAACACAACTGACGGAAAATCAAATCACATATCTTTTTTTCTTATCTATACGGCTACTTTACGTGCAGATTAACAACACGAACTTGTGTGTCATGTTGACGTCATTTTCTATTGATAAGCCATCCGTAAGAAACATTACACATGATGCTACTTTAAACACCACTGTAATACAAAAATCAATATCTTCACACACCGGGCTAGCTGATTTGGTAAACAGCTGTTGGTAGCTAATACCCGCCATGTATGTTTAAAGGACTTTATTCTTACCACATGATGTAATGAAATACATAAGTTCTGGAAAGTAATAATTCCTGGATGTTCTATTGCTCTGAAATGTATCACGTTTGAAGTCAATGTCTTAACACGCATGTCTAGCTTTGACTAAAACTGATAAAACCAGTATACTACACAAGAATCGATTAGGTGTTATATATTGAAGCACATTTCATTGTTAAGTTAATGGGTGTGAAAGGAGCATCCTCCCTTCCCATCTATGATGTTAACATCTCGCTGTTGATCAGATATTCACAGACTTCGCTGTAATTATCTCATTGTAAATATTCTATTTCCTCATGATATATGTATATCGCCTTTTTAGTATACCATGTCAATAATATGGTTTTCTCTTTTAATAACTGACCACTACATGGATTTGATCTGGATTTGCATGACGGATATTGTGGGTGGAAACCGCGAACCCTTCCAAAACACTTGGTCATATAGAAATTTTAATTGTGTAAATCATTCTTTTGTTAATAATTTGCTCCAGTTTCGTCGATTTGAGTGTGAAATATGATATTATTTTTTACACATCATTGTTTAATACTTTTCCTCAACTAATGGTGTATCAAAATGTACGTTCAAACTTTATGATTTCAAATTACTTCGAAAAAAGCGGTCAAGCATGTGAACATGATATAACATAATGAGACCGGCAAAATATCGGTCGGATTACCAGACAATCTTAAGGCTAGTCAATCACACATTATGAAAGTAAGCTTAAGTGAACACCCCTAAGTCAACTGATTCAGTACTTTAAAATTATGAAAAGTAATTTGAACATCATTGTTGTAGCCATGGCAACATAAAAAAACTATGTAGAATATGTTCCATAATTTTATCGTTTCAATGTTTAAAAAAATAAAAATATATTGATCCAAAGCTGAAGATAATATATTCGGAGGTGCGTCCTGAATCTCATTCACTGGAAACTTATTCCAGATAATAGTCATCGCATTACCAGCATTGTATGCATATACTTGCGAAAAATAGCACCTTTTTGACGTCATGTCTACTGTTTTAAATGCAACGGAGCAATAGTATGACGTCATATCCATTGTTTTAAATATGACTTCATCGTTGGTGATAGTGCACAAGGCGAAGAGTAATACACGAAAATAAACATGGACATATTCACTAAAAAACACGGAGGCCATATCATTAACAAAACATAACGTAATTGTATGTACAGGATAAAAAACTCTTGAGCTGACTGTTTATTGTCAAATGACCAAGAACAATCTTTGCTCAAACTCAAGTTTCCTGATTTATGTTTGCGTTTACTGACTTTAAGATTGCAAGGAAATAAATAACAAATTGTGGGTTGTTGAGTTGATCAGCCCATGGTATAACAATGTAGGAGGAGACTGTAAATTACAGGAAAAGGGGTCAAGATATCGTGAAGGTGAAATTCAATCCTATAGGTTAAATGAAACACAGCAATGCAATAAAATTTGACAATTTCAGTCGTTTCAGTATAAGAAAGGAACCTTAAGAATACTTGAATCGAAAAATACTTACATCTCTGTGAGAATACCTCAGTGAATAGATTTCTACGTTTATATCGAAGTTAAAAAAGAATATGACTGAAACATTGTTTTCTGATTCGTTATGCTTTCTTTTTGCCTGTCGAAGTGTGTCGTTATATTGTATTTTAATATCATTTTTGTTTCATTATGTCGTCGAAATGATGGTTTTATGTATTTCTTTATTTTGTGTTCGTTTAGATTATTTGTTTGGCGCTATTTCGTTCTTGTTTACTTCTTAATTTTGTGTTTTTGCATTTGTTATTTCAAGTGTTATCGCTTTGTTGTTACGATTTTCAACGGAGAAATAAAATTACACAAAAAAATACCATATTCTATATAGAGAATAATACATGCCTTTTTCCATATCACACCCAGTATCAACCCGAGACTGCAATATCAGCCCAAGGGCCGAAGGCCCGAGAGCTGATATTAGTCGAGGGTTGATACTTGGTGTGCTATGGAAAAAGTCATGTTTTATTCTGTTTATTACATACTTACTTATAAAAGCTACTATCTTATAATACAATTTTCTTTTGAAATATTGAAAAACGAAAAATCAACCCAAAAGGGGTGTGATACGGGTTTTGCGGGCTGATACGGGTTTTGGGGTGTGATACGGCGGGGGCTGATACGGCTTTTGGGGTGTGATACGGCGAGGGCTGATATGGGTAAGAGCAATTATGTCGAATCGCATATACAAAAAACCCGTATTTTTTAGTAAGTATGTAATAAATAGAATTAAACGTAAAAGTATCCGCCTCATTTTTCAAGATGGCTACTTTAGTGAGAAACCATCATGTTGCAGACGTAAGGCCAAATAACGGGAAATAATTCATATCACTTCATCAGGCATCACGGATGTCGGTAAAAACATCATAAAAACCCCACAAAATTTAATGAAGTCTTACATAATTGTTTGCAAAATTAAACATTATGTGTGCATACAACCATCTTGCAATCTTTTAGTGGGTTAACAATACTGATATGACTTCAGTGGTATCTTGTTTTAAACGAAATCTAACAATGAATGGAATGTTGTAGGCTCAATGCTGTCCGTTGACAATGTCCTACGGAGTACAGACAAACGTTGTAAACTGTTGGTGTGTTTACGTCTGTACTTGAAAAATCACAAAACAGAGCAGAACAAACTTCGGAAGCTCCAACGACTGTTTCTGGTGTCTTGCTTGCGTAAATTGATCGTATTCTTAATATCAAGTGGTAGTAAGGAGAGCTTGAGGGAGGGAATTTTGAGAGAGACATTGTTAATGGAGAGGTCGATGAGGGAGTGGTTGCTGAGTAAGGGAATGTTTGGGGAGAAAATGTTTAGGGAGCGGTTAATGAGGGAGAGAGTATTGAGGGAGTAGATGTTGAGGGATTGGTTGTTAATAAAGAGGTTATTGAAGGAGAGAATGTTAAGAGGTTTTGTGGGAGATATTGTTGAGGGAGGTTGCTTGTTTTGTTGGAGAGGTTACTAGGGGAGAGGTGGTTGAGGGAGAAATTGTTGTTGAAAATTTGTTGAGGGAAAGGTTTCTAAGGGAAACGTTGTTGAAGGAGAGGTCGTTTGAAGGAGGGGTTGTTTATTGGGAGTTTGTGGAGTAAAAGTTTGTTTGAAGGAAAGTTTTTCGACATTCGAAAATGAATCCATAGTAGTCTCACATATTATCTATTTCTTAATTCTATATATGGTTAAAAGTGGTCACAATCGACTTTCGATGTGACAATTTCTAAAAAGCAGGACAACTATTTTCGAAGGCGGGCGGTAGCTAAACATAAGACATTTTTCATTTTGAGGCAGACCTACCACGGAAACAGAGACAGACACGAGACTAGTAAAATCAGGGAACATCTCAAAATTAGTTTTCATTTCATCTGTATTAAGGATTTCTGTCCCCTGCTTGCGACAAAACATTAAAGAACGGTCTTTTAGTGCTCCTTACCTACATTAACATCCCCTGGTTTTCATTACATGTACAACTGATAAACTTCTCTTTGCTGATCTCACCTTACTGGGTGGGTTTTTTTAGATTTTTTTTTAATTACGGTTTATACTGAACACAAAGACTCGGTGCATGCTAGAGTTGATCGCAGTAGTATAGAAATCCGAAAATTCACTCCCCTTAAATGATCCCTAGAACAGTATTCTAAGAATAGCATAAAAATGATTTTGCGAAGTTTGTGGATGTTAAAATTAATCCACAAATGTATATGTGATCCCTGTCACTTTGGTAAAATATAAACTTCTTTCAACTAAATATGTTGGCTCGGGGAATTTCTTTTAACTCAATATGCGTCAAAAAATACAACAGACGTCCCGGGTGAGATCCTTAACGGATATATTGAAATATCAACTACCACGGTCACATACCTGCCGCATTGAGCCACGAAAAAGACCATAACGACTGTGGTTACCGGTTACATAATTTCTTATCTGTATCTCCATATGATGTTACCTGTTCGCTTACCTGTAGTCACGTGCGTGCGTGTGTACACACTCTGACATACCCTATACGCTTCGTTCCATATAAAGTTATTTTTAAATTGACCCCTATATTTACTTGTCTAGGTCTCTGTCTCCTTGCTCCGTGCTAGGTCTACCACAAAATGAGAAAGGTCTATTAGTACCTTATGTCTGTCTGCTAAACACACCGTCTATAATAAAGCATATGTTATATGACAGTATCTCAAAACCATTTTAAGAATGATGACATACAAATGTCACAACGGACAGGAATTCGAAAATATTACTTAATAACATGTTGCATAGGTGTTTAAGTGTGTGCTCTTGTTCAGCTTCATCAACGCATTAAGTTCACTGTGCCAATGGTTGAAGTATAATTCCAACTAACAGGAACCAAAGAGAGACCTTTACGTATTCCTTTTTTCGGAGCTTCATCAAATTATACCGCGTTACATATCAATAGCTGCTATTGCTTTAATACGTCAATACAATCGATAATCACTCAGACATGTGTCTAACGGTAGAGAGATAACGGAATGAGATAACAATCAGTGAAATCTGACAAAAAATAATGCCGCAATAAAGAGCGGAGATCAATATATATAACACACAGATAATTCTGACAGCATGTCATAACAGGGGAGGCTAGTCATGGTATATAGAACATATAGAAAATCTGACAGCGGGTCCCTAAAGGGGACGAAGATCATGATATAGAACATATAGAAAATCTGACAGCGGATCCCTAAAGGGGACGTAGATCATGATATAGAACACATAGAAAATCTGACAGCGGATCCCTAAAGGGAACGTAGGTCATTTTTTTACACAAACAATGTAGGTTCGATTAAACGTACACGGGTACGTATAGCGGGTCCCTAAAGGGGGCGCTGGTCATGATGTAGAACATAGAGACAGTTATTATAGCGGGTAAAGGGGGCGACGGTCATGATATAGAACACAAAGACAGTTATTATAGCGGGTAAAGGGGGTGCTGGTCATGATATAGAACACAGGGACAGTTATTATAGCGGTAAAGGGGGCGCTGGTCATGATATAGAACACAGAGACAGTTATTATAGCTGGTAAAGGGGGCGATGGTCATGAAATAGAACACATGTACAGTGACAGTTCTTATAGCGGGTCCCTAAAGGGGACACTGGTCATGATATAGAACATGTAGCCAACTCTCCAATATTGCACAGTGTCCTCAATATAGAACAAAAGTCACGATATCAGACAAGTAAAGCTTTCACTCACGGATCCAGAAAACATAACAAATGAAGCGTATTAGATTTATAGGAAAAATAATTCAGTACATGTCATCAGGACAATAGTAATTTAAGACTGGTTCCTGTTGCCATGTAACAGGAGATATATTATTCATAGCTTAGTCATGATATCATGTTGTGTGCATATATTGTTCAACTGCACCTGCAATTATATCTGGAAAGGCGTCAAGTTAATCATTTAAATCTAAAAACACAAAAAAAAATAAAAAAAAATAATATAAACTTAGAGAATTCAGTAATAAAGTATATGGTAATTGACGTATTTTAATAAATATGTTAATATTTCGATTGGTTGCCTTTTAATTTGTTTGTTATATTATTGTAAATACAAAATAAAACATAAATAATATGGTTATTTGTGTTTTTATATTTTGCGAATAAGATCACTTCGTATAGATGTCAAATTTATGTACATACTTGGCAGTTAATTGATATCGATGGTGCATAGCTACATGTAGAGGCTAAAATCGGTAATGATAATGTAATACACCCATAATCTATATATCTATATATATAACTATCTAAATAGTTTAAACATATTTTATTGACAACATATTGACAAAGGGATTAGTCGGTAAGTTTTTCCAACTTATCAATTGACTTTTCTTCTATCTAAATAATATAAAATTGCGAAGTAAGTTATCAATGCTTTGGTGAATAACAAAAATGTTCAAACTTAAATACAATGTACTGACATTTTTTAAAGCCGTATTTTAATATAATTAATGAATATTTCCATTTTGTTTCTTTATATAGTTCCATCTTACCACGATATCCTATATGAGTAGTCGACGTCCTCAGTCCAGGAAATCAGTATTGTTATGGTTCATTCCAGTCATATGAATTTGATTTATTCATAACGTTTAACACGATTTTAACCAGAGATAAAATATATAATATATATCGTTTAATTGACTATGATAACCGCATTGTATTGGTAATAATAGTTATAGACTAGTTTAATAAAGTTTAACAAATTAATGAACCAATTAATTAACTAATGGATACATAGTTTTATGTTACATGTTTTGTGGTACATAACACACACCATGTGGGTGTTGTTATTACTATATTCAACGGTAAACTTAACTGACGAAGGAAGCCTTTTTTTTACTCGTGTTCTGTCCGGGTCTCGAACCCATGATCCCCGACACCAAATCGCCTAGCCGAGAATCATTCGTACATCCGAACGTCATATAGACTTTCTCGGCTAGACGAATGGTGTCGGAGACTTTCTTTAATAGTGCTTCTATGTTACATTTCCAATTATAAACAGCACCATGTATCATACACACTAGTGTGTATCGTTCCGAAGGTTTAACATATGAGCTTTCCATTTTAATTGTACAGTGTCATATATATTTATAAACTACATAAGTTCCGTTTTTATGTGAAATTAAGAAAAGCAAAGCTTATAAATATCGCTTTATCAAACCTATGTTCAACGAAACATGGAGGAGATTTCCATATATAATGATAAACAAAATAAGTGTCAATTCTAACGCATGCTTAGAACTATCCATAAAAAATCCATGTCACTATAAAATCCCAGAATTAACAAGCAATACAAATCACTGTAGTTTATAACGCACTTTTTACAAATAAAATATTACATTATTCAATTCACTTCGTAACCGATAGGAGGGAAAACATGTTTTCATGCCTGAGTAATAAAATTATAACTGACCAAGTAGATTTTAGGTTGGCTCAATAAGGGCGTTATATAACAAGATAACACCATTCCTATAGTGTCAACATGTCAGCCCTTCTAATCGGTGATGACAGAATACTGAATCATCAACAAAACCGAAAAGCTCGGCAATCATGAAAAGTTCTTTGAATGAAAATAGTTACCTTATATTCCTTTAGTTTAGAATCATTCCTCTACAAATGGCCAAACGGTCAGTGTGTGTCAAATATCCTGCTGGGCCGTCCAGTTTATCAGGTCATAACTTCTTATGAATGGGCGGTACCACTACTCCGTAACCCTGGTATGTGGAGTGTTCTACAGATAACACATGTTATCTACACTAGGCTTCGTCATTATTCACTCGGCTGTTTCTATCCAGCATATTTCACATACAACAATAATACAGGTTAAAGTCATTTATACATTAATTTATTGTTATTCATATTAAGACAATAGAGTCATATTTATAAAGAGGTGATAAGCCATGCCGTATTTCAACCATTATCTCTATCAGACTCGACAGATTTACTGTTCAACTTTAAATATAAATAATTTGAAACACTGGATACATTTATTTATGACTTATTTATAAATCTAGCAATATAACTATGCTAAGCAGTACTCTTAACGAGACAAGCATCGCATCACCGTTGTAATCTATGGGTATGATTTGGAACTACACGTAAGTCGAAAAAACTTTCAAGTTGGTTAAAGATTACAAAGTATAAATAGTTTCATTTAACTTGTAACAAACTATTTGTCTGGTTTTGATATTTACTTGATAACTCGTTATACTTAAAACAATGAAAATCGGAGCTACAGTCTTAATCGCCCTAGGTATCTTGCTAGAAAAATCTTTCAAGATGATTACAGATTACAAAGTATAAAGAGTCTCATTTAACTTGTAACAAACTATTTGGCTGGTTTTGATATTTACTTGATAACTAACTTGTTATACTTAAAACAGTGAAAATCGGAGCTACATTCTTAAAACACCCTAGGTATCTTGCTAGATTGTTTTTGAAAAGACCTGTATTCACTAACGTAAAAACGATTTCATCTTATGGTGAATTTCCCTTATGGAGATCCTTATCAGTTTATCAACAGAAGTATACACCAGAAAAGAATATAAATCATTCAACAGTTAGACAGAACAGACAAACAAGCTACTGTCTGTACTCAGATAACAATATTTGTATTGCGTTCTAAATACTTGATCAGGTATTACGATAGCTAACTTATTTTGTTTACCTTTGTTGGCAGCATGAAGCGCTTACGTCTTCGGCTTTCAACAATAACATCACCTCCTCCAGGAGAAAATAAATTTGGCCCGGCGCGGACCAAAAAAATGATATCTATTTAGAATATTCGCTGTAGTGAAGTTCAGTCCGACTCCGTCACTATCCTGGAAATAACAATATATGTTCTTTATGGATGAATACAACATATATTCATCATTAAAACATTGTTTCTTTTGATATGTTATCACTACTAGTTTTTACCTTTTAACTTTAGCCCAAAACGATGTTTGCTGTGTTAAGCATCAAGCGAACAAGCAAATTTAAGTGCCCAGGTATAATTTTGGCAAGTATCTCTTCTCCTTTATCGTTCGTCAGCTAGTATTTGTAGCTATATCGTATAAAGGGAACCCCCTAACAATTGTAAAAAAATTGTGTTAAAGAGAACATTTATTTAAGATATCGCTGGTATATCACTTGATTACGAAATATTACGTTACAGCCATTGGGAGAGCGATACATATACATATTATTCCTGTGTAATCTTAGGCAAAACATATCCTTACATAGTATTTAGCATGCGTCGGAAAAACCATCAAGGGCCGGTTCAACCGAATCATGTTTCTCTCAAATGTAATTCTCCAAAAATTATTTCACGAGCGAATCGAAAGTGCTTGTTATACCCGACTAGGTTCTTTCTTCAAAAGGTCATCATTTCTTCTGTACTTATTACTTGCAATTCCAAGTATAAGATGTATAACTCTTATTAACCTAAAAGAGAATTCGACTACAGTTGTGTCCAATAGAATTGATGAGGTCAATTAAACCAAAGATACCTTGGAAAACCTTAATTACATTGATATTAAAGTTTTACTTTCTACACAAACAATGTACGTATTAAACGTGTATGCAACGTTTCAAGACCGACTGGTCCCTTTGAAGAAACCAGTCGGTCTTGAAACGTTGCAACACGTTTAATACGTGCATTGTTTGTGTAGAAAGTAAAACTTTGATATCACATATTTCCAAACTGGTGAATCTTAATGAAGATATTTTAATTACATTGCCAAAGTGCAAACAAATATATCTAAAAAATCGATAAACAGTTTCTGTCTCTTGCGGCATTAATCATTTAACTACAGCATTATTTACAAACACAAATCCTTTTGTTACTTTACAAAACTCCTCAGAGGTTTCATTTGCGCTTAAGTAAACAAATCGTATTCAAACATAATGGATGACACAAAAACAAGGCCCAACACGAAATTGGTGCATAATCTGTATATGATAAGAAAGACGTCACAGACAACATAGATGAAGCTGAAAAACATCTTATGAGTAAATGAACTTTTTATTTCACAACCAGACCCTGGACTTTTTTTAAAGATAAATAAACGAATACTCGTTATTTTGCCTACTTTTGTTAATGACTGACAAAAAATCGAAAACGATATTTAATTTATTCTCCCGAACTAACTTCTATGGTGGAATTTCCCTTTATCCTACACCCATAGGCACGAGTGAGTCTTATAATTTATTTATTTATTTATTATTAACTTGAATAAAAACGTTTAACACTTACCGTTAGACAAGCTCTTCATGTATTTTACCTCATGAACAAAATACGCAGTAAATATATACTGGAAAACAAAATACGCAGTAAATATATACTGGAAAACAAAATACGAATGGATATTGATGATTGTACATTTCAGTGTTAGGCCCCTTGAGTACACGCATGGTCTGAGGTAATATCAAACTATCTGATAGATTACAAAATATCAATAAAACCAAACGTTTGCACTAATGAATAAAATATGAAGCTTGATGTCTAAATGACCATTCAAAACAAGATCGAACGACACTTCAATATCAACGGAATAGCATCATGATACTTGGAAATGGCGTATGAACGAGTATTTAATATTACTTAAGTGAATGATATCCAATAGCTGAAAGCAATTGTTTTTTCACAAAGCTTGTCATGTGGGATTCGAAACGGGGGAACGATTGCAAATACATTTTTAATACAGACAAATTTGACTTGTTTCAAAAGAGTGGCTCCATCGATTTTGCGGTATTTTTAAGCATTAGTGACATGTTTTTGCTGTTGAAACGCATTAAAATAAGATAAACAGCATACCAACAGTTTGTTTTTATAAAGAAATCTCAATGTGTTTTTATAAACTTCTAACTTTCTAACGGACTGTAAGGTAACCAGCGACACATAGTTTTTATCATTTTAACGTCATTGTACTAAAAGGCACTTTTCATATGTATGGTGCATAACTTTTATTTTGCATTACAAGTAGTTAGTGCCTGTTCTAACTTAAAATTGACATACTAGTAGTTTAAGAAATTGGGGTATTTTTATTTGCTGACTTAACTTGTTGCATGTTGCTCATCTAATCAATTAGATTTTTTAAAAAACGAAGCGAACATTATTCTTGAGAAACATAACAGCGCGAAAATCTAAATATATTTTATAACATTTTAAATATGGAAATATATTGATCAACATGTAATACATGTCTTAATTAACAAATGACTAAAATATATCAGGAATTATCAAAACTCACTTGAAATGAAGAAACATTTTATTATTTCAATTGTTTTTTGTTACATGTCGATAAATAAAAATAAATATATAAATGAAGTCACTAACAGGCTATATAGGAAGTTCATCTTCAGTAATTCACATCGCCATCGTAAACAATCGGCAATGATGCATCGATGTATTGATTTTTACTTCGTCATATTATAAAACAGTCAAATAGATTGTCGCCAAGATTTCAATATACGGCTAACACGAGAGTGTTCCCACGAGTATCGAATAGCATAGATTGTTGATAGTTGCGATGGCGATAAATCGAAATGTTAACAGGCACAATAGATAGATATACCTGATTTAGAGTCGATAAAGTGTGTAGTTTTCCTGATATCATTGTATATTTGACCACGGACTTAAATAATCTAATCTCATTCCGTGATCTGACATATTTTCCAGAAACGCGATACAAGTCTCTCGGTCTTCGATCCATACAATATTCATGACTATATTGCACTCCTTAATCGTCAAATAGATTACGCAATTTAGTGAGAAACAAATTGACCTGAATGTTAACCATACAATCAACGTTCGTTTATGACCAATCGCCAAATTGAATATCGCCAACCATTTGCTTTCAGTATTTAATGCCAAATCGCCAAATATTAGTTGACGACCTACAAATGTTCAAGCTATACGATATATCATTTGAGAATATGTACAAGATTTGGCTGATATAGACAACAAACAATACTTCCAAATTCTCATAAGTTATTACTTGACTAGAATCATGATTACATGTGATATGTTTACTGGTAAGCAAGCGACCGCGGTGTTAGTCTGCCATCAACGGTACTTAATTTGACTACTAGTATTTTACTGGGTGAACGGGTCACTAAAGACCTGTTTTGGTAGCTACCACATGTATATTGTATTGGGACACTTACCAGTTATCGTTTTGTTTTGGTGTTGGGCTTTCTGGTGACATGAATTCTGCTTTAGACTTTGCAAGCACACACTGTTTTTCACGGTAGTGGGTGGTGAGCAAGATCAAACCAACGCTCCTTTGAAGTGGCATACTCAACTAAGCCGAAAGGTAGATAGCTTTCTCCAATGCAAACCAAAACTAGATAGCGGCGTCTGAGGTAAGCTGTAAAGTAGCTAACGTTGCCTAAGTTAGGCCATGTGTATGGTAGATAACGCCGTCTTAGTTAAGACATAATGTAGATTAAAAGAATAAAACCTAGAAAACATAACCGGAGAATTCCAACCCTTGCTCGAGCCTCGATTCAAAATTAGGTTAGAATGGTTAAAATTCAAAAAGCTCAACCCGGGGGTAAGCATTTCACTGGAGTACCCTCATTTCTATCCCAGCCTATTGATAACAAGATGTATGACTGAACCTCCTATTAACAGCATAAGTCATTTAAAGACGTGCTACCATTTGTAATATATTTGTGCATATGTGAATGTGTCCTGCAGGTGGTATTTTAGTGTAATTGCCTCCTCACGATAGCGTGGATTTGATGCCGTCTTCATAGTGCTACCTCACTGAAATACGTTTTTAAATATTTTGATATTTCCCGGCTTGGAAATAATACCAATTTTTCCTTACTCGAATGAGCGACCGTTTAACTCTGAGGCTAACAGTGAGGTATTGCCAAAGGAGGCTCTATGAAACAAAAAGGTACTTTGGAAGTAGACAAAATATATGAAGATACCAAAGTAGAGGGCACAAAAGGGATTCCTCAATTCTGCATGTGGTTTCTACATTAGCTGCCTCTTGTATCATGCAGTGGGTAACAGCAAGCATATTCATTTCTAAATCTCCGACTGCGATTGGTAAAAGAAAGCGTACTCCTGAGTAAGCCGCTAAAACACATCGTAAGGTAGATAACTTACTCTAATACAAGCATTACATCTCAATGACGCTGTTTAGAATATACCCAAAGGCCGATAACCCGATGAAATGAAAGCCAAGTAATAAATGACGGCGAAAAAAATAACCAAAATAGTGTACAAAATTCAATGACGTAAAAAATGAATTCTATCAACAGAAAAATAGAAAACGAATTTCCGATGTAAGTATATACAGTCTACACTACCATTCACGCAATGGCCATTGTTCTTGTAAACTGCAGTTATCATCGCATAACCTTATCTAACATCATAACCTGACCAAAAAAGAAATACATTCCTGGAATAAAAACAAAATTGACAAAAATGTTAGAACTTGAATGTTTATGGGTTCGGTTTCTTTGTTCCCTTGACAACCATATCAGATTGATGCAATGCGTCCAGTCATCAAGGCAAATATACATGCGCCAATGTTACATACACCACAGCCTGAATATAGATATTTAATCGATCAATACCTCGCCGCCCATGGAAAGTGTCTGTGGGGTATAAGTAGGGCATACCAACAAATATGGCGAACAAGTGATCAAATGACGCAGCAAAAAATGTGTTTAATAGAAACATCTCATTTATTTAGTAAAAACATATATTGTCAGGATCGCTTAAGGATTCATGTACCTTAGGCATTGAACAATCATTTATCTAATTTATCACGCTGGTGTAAACTATATGGGTTGTACACGCATTCAAATTATAAGATATATCTGGTTGTGTTAAAAATATGTAAAAGTGCAAGATTATGCTAACAAAAATTTGTAAAAAAGCAGTCACGAATAATATTTTTACTGAGATTAATTACAGTACCACCGTACCAAATCTTATAGTGCACGTCTACAACTTCAAATATGAAAAGGCTTATGTAAGGCTCTGAAGAAACTAGATTTATGAATGTGCATTATCATAATCACTAGATATATAGGTATCGCTCATTGTAGCATTAATTGCTACATTCATTATAATCTTAATTAACCCAAGCAGAAAAGTGCAGATCATCTCCCCCCTACACAGTAAGTTAGGTCATTGATAGGTAACGAACCATGTAATGATGATCACTTCAGACATTTCTTCAAATAACTTTGTCAAAATACGCTGAAAGGAAACAAATAAGTTTTTTTAAGCATATGGCTTGTTTAAAGAAATTACTTTGAAAGAAGATTGTTTTCTATAGTGAATCCATAATTAATGTATAATGCTGCAAAACTGTCTTTTACTCTAAACCAACCTATGAATATAAAAGTTAAAAAACATATATTATAAAAGTAGCTACACATACATTTGTTAGTTATTAAATATATCCAACAAAAACTCATGGATAGACCCCATACAAAACATCTAAATACTAGGACAGCAAGGAAACCCCGAAAACAAACTATGAACAGGTGACCGTCGTAAGAGTCGGCAATAGATCAAATCACACGGAGTTAACAAACATAAGCATCGCTACTAATTTGATAAAACAAGCATTTCATGATTATTGTTTTAGGGACAAGAATATATTCCCTATGAATAAGTGTTCCGATATTGAATAAGAATCCAAACATGTAATGATACATATCTTAGCAATTAAAGTTAAGCGAGTTTGTGTAACCGGAAATGACAGATAACATGAATCTACAAATAAAACAGACAACACGTAAATGCTCCACACTCTAAAAGTGTACGTATGTTATGACTGCGGTAGATTATCAAATAAATGCTGCCTAAACTACGAAATCTAAATAACATTGGCAAAGAAATGGCGAATAACACTATTTAAACTTTTTTCAATCTTGTTTTAAACTCCAAAACTGTTTATATTTTGTATCTAATAAGTTTTTCACATTCTTGCGTAATTGTGTAAAGTTTCCTTAGATAAATGTTGCTTTTCGAGTACCAATTGTGTTCACATTTGTCCAAAAAGGCGTCGACTATTTATTCTTGCTGAAGGAAGTAGTGGTCTCACACAGGTTGCTGCACGATGTAGCGGCCTTGCATTGGGTGTTGCAGGAAACACCATGGTTTATCGAACGCATTTTCAACAGCACCGACAGCTGCCTTTTGAGCTGTGACACTTCTTCCTTGAGCTCTTTTGAGGTTGTGCTTTCCATCCATTTTATGATGTATGCATCCAACGTGTCTGCAATTGTCACCGCTTCCGTGTCCTTGAACGATTCGTATGGCCAACAGAGCACGAAGACTGTGATAAAATGTGCCGGAATCATTCTGGTATCTGAATTTTTTGCACATTTTGCAGAAGACACTCCGCAGCATCCTTCATCTGACGCCATGACCTTATTTTCTCCTGCATTACCAATAGATAAGCAGGAATCGGACACAATGTCGGCATTCTGTAAAACATCGTGTACAATGTTGTAAAGATCCAAACATTCGATCTGCTGAAGCAAAGCCTCTTTCAGCGAATTGTGCTCCTTTGAGAAATTCGCCAAGTCCATAAATGTGGAAAGAATGCATTCATGTTGTGCAATGCAACCGGCACTTTTCAGCAACAAAGGTAAAACTTGGTCGAAGATGTCCATGTCGTCGGATGGTATTTTTTCATCTGTACCTTCCAATGTCATTGCTGCAACTTCCTTCGCCAAGCCTTCTCGCCATTTGTACAAGAATGACGAAATACCACTGGTGCAGGCACAAGGTAAGAAGACATTGAAGGATTTCGACAATTTGAATAATCGCAATGATCCATCCTTGTTAATTTTTGACAAAATGCAGTAGCCTCTAGGCTTTCCTGAAAGTTAAACGATGAAATCTCGTGAAACACTGTTCATATGAATCATCGTGATAACAACACTTGCACAGTTCGCTTAAATCAAAGTTTTGTTATTGTCATTTTAAATGGAAAAATACCAAGGTTTTGTTGGGGTTTTTTTTCAGCTTTATAATTTTCTTATCTTCATGTCAAATATCGATTTCCCTTTAGGTTTGAAATGGTGATATTTGAAGACACCGATATGAAATTCATTCAGTTTAAAAAATAATTTATATCTTTTACCTCAGTTTGAGTTGAAACAATATCTTACCTGTACTTTTGTCGAGTGGTTTCATGGCTTCCCAAATGGTAGTCAGCGGAACCCAGTGAGGGGGATACTTGAACCGAGCTGTGTCCATCACCAACACCATGTCTCTGTCGGGATGATAACCTCCAACAGGGGAAAAGTGACCGTCCCCGGTCTGGCCAAGAATCTTTCTGCTATAGGATAAGGCGATGAATCGATCATCGTTTCTGCTTAGCCTGGTGACGTGATTTCGAAACGTTTCTAGCGAGGCAGAATCATCCATTCTTGTAGACTCTCCTTCTAATGAGTTACAAGCAGCCAGACATACAAATTGATCAAAGGTTATGCCATTTTCTTTCATCACATCTAATGATACACAGCATTCTAACATATCCTCGTGGTACCATCGCCAGGGACCCTTCCAGACTTTCCCAGGGTCGACCTCCAGAGCGTTCAGGATCATGACGAGAGTAGTGAGGCCGCAGAAGGCTGGCTCAGCTTGGGTGCTGAATTGTGACGCCATTTTGAAATAGCATCCCATGTGACCAGACACTAGAGCCTCCCTGAAGATTGTCTTCCCTTCTGTGGACGAAAAGGCGATACATCCGTCTGGTAGGACTCTTCGATAAAACTCCGGTTTTGGTTTTGTTCCGTGTGACGCCATTCTAAATGAATTTCCGAGTGTTTTCTATCAGATGTGAAAATAAAAAGAATTGGATAAATGAAACAGAAATATGAAGAAAATATAACTATCAAACACAAACACATAAATTCATATCGGTATTCGATATGAAAAATGACAGAATAGGTTTGAAAGCTAACATAGCATAATAAGAATTTGATCCCTCGTCACACCAACAAACTCGCAATCGGAACGGCAGTTGCTTTCAGATACAGCAGCTAGCTTGTTATGCTACTGGATTAAAAAAGAGTCATCATACTCGTGAAAATTACTTAGCAAGTATATATAACAGAACTCACAATTTATTTTCAAAAAAATTAAAAGATAGCAAAACCCCGATCCGTGACTTTTGAAATTTCATAACTTAATAAATGAGGGTTAGCTTAACATGTGCTAACCACACAGCATCTGTATGTAGACACATATCTCACGTGGTTTTCATTAAAAATGTTGATAAACGAAAGAAATACACTTACAATTTTTTTTACATTGATCAGTGATCCTTTTGAAAGAAGAGACATAAACCGCCAGCTGTTATATATACCGGTAACAATACCAGTGTATTGGCAAACTGTTCTGTTCGAAAAACATTCAGCAATTAGATACTTTAAATGGTCTCCTAGTTGTATATTTCGGTGCTATTAAAACGAGTTGCTATTTATGGAATGTCCATAACTTTATTAATACTGGAACAAATAGTCGAATAGGCCTACTAAAAGTAGTTTTGACATTTAGCTTGAGCTTACAGTAATTCTACACCGTTTTATATCGAACAACTTAAACCTTTCATACTATATTGTAGGTCAACACCTTAAGTACATTTGTCACTATACACGTGTATATACTGTAAAAGCCGAGACAAAATCTTATCAAAGTTTTAAGTACAATGGTCCTGCATTCACAAAGAGAACCCAGTGGTAAAGTTTAATCATGACTATCCTTATTGTATGACAAGGGCGACAACCTGTATTGAAAGAAATTCCGTAAATTTCCGTCTCCGTTTAAAATATTATTAAGGACTAATGGTTTAAAATAACAAGTCACGACCACCTATACTTAACGACTTTTTCAAAGTGTTTGATAAAGATACACTTATAATTGTCGTTTTCTTTTAGATCAGAGGCACGCTGCGTTGTCTACTTACCTATTTAAATGACGTTGATTCAATGCACAAATTGGAACAATGCAGTCGTGTATCTAAACCAGGAAGAGTCTTGCAAAAGATCGTGTAAACATTGAAACAAATCTCGATATTTTGTTCCGGGAATTGTTATTTTATGTCTTAACTGACTAACTTAACTGTCAGATATTACTATATTTGTACTCAAACCAAATAGGTGTATTATTTAAAAACTAAAAGGCCTATGAGGAAAAAGAAATTGTCGCATTTTCAGTGACCAGCACATTTTTCACGACAAACTGAATATTTCATTAATACGCCAGCAATCCTAATAATCACTTACCTAGTACAAATCATGTGTCCATTATCCTATTATATATGTTAGAGTTAGATCTATCTTACTCTATCTTTTCTTTTTATAATTATTGTCGACGTCATCATTAAATCATTCAGAAATACTCAAATATTATGATTATATTATAATGACACTAAATTATATTGTCTTCGTCTGAAACTCTTTTGGGAAAGAGGTGTGTATCATAATAGGGTAGCCTATATCCTTAACACAAAAACTGCCCCATAAATGTCTAGAAGATTTGTTTACATGTAATAAAAAACAATTTCTACACAAACCAATTAGCTAGGTTTTAAGAACGTATTTATACACATATGCACGTACGCACACATTTGTATAGTTCGTTTAATACACACGTTTACTTATAGTGAAAATAATGGCTGCATTATTAACTCCTGGTCCAGTTAGTGTGGTACACTACCAACGGATGTATGACCTAAAGCCGTTTATTTATATTTCATGAATTTGTAAACCTACTTACGAAATTCCACAATACTAATGTTTACATTTACTTTAAGACTTTGATTTGTATTAGGGTGCTTACGGCCATATCTTGAAGATAGCGTTAAACAGCTCATTTTATCAACTTAGTCATCCCAGTGGTCACCTCACCCTAACGACCCTGGACACCTAGCTATGAGTATATCGCTGGGCAGAAGATTTAGTATCTAATAGTAAATGTGATAATATACTAGTAAATCAGAAATAGCTTATTGACTTTTGACCAACAGTTGTGCGATGTATTATTGGTCTTCGCCAACTAATCACACTTCAGAATTAAGGTGGTTCCGTTTGTAAACAATAGAGAAAAAAATGAATTATTAATATCACATCTACGATGTATGTGCCATCTTTATTCTGGTATAAAATAGCATTAGCTTTCTTCATTATGACTCAATAAATTATATTTGTCCTTGTACATTTCTTAAATACACCTTCCATATGAACACCCAATTGTCGCATCAAATTATAACGTCTATTGGAGTATTGGTATATAAAAAGGGCTGTTAAGATGACAGTCAGGCATCCTCGATACTGAGCCAAGGGTAACTCACTCTTTCGCTCTCTGCAACCCTGGAATATGTCATAGCAAAATTGAAGGCACGCGGCTAGCTATTTGATTGGTGTTAGGTAAAAAAAAATCCTGACCAATCACTAGTTTGATACTTGTCCTTTGAAGATTACAAAGGAGCGACGCCCGACTTCAAATCCTGTCATTTCTTACCGTTACGCGACCGCGAGAATCTTTTGATGTACGTCAAATGACCAAATTAGTCCTCTCGCCTCATCCACAAGGTGCTGCACACTGAGCCTATGATTTTGCAATGAAATATTCCAGGGGTGTCGAGAGTGAAAGTGAGCGTAACTCCTGGACATCGAGGTTGACCGTCACGGGAATCGTTAATGCAAAAAGTATTGCTAAAACAACAAGAGTTATCTTTCTTTGATCACTACTTATTCGACCACCAGTACACTACACGCAAATTACACATCATCATACCTTGTAAGCATTCTGTATTCTAAATAGCATTTTATATTCTATATTTTCAGTGTCTTCTATGTTTGTACTACAGTTACAGTGCTATACTACAAATAAGTCTGCATATGCTTGCTTTAAAATGTATCCATTTATCCGTTTAGTCCGACATTATGAAATGTATCTGAATATAAACCTCTTGTTACACACGTTATTATAGTTTCTGGAGTGATTGTAAAACTCTTGAAAATCTTGGGAAAATCTTGGAATAAGATCAGATTTATCTATGTCACTGGTTCGTATTTTGCACTTTATATTGTATTTCTGTTCGACGAACGTGCTTTGTATTTTAAATTGTATTTACGTATACCCTGTTCATTGTTCTTAAGTTTGTATAATTTGTATACTTTGGTTGTACTTTGTATTATCTGTTCGTACTTCTGTACTGTTTACCATGTTCACTATTTTGTACTTTATGTTCTAGATTGTGTTTTCTGTCCGCACTTTGCCCTTGCAGGTCGAAGATCCGGAAAGGAATACACCTACTGTTACCCACTGCATGTATCGTAAAAGGCGACTAATGAGGGAACCCCCTGCAGAATTGGGGATTTGCTTTAGCGACCAAAAAATAAATCTGCTGCACCCATTGCAACATTTGGGATATTTATCTTACTTTCTACTTCTAACTACCTATTATTTCCTAGCGCCTAGCTTGGCAATACCTCACTTCTGGCTTTCATGTTGAACGTTCGCCCAGATGAGGAAGACCATGGGTTCTGTCTCCAAGCTCTGCAGGTCTGAATCTTGTTCAACATNGCGTTCGCCCAGATGAGGAAGACAATGGGTTCTGTCTCCAAGCTCTGCAGGTCTGAATCTTGTTCAACATCACGACCTACATGGTATGTGCCTTTCGTCCTGGTATCTTCTCCAGATTATCTCACCTCTCCGTTAATATGCTGTCACTTTGAACATCGTGGTACAATAGTGTTTAATAATTTCCTAGATATATTATCTGCTGTATGTCATTTTTTTCTGACTCTTCTTTGAAAAGGTTCTATTCCATGACCTTTACAATTCATCATTTACATCGTTCTTGGGGTGGGGGGGTGTCTCCTTAGAATTCCTGAGTTCGCAAATAATGCATCAAGCCAAATTATTACGGAGATGCATGAAACGCATCAAAACGGTTATTGGAATTGACTATGAATATAAATATTGATGTACAGTCACCAAAACTGTCCAACACATTTCTGGCGTTATGAACGGGTGCAAAGATATATTTTATAAACTGACAAAAAAATGTTTAAAGTGAAAAAAAAAAAGACCATTGAAATACAACGGCAGAAAAATAACTGAAAATGGACAATGCATTGTATATGGAGGTTTTACTGTACGTTAAAAAGGGACAGTCTGTCAAGGTTTTGAGGGTTCTTTTGTATATAAACTGGGGGCATTATACTGAAGATTTACTGCAGATAATCCAGGGGTGTTGTATCAAGGTTTTACTGTATATAAACCACTGGCGTTATATTGAGGTAATAGACCAAAGGTTCCCCTGTGTATAAGCAAGGGACAATATATCAACGTTTTGTTGCATATATATTGTATAAAAAATAGTCTATTAGGACCTAGCCATGCGCCTCACCCGTTACCCCATGGTCTATTTTTAGTAAAAGTAAACTTGAATTTGACCTTATTATCGTTTTAAAAATGTAATGCACAAATATCACCTGATCAAATTTCAGAAAGATTAGTCTTCTAGATTTGAGAGGACTGTACTGTCAAATTTCGGAAAGAGCAGTCTTTTGGATTTTGAAATAATCTCTGGAAACGTGGGACACCATGATCACTTAGAAACCTGGGATATGGATACTTTAATTTTCTGTGATAATTATTACTGCTTTTTATTCATATATGTGATTATCTCCCTTTACCAGTAATTTAATGTGTTATTGCTATTTTACATATGTTTGTCGCAATAATAGCTCTCAAGAGCTAATGTCCTTTGTTTACCTGTATATGCGACGTTAAATTAAGTTTCTTGTATCTTGTATTACTAAGCTCATTGTAAGATAACATGTACATCATTGTATACTAATCTGAACACGAAGCACACCTATACACATAAGAAACAGATAACCAAACCACTCTGTCATGTTTTCAATATGTTTATTTCATATCGGTATTATCGACAGTATTAAAACATTTGGACAACTGACGCTTTGCCAAATAGCCAGGTACCTACCAGCTGTAATGTTTATCTTCACAAACATCATCCATGGGGACTCTGGTAAGTTATAAACACCAATAATGGTACAGCCAGTTACCATACATTGTGTAATACAGAAACAGTAAATAATTTCATGACAGAATAATATGTATGGGCAAAATGTTTTAAGTTTATTTTCATTATCAATTGTAAAATGCAATGTAATTTTTCACCCACACAAAAAAAAGAAGAAAAAATATGATGGACACAAAATTTGGATGACAGATTTCTCATTTTCGAATAAACAAATCTTCAAATCTTCTTACAAATTTATAATTATAGCAGTAAGTAAGGCTATTTTTTGGTCTCAACATCAATTATTAGAACACAGCATGTTTATGACGAAAAAAGCATTGAATAAATCATGCAATTACTTAAGGAATATTTATTTTTAAATAATCATGCCCAAAATGTTGGTTTCCAATACAAGAATTATCTAAATTTTCAGTAAGACAATAATTTAATGATGATCATTTTATTTCAAAGAGTAAGAAAGGTAGACAACTCTATAGAAATAAAGCACCAGCATCATAGTTATAGCTTAGGTCACAACAAAATATTACGTTCCATGAAAGACGGTGTTCTTCAACTCGGGAAATTGTTAAAAATACATACGTAATCTATTTAATCACCTTCTCAATCCTAACACGTCACTTAGAACAAGTCATCTCTTTTATCAGATCATTCACAAAGATGTAATAAATAATGGTGAGAATTTTAAAACAAATGTTTACATATTCAATTTTGATGCATGTTATTTATCATCAATCATTTTCTTTGATCTTTTTATTTGACAGATTTGCACAATAGATGATGTGAAGTATGGGAGAGTGAGAATAACTTGAATCTTGTGTAAAATGAGGTGATTAGACATTAAGTTAGGTCATAATAATCTAGTTAAATTAAGTCTCTCAAAATGAATGCTTTGAGGACATGGAATATACACAAATGTTTTTTTTATCATTTCACACACTAAATCTTTGAGGTAATGAAAATGTTATCAATTTGTTTGAGAAAAACAGACTACAATCAATTTATACCTCAATTTATTTACAAATTCTTAAAATCTTGCTTTAACTTGAGAAAACATGCAAGACATTTCATATTTAGCATATATTTTTGGGTTTTTTATATTTGTTTGGATATTAAAGTGGACAGGCAAAGCGTTGACAATGGAATGAAGATTTAACTTAGCATATCACATGTGTAGCTTTATTTCACAAAGCTATTTACATATCATTTATCACGTTTCCAGTGCACAACACTGCCTCTGTGCACAATCCTATTTCTATTCTGTCTTCTAAACCTTGACAATTCGCCTATATCAATAATTGGCATGTGCAAAATTGAAGAAAATAAATTGCATTCGTTTGAATAACATCAATTTGATAACAACATAAAATATGCAGTGCAAAAGTGTAAAAGACTTTCCTTTTTTTTCCTTTAATTTCACAACACTGGTACCCACATGTATAAACAAATATAAAAAAAAGATTTTACTTGTAGAACACTTATGTTTCATTGGAAAAAAACAAGCACTGGCATTGTAAAAAATATTATTTTAATATTAATAGAGAACACAGAAGCCTCCAAAATTTTACGGATTCTGAACTTAAAATACTAGCAACCACGCAGTGTCACTGGCACATAAGATTGGGCAAAGAGTTGGACTAGATGAAAGATCGACCAAGTAATGTTAATGCCTGAAAAATGACTTTACACGTCCAACAATAATGACACAATGTATAATATGTGGGCTAGTTTCACTGCAGCTCCAATATACAAACTCAGGCGCTAACTGTTTCAAGTTAATCATCTAATTCATAAATGCAGTATACACATAATTAATATAAATACATTTTTAGTAATAATAGTAACTTATCTTAACATATGCATATGATGCAAGATACATATTCTAATTTGTTCTAAACGCATTTTACATATCATCACATTTACACTTGCACATTCAGAGCATTTAAACACATTACTACAACTATTGCTGGACAGGCTTTTAACAATTAAATTCACTAAAGCGTTAACGTTTATCACAATCGGTTTATACTTGTATTTCACAGCAGATCTAATGTGGCAGCCGTTACGGTGTGAACACCTTGTAGCACTTCTACTGAACAGTTTCCAGATTTAATCTCATTATGATCAATATTGAAATATATCATTGTACGATTATATTTTTTTGTAAAGAAATTATATCCATGAACCAATCATAATAAATTGTCTAACCTATGCGAAGTTTGATATGATGTTATTTATTTATATCACCAGCATTGCTTCGTTCGAATATTTTTCTTACAAATTCAGAGCTTTAAACTAAGAAACGAAGTTCATCCCCAACTCTCTCTCTCCTCCCAGAGTTGAAGTATAAATTAAACCATTCCAACTGACACAAAAGGGTTATATATTCCCCAATGATGGGTTATCCCCCTTGCATGTTGACGGGGGATTCTCTTCATCCCCGGTTGATGCTTCCCTTGTAAACATATAAACCAAGGCAAACACCAGAGGAAAGAGATAGGGTGTTCTGGCATCACTAACCTATCCTTACAGAGAGCAAGGAAGTCTTCTTTTAACTGTAATATCCTGAACTTTTGATTGACATATCCAATGAAATATCGATGTAAAATATCTTCAACTGAACTTTGTTATTTTAAATGGATTGAAATTCTTTTTCCATGAGACCTTTACATTTTTTTTTTCAAACTTCATTGACTCTTTAGAAGAAATCTTGAATTAGAATACCTGTACAGATATATACTTTTATCATCAAGTTTTAGGCATAGATCATGATCAATTCAGTCGCATCAAAATTCCAGGATATTTCCCACCAATAACACTAGTTACTACTGTAGATCAACACTTAGATAGATGCCTTATTTAACGAGTTGTGCCCCTTGAGTTGCAATTTAAAATCTATTTTCCATCATCTTATGTACCAAAGAGAAAGTGTGGCAAGCATATGGTATGTATAACATTGTTGATTGATTCACATGTGGAAATGCAATATCATTCACGACCAAATTCTGAATAGTGATATGGTTAATTTAGTAGTTGACATTTTATCAGACCAGCTGACAGTAGATGTTTATAACAGTTAAATCAGAAATAAATAACACTTGGATGCATTAAAAATTGCAAATATTTGGAATACTTTGATTTTAGGAATAAATAAATATATAAAGTGATCGACTGTTTTGCAATTCAAGGTTTACACAACACTATTATACTTAATCTGGTAACAAACATTCTACCCTTTGTATTACCTATTCATATTCTTTTAACTTGGCCAATCACGAAAGAATTAAAGGCTCTGAATTTGAACTGCTGGTTGACCTGGATGTGATTTGTAGAAGTCAGACCCTTAGGGACTCTGGGACTTTGTAACCAGTAGACATTTCCGGCTCACTAGCTGCAGTCCCACTTATTATGTGTTCCAAATGGTGTAAAGGAATCCATATTTTTCGAAGCCATTTGAGAAGTGAATATTCCATGTCAAAGAGGGTGTTGGGACCTTAGGATCACACTAGCTGTATAGTATAGGGAGAATCTCCCTGAACCATTCTCCACATTTGACCCTCTTCTGACTCGGAATCCTCTTCCCCGTCCCCGATTCCGAATTCTTGGAGCTGTCCACGGACACGGTCCTGGCTTTGAACCATGGCCGCCTCAAGCTGCTGCCACATTTGATCCAACTGTGACTGAGCTTCAGGACTGCTGTCCAGATGTATAGAGTTATCAGATTCCACACCGTTGGTTTTAGCTGGGTGCACTGTCACAATGATCTGATCACTGTCATCTAGGCCCGGTGGTTTAACGGGGCTAGGTGGCGCCACCAGCCCACCAACTTGTTCATTGTTGCTGCTGTCGCCATCTGGCGATGAAGATGCAGCATCAGGTTGGTGTGAGGAATCGTGTGTGTCTTTGGAGACACCATTGGTCACTACACTGTTGTAGGAGACCTCAAGACAAGAAGTCTGAAATGAAAAACCAATGAATGTGAATTAGTCTTTATTATATTTATTTTTTTATTGAAAATCAGACTACTTCTATTAATTGCAGATTTACCAATGCATGTGTAATTAAGTTAAATTTCTTCTTTTTTTGTCTGCCATAAATCCAGAATATTTTGATAAGGGAAACCATTTCTCCATGATAGCTTAACAATGAATGGAAAGTCTGTTACCTCCTCGTGTGTTTCCTCAGAACACGTAAGATTTTCTGATCGAAGTAATGTTTTGTATTTATACAGACCTGACACATCCCTGATCCCCCACCAGGGATAAAATACATAACTCCATCAAACACACAGATCAATAAGTGTTTTAGCTTTACCTGTTTGATGGGTAATCAATGCACAACCTTACAAACTTTCACTGTGTCTGTGGGTGAGGAGGGTTTCAACTAGCAAATAACTTACAAATCTACAAAGATTCTGTTATTATGAATCCCATCAGTAACACGAAAGTCTAACCTACAGCCTCTAACATATAACTGGATAGCCTACCCTTTTACCTCTCACTAATGACCTGAAAAGATTGGGGGGCACCTGCTCGACCACATGGGTTCTCTCTGGGAACTCCAGTTTCCTCCCACATTAAGACCTCCCTTTCGCTAACATCCAGGCCAATAAGAGTGATAAATATATGTTGAGAACACTTATATCATAATTTTTGTTAAATAGATAAATCTGTTAATAGAAGTCAAACCTATGATCTTTCACTAATGACCCCTGACAGTCTTAAACTTTAACCACTCAATGGCACCTTATAGTCAATTCTTTGACTGATCACCAATGATCTCTGGTAGTCTGACCTTTGATCAATGACAGCTGATTGTCTAACCTACGACTTATAACCTATGACCCCTGATTGTCTAACCTATGACTTATAACCTATGACCCCTGATAGTCTAACCTATGACGACCTCTCACCAGTGACTAAGGACATCTTTACCTGTGACTTCCTGTCGCCGGGCTGCATTGTCTTCAAAGGCAATTATAGGCTTAGGATGGGAGTCGGAGCTGATGTTGTCCAGGTTATTGTCAATACTGTTCGTGTTGAGGTTCAGCAAGTCATCCGTCGTCTGGTGGGCGAACAGCGACTGCTGGGCCTTCACTTCAAAGTTTTTATTGGTAACACTTAGATCTATAAAATCTTCAAATTCACTGTTGGGCTCTGTGGATCCACTGTCTGTGGTCGTGGAACCCTGTTCCACAGATATAGTCTGAGAATCCACCAGGCTCTCTCCTAGTGACTGGTCTGAGGATGTTCCCAGGGACGAGTCAGCAGTTCTCATACTAATACTGCAAAGACAAGTTATAGGAAATGACAGTTTGTGTTAGACTTCATGTTATATACAATAATGTAGTACAACTGAGTTCTTGTGGCTTTCTCATTTCAATTTTGTGAACAAAAATTTCAACCGAAATTTCACAATCATTACCATATTTAATTATGCCCACAAAGAAAAAAGAAAATCTCATAAAAACCACATTGAAAAAGGCAGCAATAGCAATGTATAAATAATCTATTGTTTGGACTAGATTTTCAGATACTCTATATGTAGTATTTATATAAAAAATTCTACAAATTTCTGTGATGACTTTGCATTTACAGTAAAATGAGGTAGTCCTTGTGAAAGTTGTATATTCTAGTCATTGTAAGTGAAATAAATGCTTCATTTCTTTATTGCTTTACAGCTTCAGCTCGACAAAAACACAATAGATCTAGAAAACTGTATTATCCAGAACTTTCTGCTACATCTCTAAACCTGAGTAATAGCAACACATGATGCTAAGCTATTTCGAACAGAAGTAATGATCCTTGCGGTTTATAATCTAGACAGAATTCACTATACAGGTACCAGTTTGATCTTTTAGGCTATTTATAATATATTACAACAAGCAAGCAGCAAATTGCAAATGTTAAAACAAACATAGTGAAGATAGTTCAGCTACTCTTTTTGTTTCCAATATTTCACACTGTCACCTTACACACATACATCACAACATTTTCTCCGACATGATATAAATTAAATCTTGTACAGTATGAGTCATGTACAGCGAGCATTTTCAGGTAAATCTATTACAACAAACAGCCACAGGTACACTGATGGTGTACCAGACACATTGTGTTTCAAATAATATATGCAACAGCAAAATGAATTAATGGCAGCCTTTAGTTAAGCCTACACAGCGACAGCTAACATCTCACAAACGCTGTAATATATATATACATTTAATTCATGTATAAGTCATGAACGCTAAAATGCCGCCAACAAAATGGCTTCCCCATTATGTTGATATGACACAAGATTCACAACAGCCTACAAGCGCTGGCCTTTAAACTATTGAATAAACTCTACATCCAGACACGGATCGACACTCCACCAACGATCCCCGCCAATCAAAATTACCAGCGTATAACTCACAAATTTAACTTTACTACTAGAACAGAGAGTGGAGACTGACCTGATGATGTATATTCAATACTAGATGCAAGTATTCAGCACATGCAGAAAATAAACACAACATTACCTGAACACAACTCCATATTGGAAGGTGTGACCCCTGTGTCTAAACAGCACTTCCTCTACTGTGTTACCTGTGTACAACTTGGGGACCATCTCAAAACCATTCCTCACTCACATTCTCTGCTAGTTCATTCAAATTCTGGAGTGATGTTTTTTAGCCGTTTCATGAATAGGTTTACCTGGAAACTAGTGTTCATTACAAGAAAGATATTAGAGGTTGACATATCATTCTTCATCGTGACATAAACCTTTAAAAGCTTTTGAGATGCCTGCGGGACACGTGACCCGGTTATCCATCTACCTGTTGGAATGTACACATCCATATATATATAATGTATATACCTGTACAGCTTACTTCGGTCTCATTTACATACAATTAAACCTTTATAGCCGTGTGTTTGTCATTGAAATAATGCCGTGTATATACACCTTATCTAGATAAGTAGGTCTAAATACAGAAGAGATAAAGTGGACCCCAATGACAATGAAATCACCCTCCCCTCTCCATTGTGGTGACCTTATTTACTCTACATCTCATATAAACTACTGTACATATAGTTATTTTCCACTTTTTCTGCCCGCCCCTTTACAATGTACATTATTGTCACGTATCTAAAATAAACCCATAACAATCTTAAAACCTGTCTAAAATAAACCCTTAAGAATCTTAGCACCTGTCTAAAATAAAACCTTTACAATCTTAAAACCTGTTGAAAATAAACCCTTAACAATATTGAAATCTAGCTTTGAGCCCTTACTAAGGGACTGTTCTGGTGGACACTGGGCCCTTTAGCTTTGAGCCCGATCTAAGGGACTGTTCTGGTGGACATTGGAACCTGTAGCTTTGATCCCCACCTAAGGGGAGGTTCTGGTGGACACTGGGACCTATAACTTTGAGCCCTATCTAAGGGACAGTTCTGGTGGACATTCGGACCTGTAGCTTTGAGCCCTATCTAAGGGACTGTTCTAGTCGACACTCGGACCTGTAGCTTTGAGCCCTAACTAAGGGGTGGTTTTGGTAGACACAGGGACCTTTAGCTTTAAATTTGAGCCCTATCTAAGGGATGGTTCTGGTGGACACTGGGACCTATAGCTTTGAGCCCTATCTAAGGGACAGTTCTGGTGGACACTGGGACCTGTAGCTTTGAGCCCTATCTAAGGGACAGTTCTGATGGACACTAGGACCTGTAGCTTTGAGCCCTATCCAAGGGACAGTTCTGGTGGACACTGGGACCTGTAGCTTTGAGCCCTATCTAAGGGACAGTTCTGGTGGACACTGGGACCTATGGCTTTGAGCCCTATCTAAGGGACAGTTCTGGCAACAAGCCCAAAGAGCTCTTGTGAACAGTAGATAAATACATTGGAAAATTCCATGATCCCAGCACACCATAAATTAAACCCCTTTTTTATTATGAGAGTCAGAGGCAGAGGTTTTCCAAGTAATTTTGTATTAGATTTTTAATCATGTGATGATGATTGAATAGACACACCCAATGTAAATGATACAGAGTAATCTCATCACATGATCCCATGGTGGTTAGATATAGTTTATCTCTCATGATTAGAGTATTTATATCACAAAAAGTGTGGCTATCCTACCAGTATCAAAGAGTTGATATCAGTATACAATGGTTATCAGCAGGAAATAAAACACTGTATTCAAAATGTGTTTACAGTCTGTAATTATTATTGTTATCCATGTTGTGTTGTCTGTGTCATTTCTTCATCAAAGGCAAAATAAACCAATAATATGACATTACATGTTAAAATGAAGGACGATTATAATATGTGTAAAACGCCAAAGTAACACTCCACAACTGAATCGTTTTTAGCGCACATTAATATATTTGTGCAATCTTATAAGGACATATATTTCACACACTGTACTTTTCATTTTTAATATATGTTTAGCACAATTTAACCACAGAAAGTCTATTGTCATGTTTTACACCTTTAGATGTACAGAAATCATTCATGCAAGGAGAAATAAAATTGTCGATCATTTTCTACCTAGATGTATTTATATGCGAGTCAAACTAGCTGAAATGTACATAAATGTAAAGTGAGCTAGTTTATTTTTAGATGCATCTTGATCTTGATGGATGCACCAATAGGCTGTAGGAACTGAACTTTGACCTCTGCTGCACCCAATGACCTGTCCAATTGATTAACATGATTGACAGCAGAGTGTACATGAGACATGCCTAGAAGGAGCTGTGGACTTGTCACTCCTGTATAAAATGTACACATATGTCTACCAGATCTCTCATATAAGCATACACTTGGGTGGACACTCTGGGTCTTAAATTATCTTCTATATATCGTCAACCAAATTTGATAGAGTGCAAAAGACAGTGAAATTGACACTGAAACATTTCTGCAAGCATGTTCAACTTTTATGAAAACATTTGCCTTTTTCCACTCCAAAATAGACCCTTATGATTTCAAATTGAAAAGGCTTCAAACTAAATGAATCAAACAGTTAACTCCTAGAGGAATTCTTCAGTTTCAATTAAAAGGTGCCCAATTAAAATGCTATATTTAAAGATCTTGAGTAAGTTAGAACAATTTTAAGGACGAGATGACATAATTTAAGTTTTCAATTAAAGACTTGCACTTCATGATCTTAGAGAAATATTCAACATTGAAATCAACATTTGAAAACACATTTTGTTCATAATTGGCAAAAACTTAAATTTTAAGTTTTTTGTTCTCCTGAGTAATAAAAAATATTTTCCTGCACATACTTGGATAGACTCAAAATCATATACACAGATATGTAGCCTACAGTTGACTTCGCCAGAGCGCTCGAGGCTTTACAATGACAAGTCTAATTGAAAAGTCTGATGTGTATGAATGGAAGATAAGTACCATGAGAAATTCAAGTGAACAGAGGAAGTACATGTATATATATGATAAGTGTTTGTCAGCGATTGTGCAGGCCATCTCTACACAGTCCAGGAAACAGGCGACTTCAAATCTATTTAATCTACAAAGGTTTCTATAAGGTTGCACCATCAACTCCATCTAGTAGATGAAAAGGAATTACGTGTACTTTAACCAAAAAAAATTCCATGAGTATAAAATATATTTAGAGTAATAGCTAGCAGGCAGACTTTTGAAAATTTTACTTGTCTGACCTATATTTTAATATTAAAATTTAAGCAGCCCTGACATAAATACAATACTGTATCTACTAGCCTAGCCTTTGAGTGTTGGGGTAGTACAATTGTACACGTAGCTCTAGCTTTCACAACTCTGTTCACAACTTGAGATGGCAACAAGCTTTCACAAATACAAGCATTGTCGTCTCGCATCTCTTGTGTGTGTGATATATTAACAGACATTGCCTGCCCCCCTCCACTAGCTGTGGCCTACAGATTACACTTATGGTAATCATTAAGTCACGGTTGCCTACCTACAGGATAAAGCTTGTAAGGATTACAATTATTAGATATGCTAGCTATATAATTTCCCTTTCAATTCTAACAAAACCAATTTTCTTCCTTTCCTAAACAAATGTACTACACTTCTACTTGTGCTGACACCATATACCAATTACAACTACATTTCATAGACTTCTAACAACCACAAAAATGTTGTTTACTTTCATTGTAACTTAAAAGGATATCCGTCGTATTGTAACAAAACTGGTTTTAACAGCTAATTATAGAATGGAGATGATTCTTTTCCATATTATACAACCATTTCCTTCATCTATACTGTGTTTTTGACAGAATAAAACATGAAATACTTCTCCTGGTAGCTGCAGCTAAGTTTTTTAAGCAGGATTCATGTTCAATTAAAGTTTTGGGCATGTTATCTTACACTCCTTAATAGGTTTGACATTAAATGCCTCACAATTCTAAATACCAGGTACATTTTGTATAAAGACACCTCAGTTCAGGCATACTTGTATGTCATTATTTATCAAACTTTGAACAGTCCACCAGTCGCCTACAAAGACTCTACATAACCAGTCCTAGTTCAGGGCATTTGCCAAACATACTCCTTATGAAATGATGTTGTTATTGCAATGATAAATACAATTGTATGTCAGATATTCACTACAGTTTATTAAGAGTCGAACAATAATTTGTATTCAAGATTTATTTTATACTGGTACTCATTTTTAGACAAACATATATGCATGTGCATACCGAGTAAATTTTGAAATGTTGCTATATATTTTTCCAACATTCTGACAGTTCAAACTATAAGTTGTGTCAAAAGCTTGATTCAAATAAAAAAAGAAGATTGATCCCAGATGCAGAAAGAAGAACCAGAACACTCTTTTTCTATCATAAACTCAATGATTTTATTGACATATCAACTGAGTTACCTCCCTTCTTATGTAAGCACTCTGACCATGCATGCTATGTATTTAATATGAAATATATATGTTCAAGGCCAGAGACCTTAATTTGAACATGCATGCATCAAGCTGCAGTATAAAATATCCACATAATCACTGTTTTGGCTTCTATTTCTCCTAATCAACCAACTGAAACAGTCACTCCAAATATCTGTCCCTGTTTGTGTCCTCTTACACAGAATTTCAATATCACAGTTTAACACCATCAACATCAGGAAACTCCAAGCACCATACATTGTCATCATCATATTTCTTACCACTTGCACTGAACATATACACTTCTCTTGTCCACACAAACACAACATCCAGGAAAGCATGTGTTCCTTTGGGTGTATAAATAGTCACCGACATTCTACGTTTGCAGAAATGTGTGAAGAATTTTTTCCCCATATTGAAACAAATACATCACAACTTTGGCAAAACTGTACTTGCTGTAGTCTTCTGAATTGAAAGCAGAACAGATCAGGCTATATTCCAACTTCATAACCTTATAAACCATAGAGCTCCTTTGGATTCTACTAGAGTATTTAATCCACATATGCAATGTGTATCCAAATAGTATTGTAGAAGGGTCCTGCAGAACGAAGTTCCATACAAAACATGTAAATTAATATGTTGTATTATAGTTCTCCATGATTTAAAGGTTCCCGAAGGGGTGAAGAGAAAGTGAATTTGAACACGAGCTGTCTTTAGCAAGAATGCTGGCGTGGATACTACACTATAAATGCGGAGCTCTAGTGGCTGGCGCTGTGCGGCACTAGAAGATGATGTGCGTACCACTCTGGGCGGCAGTACTAAGTGATCAACACAAACACAACACACGAGTGAGAGGAGAACACTTACCTAGAGTCTACTAGTTCCTGTGGGTACTGCTCCATCTCCCCGTTCTGAGATACACCGTTCAGTGACGACGAAGACACTTCAGTTTTAATTATCACAGTGTTTGAACCTAACTTTTGTTCTGCTATTGATACATCCTTGGCAGTACTTGTGTCACTATCTACACTTCCGTCTGACTTGGAATTTCTCGACTCACTTCTATCACTTTCATTGTCTGCTATCACCAGAGAGTCTACTTGTCCCTTCTCTCCCTCAGACACCTGCTCACTAACACTCTCCTGTGCTTGTTCCCCTGGCTCCCCTTGCTTGTTCCCATTGGTTGTTACACCATTAGTTTTTTCATCCGCCTTATCCATGCCCAACCTCTTTTTGCCCATCAAATTCTGCAGCAGAGGTGACTTGAATTTGTGAGTCTCATTTGCCCCATTTTGAGATTTATTTTCCACAAGTTTCTGTAAGAGAGGTGACTTGAATTTTGGCGTGTCTGTGGCAGGTTGTAGCGTCTTGGTCTTGTCGTCCAACTTATCATCTAGCCCATTAGCCTCGTCAGCACTGTCCTCTCCGCCCTCGTTGGACTGTAGACTGTTCTTGCTTGGGGAGTTCGACAGGGACTGATATGGGGAATCTCCCTAAATGGTGGCAAGAAAATAGGAAATTAAGCTCTACATAGCACGAACTTACACATTTTTTTTATAACAAATAAGGTTGAGTACATGTTTAAATACTAATATAACATATTGGTTTAATCTTGAATATACAAAACACATTAACGTTGCACTTTTGTCTAGGTACAAAACATAATAATTCTGCATCACAATTTGATACAAAAGAATGTAAACTTTTGCAATGTTTGACACATATTTAATGATACTGTATTGTTAAATGAAATATATATGATATTTTGTGATTTACATTGGAATGCCATAAGGCTAAAAACGCACATAAATTTATTTTTACTCTACTATGAAATTGTAAAGGTATTTATAAAACAGATTATCTGTAAAATAAAGAAGATAAGTATAAATTTAACCTAAATCAATTTGCTGCACATGGGATTTAGCCCTTTCAACACTGTAGAACATAATAGACTCATCCAGATCAATGCATGGTAGAGTCTACTAAAGGTATATAGGGGTGAAAGGGTTAATGTGCCTGGGATGTACCTACCTTGTCTGAGCCAATCAGGATCATGGAGCTAGACATAGATCCTGTCATGGAACCGATCTGTGATCCAGACATTGAGCTGCTGGTACCAATCATGGAGGAGGTCATGGACCCGGTCATCGGAGAGTCTGGCTTCACTCTCTTCATGATCATCTCCAGTCTCTGAAGTGTAGGAAGACACAGGTATTATAAGTCTCACAAACTACCAGTTAGGACTTTTGTTTTTGGTAATGTATACTTTCATTTTGAATTCATACAAAATCAATTTATAACATAATGTATTGTGTTATCCAGTGAATATACCCATGTTATATTTGTTTGCGTATTAACCCGTGTAATATGACCTATCAGCCCTGTGATTGGTTGTAAGTTTCAATTGTTTCATTTGTGATGCACGCCTAGGACAAGTACATGACGTCACAGACTTACGCACTGGAGTCAAAATGGCGGCTTTTTACATTTCATGGTTATATGAAAATTGTTGTTCTACAGGAATAAATGCCACAAATCTTGATTATGTGATAAAAAGTATCTTACACTTGTTTCATTTCATATGAAATTTATAAAAACTTGTCAGGAATTTTTCATTTTAGCTTGCCAGAGGCTTGTTAAATGGAAAAATTCTTAGCCTCGTTTCATAAATCTCATATGGCATGGAAACTCATGTAAGATCCTATGTATAAACATATAACATAAAGGTCAGAGTATCTACATTGTAGTAAACTCTGCAAGTACCAGAAATGTTACATGTATTAAAAGGACAAAGGTTGTTAAGAGTTTTAGAATTAATAATTTTATTCATAATCTGGAATAAATGAAGTAAGCAAATATGAAATTTGAAATTCATTCGACAACTGATATAGGAGATATGGCAAAACAAAGAGAGGTATAAACCTGCACTGCTTTCTTATTAAAATGTATGAATATCGTCTATTGTACGCTATCTATGTTGAAAATTGTCCATTTTGAAGCAAATTAAAGAAACACCAATTTTTGAAAGCCTCTGTATGCACCAATCAAATAAATACTTGGAAAGCTTAAACATTGTCATACCAGTGTTCGTTTGTAGAAAACAATAATTGGTTTTCACCTGCAGAGGCTTTCAATTCTGCATGCAAACTGTCCAAAACACCATATTTGGGTATATCTGCATAGCAACACGAATTTGTTTTTGCTATGGCGGGTCATGTACACATGCACAATGAAAAGATTGTTTTATGAAAATGACCTGTCACTCCCTAAGTCCTTTGTTGACATTACACACACTCTCTCCAAAATGCTTGTTCCAATCTGTTTCCATTACTAAGTAAAGACTGTACGAATTATTTGTAAACAACTAGCTGACTTTCTGACCTCGCATATTATATCAATTCAAAGTACCTTCTTCCTTTCTAGTCTTTCCTCCTCATCCTTTTTAGCCTTTTCTTGCTTTTCTTTCTCAATTCTTTCTGCGTCCTCTTTAGCTTTCCTGTCAGCTTCTTCTTTCTATTAAAACAATAAATATTACAACATTCACAATTTTTTTTTTTAATTACAAAGAAAGACCTATGTTGTCTATTTCAAATGAAATGAACATTGTTTCCGTTTATCAAGGTCATCACTAAATCTTCAAAAATGTTTAGCCCATTTCTTTTGTCTCTCTTAAGCCACATTGTTTTAAAGATTGGGAAACTTTCTTTCAAATATAGTGCAGGTATAGTGACTTAGAAAAGAAGGCCAAGCATGCCAGACAAAACAGACACATTACTGTCTATTACAAGGAAATTGTAAAACCTTGTATTAGTCATGAATCAATCAGTGTTCAGTGTTATCATTTCTATACTTCAGATTATTAGCAACATAATAAATAAAATACTTTCAAATATGTTTTTCTTTCTTTTTTCCATGTAACTTGTTGTTTTAAAGGTCAAATCATATACATAGTGATTTAAATACTACACAATTAATTTTTCATATGGAATCTTAAGATATATATAAAAGCTAGAACCCAGCAGTTTGTGACTGAACAGACAATACAAGATGAGATCATTAATACCTGTTGCCTTTCCTGTTCAAGACGTTCTGCCTCCTCCTTCTTTCGGAGATCCTCAGCCTCGATAGCTCTCCTCAGCCTCTCTTCCTCATTCTTCCTTGCTTCCTGAGCAAGTTTGCCGGCTTCTTCCTCCATCTGACGCTGTTCCTCCTCCTCCTGACGCAGGGTTTCCTCCTCTGCCAGTCTGTAACACACAACAGGGTCATCAATAGTAAGCAGACACATATATCACATAAGATGAAACAACAGAATTTCAGAAAATTTTGTAGAAAACAAATTGCTGATGCTTTAGAAAGATTTTACCATTTGCTATTGAGTCCAACTCTGGCTTCAGTGATGATCTATGTAAGAACTATGAACTACATTTCTGTGGGATCCCCTGTGAGAATCATGGAGTGAGTATCAGACATCTAGACTGACTGTAGCTCTTCTATAGTATAATATATACTGGACGCTTAGATGAATCCATACACAATCAATGGTTCAGCTAGCTAATTGAATAAAAAGAGTCAGAATGGATATTGTTACTTCCCTTGCTCTTTAATACAAGTTGATCTTCACTCTGTGCCAAGTAATAGCATTTCTTACCTGATTTCCTCCAACCTCTGTCTCTCTAACTCTGCCTCCCTCTCTGCCTTCTCCCTTGCTTGTCTGCGTTTCTCAGCCAGCTTGGCCTTGTATTCGTCCATTTCTATCTCCTTCTTTGACTTTGGAGTGGCAGCAGGTGTAGCTGGGGTGGAAGCTACACTTGGTTTACCCTGTGCTGGGGTGGCCGGGGTAGCTTGGGTTGCCTCTTCATTCGGCTCTACGATCTTCACAACCTTTTCAGGAGTCTTCTTTGGTACTGGGACAGCCTTCTCCTCGTCCTCGGACTTGGATGAGGCGGGGGATACAGACCGGGGCGTTGTAACCTTGGCAGACACTTCTTCCACTGAAGCCCCACTTTCTGGCTGGGCAGGGCTCTCAGCCTTGACACCCACAGCAGGTTTTGGGGAAGCTCTGGGGCTGTCGAGGGCCTCATTACTGCTTTCCTTACTTGTGGGCTTCCTTTTTAGAGGCTCTTTGTTTTCTTTGTCCTTTTGTTTAGGTGTTTTTGTCTGCAAATAAACATCAATATATTATTCACTATCTGTGCTAAAACGTTTTGAAATCAAGATGCATAAATGAGAATAATTTAATCTTGCTTGTAACAAGCATTTTCATTGGCTTAAAAATTTATGTTATAAGCCCATAACGTAAAAAAATGATGTAGCCGTTTGTAACGTCGCTTTTGATTGGTTGATACAGCAGCGCAATAATTTCTAAAAGAAAAGAGTCCATCAATGAAAATGGATTTCCACAGGGATTGTGTATAGTAGATTAAATTATAAGGATTGACTTGAATATATTTTTCATGTTATGGAGCTATAACACACAAAAAATGGAGTGTATTCTCATCATAAACCGCTCGCGGTTTATTTAGAGTACTCTCCGTTTTTTGTGTTATATCTCCATAACATGAAAAATTTAAAGTTAATCCTTAAATATGATCTTAAAATTGACACAAGTTCTTCTACAATACACCAAACAAACAGTTTGAATACCACATAACTATAATACCCTTATAGTTCCCTCTCAGCATCACCTCTAACACCCCCATACACAGCAATAAAACACTTATAATCTAATACATCTCTGAGGAATAACCCAGGGAAATCAATACACTGCATGTGCAACGCGTGATTATGAACAGTTTGAAATCTGCCATTTCTCTATCTGCAGATGTGTACTTTTCCACGAATTGATTTTCATTCTGGAGCTATCATAAACATACAACATCACCTGATTCAATCATTTTTGATTTACAACCAGATCAATCCAGATATTCATTTGCCGAACTACAAATTGTAGATTGTCACAGACCACGTACAAGTCAGCACAGATCTGTGACAATTACTTGGGTGATACACCATCTGTAGCATAGGTTTTTTTGACAATCAATTGTAACAAGTCGGTAAATTAAGCGACTGCTTTAAAGTTCGAACACTAGAAGTCTGGTTAGACTGGTAACATACAACCTTGCTATCTACCCACCCTATACTAGAGTTGTTCTATATGTAGTACAGATGTAATGCTCTCCACAGAACACTAGAAGTCTGGTTAGACTGGTAACATACAACCTTGCTATCTACCCACCCTATACTAGAGTTGTTCTATATGTAGTACAGATCTACTGCTCTCCACAGAACATTTAACCATCATTAGAACCCCACAGACCTGTACTTTATGTATATACAAATCTAACAATACTACAAAGCACCTGTATGTTTATCCTTGTGTGGGAACAATGCATCATCTTCCTGTCACAGTATTCACTACATACATAAGTCATGGTAGCAGATAGTTTGTTTTTATTACTGTTGTCACATCTCTGACACACAATAGTTTTAAATCATCGTATAAAAAGACTGTTACTCGCGTCCTGTAAATATCTATATCTACTGTGACAGTATTCACTACATACATAAGTCATGGTAGCAGCTAGTTTGTTTTTATTACTGTTGTCACATCTCTGACACACAATAATTTTAAATCATCGTATAAAAAGACTGTTACTTGTGTCCTGTAAATATCTATATCTGCTGTGACAGATTCATTACTCACATTTTTTATTTCTACTTTAGGACACAAGACTATTATACACACGGGAAAACAGTGTATCTCTGTATTGTGGCTGGTTGTACGACTACGAAACACAGCTTTGACATATTTAATATCTAACAATGCATATACATATATGTATACAATGTGCCGGATGTAATATGTTAATTGAAATTAATTAATTACACATTAATTTCTATGTTTGACTTTAACATTATATCAGAGAAGAATTTTAAGCTTGTTAGTGTTAATACTGCTATAGCCCATACTAACCCAGTATTGTGTATATATATATATAATTATATCAGATAATGAAATGCAGAAATGTAAGGACTTTTTTTTATTAAATGAAAGCAATGATTATTTTATTTTTATTTATCTTGTCAACCCAACACCGGTTAGTAGCCACTGGACTAGTATACAGCACATTCAGTTATCTTACATGAAATAAACATCAGTAATCACATTGTATCAATATGAGTAATAATTTTCAAATATACCAGTAACTAATTACATGACATGTAATTATAGGATTTATCTTCATATTTTTCACCTAAAACAAACAATGTAAATAGAATAAGGTTTGAAAAAATTGTGAAATACACAAAAATAGCTGACTGCTCACATGAAATCATTCTTTTTTTTCATGCAAAACTTTTCTGCTGACTACACAAGTGTAAATTAAGTGAGAAATCTAGAATGACAAACAGGATTTTAAGGAGTCACCAACTAAATTTGTACAGTCAAAAACATAATTACAGTTAAGTTACAGAATCCAGAACAACTTCTAGATCTATAGCATATCATACCCACATAGCATATTATATCTCCATCTCTAAAGGAGTTCAGCAGTTTAAGGGAGATCCTCCTCTACCTTAACCCTTTCACCCCTATGTAACTTTAGTAGACTCTACCATACATTGATATGGATGAGTCCATTATGGTCTACAGTGGTGAAAGGGTTAAATTAATATTGGTATCTTATGGATGGCAGTACCTTAGAACCTTTCAGGTATGGTTGTTACTGAAGATTTGTATAAGGGTAGTGGGACATACCATATTTTAGGTACAACCCATCAGAGTGGCAATAAACAGGACTGAAGGTTTATTACAATTCCTTATTTCCATTATTTAACAAGTCAATATTTGTAAGCCTGAAAAATGTTAAAATTAAAATGTCAAGCAGGTTAATATGAAAGGTTTAGGCAATTTGTTTCTAGATTCTGTTTGATGTTTATCTTGATTAAAGATTCCTGCTCATTTTCAGTGTTTTTAAGCATTATCCATATTGATGTTCCCAACGAGTGATGGTTGGTTATCATGTTTATCTAACTTTTGTTAGTTAATTTTCCTATTTTACTTTTGCCTCAATGTGCAGGTCTACTTTCAAATTCAAGGGTTTTCCTATTTTACCTTTTCCTTGAATCACATAAAGGTTATAATGGATTGACTAGATGCAGCTAGGAATATATATTTTTTAATAAATCTAGGACTTTTTACTTATCTTTAGAATTTCGTTTTTTCACTGGTGGTCTTCACAGAAAGCTCAGAATTTCTTTGATACTAAAAAATTGTCATTATGCTCCTCTTTCGAATAATATTGCCGAAAAGTCTTACATTGAATGAAATTTGAAAGTACACTAGATAAACAAACCACAGTGATTTAATGCCAGCATATAGTTTGTTGTTCCAGTTTTACTCAGATAAGGGTTAGAATAAGGAAGTTTATTACAAAACAAAACCAACACAGATGGAAATAGACAGGACTAAGAAGGTACTCTTTTTACACAGTAATATTCAAGAGTATCTAATTTTCTCCAGTTCTTTCTACTTAGAAGTCTAAGTGTGTTTGTCACAATGTTCAAATCAGGAAAAACATGCTGAAAATCATATGATTCATCAAAAACAAAAATGTTCGTTAGTTTGTCAGTAAAATGGCATACAAGTGATATATTGAAATAAATAATAACAGAATAATATTAAACTGTATATTCTTATTAAAACTTTTACAACAGGAATGGTTTTCAAATTGAATTTTTTGTCCAACATGGCACCTTGTAATACAGTGTATTTATCGTAAAACGTTCAAACATTGATAAAGATAACATTAAAGACATGTTGGACAAAAGTTTCAGTTTGAAACCCCCCAATAAAGTAGGGTCTGCTCTGGTGATAAATACATGCATTGAACTAACCTTACTAGGAGAAGAATGGGGAGCTACAATTGTAACCGATTTCTTTGTTCCCTGCAAAAAGGGCAGCACACAAAGCGTGAGTTAACCGACTTGATTGTTTGGAGTATATCTTCTTGAAGTATTCAATATTTAATATTACGCATTGAAAAAAATCTTTGTTAATTACAATTTAATAATTTTATGAAATCACTTCCCTTGTGTAGAAAGGAACTCGAGCTCCTTTAACAGAAATAATATGGAGATTACTTGCATTTCTTGCTACCATCTGAATTTTTCTGTTTTTGTTATTTTTTCATCAGGCAAAATAAAACAATAGATCTTGTAATAAAAAAAGTATTGTAAGGATAACCAGTTATGATATACAGCATAGCAAACTTGTTTCTCTAGACCATCACACAACATAAGCCGAAAAATACACATTGGCAGCAGGATCTTCAAACATACAAAATGGTCATCTCTTACAGGCATAATGACCTTATCCAGATGACATGTCAATCATTGCTGACCCAGCTCAGAGATTAAGTGCCAGCGACTAGTGCAGTATTTACCTTGGTGTAGGTGGGTGTGGAAGCCCGTTCTCTAGAGGGCGTCGCCCGGTCCTTGACTGTTTCTGTCTTGGCTGGTGTCTCATTCTTGTACTTGGCAATCCTAGGAGTGGACAGGCGGTCAATAGACTGTTGACTGACCCGTGCTGTTGACCTATCTGGTGTTTTTTCGTGGTCACTTCCTTCAGATTGATCCTCCTTTACTTCTTTCTTCTTTTCTGCCAGTTTCTGAAGCTCAGCTTTCCTTTTTTCTGTGAGTTTTCGTATATCTACACTGCTTCCTCTCTTTTCCTATAAAATATGTTTATCATGTGAAATGAGTTTAACAAGCTTGAAAACCTACAGATTCCCACATTCCTCTCTAAATGGAACAAGTTTTATAAAATTAAAGTATATAATTGCATGTTTTCTAATGCTAAACAGACCCAAGTGTGTACAAATTCATATTAAGAATGCTAGACTGCAGTTAAACAATGAAAAAATTCCACTATCCTAACCTATATTTTCATGGTAAATATTGAAAGTGGTAACTGACCCTGACAACATATACTAGCTCCTGTGTTGGGCTAGTGTACATTCTATAGGCTTCATTAATATGAAACTTAAGTCTGGAGAATCAACTCAGCTTATACTTGCCATTGATTTTGTATTTCTTAAACGTTTTTTAACAGTAAGATTTTCATACATGTGGGGCCGGTGAAAAACATTTTTTTACTCAAATAAGTGATTCACTTTAGAGACCGATTGTACTTTTGCACTTTTTTCATGTTTGATCATCAGTGCATAAACATTCAAACCTACTGACACACGTACTATGAAACTGCAGTAGCATTGCCGAACAAGAGAACTTTCCCATCATGAGTAGTTTTTACATTAAAACGCTAACAATTTAACAGTACACACTTACAATGTGATTCTTATGATATGGCACTGGGATTAAATCTAATACTAACTAATAGCCCTTAACTCATTTACCCCTACATTTTTAAACTGGACTTGCCCAGTCTTTTATTTGGTGAGGTTCAAATGTGATCTAAAGGGTGGAATGAGTTAAGCGTTGTTCCACCAACTGTAAAACATGGCCAACAGGTATAGTATCTGATATCACAGACACTGTACTGTAGGTCAGAAACAGTAAGGATTCAGACAACGTAGATTTCCCCCTTTTTTGGCTTTAACTAGACTTACACTATATTGAGACAAGTGGGCAATGTGGGGTGTAAGACGAAGCAACAATAAAATACCTGAGGGTAATCAAACTACACCTTCCCTAGACATAGGTTATATTATAAACCATGTAAATTGGTCATTTGGCTCAAATTTAAATTCTTGATCCTTTATCTCCACAATCACCTACATTGTTTACATTAACAAACCTTCCCATCCTTTGTGTACGAAATGAAATACCAGCAGAGCTAATTTTAGTATCGTATTACAGGTAATTCATACGGAAATAAGACATGAACCTCTCAACATTGAATTCCAAACTTCGAACAAAATTTCCAGACACACCCAACACAAACACCTGTGTCAGGTGTAGTAGAACCTAAAGTGTCATGACAATTATCATACTGTATCTGCTATATGCCATTGGGGTCTAGTTTTTATAAATTGGAACAAAATGGATACTTGGCTTATTCTTGAATTCATCTCTGTGTAGGAAATGCTATATTTACAGATGTGACCTTCAATGGTCTGCAGACTCTCTTTAATGACTGAGTGGAACTAATATGGAGCATAGGGTTATCAGAAACGGCCTGTACACTCCTACACAAAACACACGGTCACCTTTTTCTCCTGTAGATTTTGTTCATCTTTCTCTCGTTTTGGAGTTGATCTCGACGGTGTCTTCTGTCGATCTGAGGAGAAAATAATGATGACAGTAGAATGGAGAGTAGCCTGACGTATTGTCATGAAATATTTACCAGACCATGTCTACAAGACAAGTTCTGACGGAGGAATGTTACAAGGATAATCCACTCAGTTTTCTTCAACAAGGCACAAGATATTCTGATTGAAATAAGGCAATTACCCAAGCTTTATCAATATTAATTTAGTCCCTTATGGCAAAGATTTTACAACAGACAGAAAATCAGATACCAGTATGAACTTTGTATCAACTACTAGTCTTCTAAGTAATCAGATTGAACTGAGGTATTCACTGTTACCACCATGCCAGTCTCATCAGTTCCATTTTTATTCCCAGAGCTACATCAAGCCCAGCAGATATCCACATTATTAGTCTTCTATAAGTGAAACAGAGGTAACATAACATACAAGTTTCTTAAAGTGTTTTTTTTTAATTCATTATTCGGCCTTAAATATTGAACGATGAAAAATGTTCTGATTAAACCTTGCATACATCATTACCCCCTACAGAAGGTAGCATCTACTAAATTTAAGAATTCTATCTCAGGTGTCAAAGTCTACGACACTAAGGTGAAGGGGAAGTATATGTTTTACTTTATATAAAACACATCGTTTATCTCAAAGTTTGTTAACCATGGTCCAAACAACTATGACATTACATTACAAGAGTATACTGCTGTATTTAACTGTCCTGTTTCTTTGGTATCCTAGTCCTTACCTCTGGCTAGTCTGTCCGTGCTCTTGCTTCGTGAGGTTCCCTTGGGAGTTTCCATGGAGATGAAGCTTGGTACAGATCCTGCTATACTGGCTGGGCGGGGTTTCCTTGGGGTTGTCTTGGGGTCCCTCAGTCGAATGTTTTCCCTAGTGCTCAGGTTCATGGTGCTCTTAGGACGGGTAGGGGGAGTGCCACTCGGTGCTAGAAAAGAGCGACGTTTCTTCGTGGGACCTGCCTCTGGGATTGAGTTTAACACTGCCATGGGGACATGGTCAGATGATTGTGTGCCATGGAATCAAAGTGCCGCCAAAACCAAACCAAAAGTAGTCCCATCCAGTTGGTTGTGGGGTAACCGGATGGGTAAATTTGGTATTGATGGGTTGATAAGGATGAATGGATTGGTAAATGAATGGGATGGGAGGAGAGAAAAGGGGAAAAAAGAAAAGAAAAAAGACAACATCAATCCAAGGTTCACAAACAACATGAGCAAAACTGGATAAAGTGAATAATAATGGGTATAAATTGTTATGTTGTAAGCAGTGTCCTTCACCTCTGGGTGTTAAACTGCTGACCCCTGTCAGGGTCATTCCCTCATATAGGTAGTATATATTAGGCATTAGTAACAGTTACATGTCTGGCTATAGGATGCATATGCAGAAATGTTCATGTGTGCCACAAGATTCACAAGTTATGAAGTCATAAAAATAGTTGTAATACACTGCATGTCATTACTGACAAACTAATAAACGTTCCCAGTCATAAAACATGAACATGATTGTGCACACATTAACCTTTTCACCCCTATGTAACTCTGGTAGACTCTACCATGCATTGATCTGGATGAGTCCATTATGGTCTACATTGGTGAAAGGGTTAATGCTCAGGCTGTCATTAAATTGGTTACCAAATATAAAATATTCATTTCAGAGACTTATCCAATTTTTCTTAATTATTTTCAATAAATAATGTTTTGCTTGTTTCTAGAAAAATTTGCCAAGATAGAGAATCTTGTGACACACACCTATTGATCGACTACATGGTTTACTGTTCTATTACGAAACCTGTATGCTCATGAATTTTTAAAATTTCATTTACGAATATTTAGAAACGAACTTGATTCGACTGAAATAAAATCCTAACTTAATGTTAATGCACCATTTCGTATTAATGGCAATTTATCAAAGTTACGTCACGTTGACGTTACACACTGTCAAGTTAATTTGAAAAACAAACCGACGTCTGCTCCAGACTGTTTACATGATGGTGGTATCCGCTCATTGATTTATATACTGCAGATGTTTTCACAGTATCGATCAGGTTTTACCTGCACCGGATGGCCTTATATGGAAGCCAAGGTTCCGTAATAGATACAGCGAAACAGTCAGTCACATTCTACAAATTATACCATATTTAATGTAATAAGCACTCCACGTTCTGCCCTCCCCAATATCATAGTGGTCTTGTATTCCATAACCGGCATAATATACCATATATTTATAGTGTTAATTCTTATCTGATGCAATGTTAATGATTTTCAAGTTGTGCCAGTACTTCTTTTCTGTAAATTTTCATATGCCAAGAATTATGCTATTGTGGTTAACATAAGATTGGTTCTGGTTCAGTTTAGACAGATTTGGAGCAAATCAAACATGATCCAATTTTTTTAAATAAAATTAGCAATGCTGGTGAAGACTGTTTCATTGCTACATAAACTTCAACTCACAATTCTATTCTTTAATACATGGAGTGTTTATCGTGTCAAATACGGTATTTAATGCATGCCTTCAGACATCTATATATATATATATATAGTTGTAGTTATATATTGCAACATTCATCTAAAATAAGGAACAAAATGCAGCAAGGCAAACATGCTTTAGATGTGTAGAAATTACCATGTATGTATATATATGTACACAGAATATCTTGGGAAATCTACATAGGCAAATGTTATTGTATCTGTAATCATGAAGTGGATTGAAACAAGGGAAACATCGTCCAGGCCCTATGACTAATGAATCTGACGTACAAGTACTGAATGTTAATTCAAGTGTTCGCTCAAGTCAATGGAAATTCATGTTTTCAAATTACTGAATTAATGAGGTATATTGGATATTTAAAGGTTTTCAAAATTACTTTTTTTTAAATTCATTTAATCAAACTACCATTTACATATAGCTACACAAACATGCTTCAAATAGAGTATTTCACATTTTCATTTCCAGAAAACTTACACTATAATACAGATCTGTAGATTTTACTATGATGCACTTTACAAAAACATTCTTCATCTATTGATCAAAAAGTTGTTTGTTTTCCTCCTCCTTCCTGATTTACAAATAATTTAAACCTCAACAAATCCCTCAAGTATTAACGCTAATATTCAATATTTTTTATTTCTATTTTATTATCAAAATGTTCTGTTTCCCATCCTGTTTTCAAGTTTTAGATGAATCTGCGATAACATCACAAACAACGTTACTTTTTTGTCATGTTTTTAGTACCACTTGGCCACCGATTGACTGATAAAAAAAACAATGAAAGTAAAAATCGATCCAAATCAGTTCTCTAGTTGACCGTGTGAGAAGTTAGGCTGTTGACCCCAATGATAAGATATTAACTGGCCGTTAATTATTGATGGGAACTTCGGGTTATGATATTACTCGGCTATAACTCACTTTCAAACCAAGTGAATTATGCATTGGTGATGTTTTATGGGATGTGGTGTCAACGACAACATGATCTGGTGAAGTTTAGTACCATGAACTAGCTAACACAACGACACAATGTGTGACACATTGAAATGAGAAAACACAACAGCTAATGATAAAATTAAAAGATTAAAAAATAAAAGTGAGTAAAAGTACAGAAAAAATAACTGAAATGTTACAAAAAATAACCTGTTATGGTTATCAAACTGAACAAAAGGAATAAAATAGAGTTACCAAAACATGTAAAAATTATCCCATTCATCTACACAAGACTCATCAGTAACTTAACTCATTCACCCCTGAAGACACATTTGGACTCTTCCAATTCAAAGGTTGGAATAGTTCATTATGAAATTTCAGGGGTAAATGAGTTCAGGGTTCTTTGAAAGTTTCCTTAGAATTATTCTCGTTCCAATTTTTTGCAATGGAGAATTACGGTATATAACAATCAGTGGTTAACGGGTAAATAATCGTTAAATACTACCTAGAGCTAGGACTTTGGATATTTCAAGGCATGCAACTTGCATAAGTTTCATCATGCACATTAGTAACATAATACTGCTGTTTAACATAATAACACTTGTTTGCATGACAAAATGTACGTCAACATTTCCAACAATCAATTATATCTACATAAATCATAACATTTATAAAATGAATTAATAAAGATGCATATCATTTTTAACATGCATCATATTTCATCTGGATTTTTTTTAAATATGACACACAAAAGACAAACACAAGACATTCAATATTGTTAAAACTATTTTGACTAGTAAATCCCTTCCCAATTGTACCTGTATGCACTGTATATGAAAAATGTATGTAAATGAAATACACCCCACCCCCCTCTCCTGCTCCCAAACCAAGTCATGAATATCTATGCCATCCCCCCCCCCCCAAATCTTTTCTCCCCAGTACTTTAAATTTTGCACGAACGGAGTGTTTTAGTATGACATCTCACCATAAAGGGAAACCCAGACACTACAGATAGCTTGCTCACTCTTTCCTATTAAAGACCAGCCGCAATTTTCACCTATGCATTAATGGATTTCCCAGTTTTAAATATTGCTTGCCCAAATATGTGATTTAAAGCAAAGATATAGCCTTGGCCCAAAGTATGAAAAGCCTGGGCATCTTAATATGATGTTACTCTTTGTATGGAACAATGTTTTTGTCCCAATGAATCCTTAGTATTCTATATTACTTTAAAACATTTTACAGTTTTATCAGATCTTAAACTTTCAACAAACTTTCTTATCTTAAACATTTGTGACAGACTTGTCCTACAATTGAAACTCAGAATGTCAAGTTGCTGTAAAGATTGGAGCAGTTCACTCCTATAACAGAAATATAAAATATCTCTCAGTTTGCTTTTGGAGAAGTGGGAAACAATGAGCAGATCCTATCTGTGGATAACATACCGGATGCGAGTCTGAAAGGTCACGTTTCCTACCCATATAAAATGTTTGAATGTTTATGTTCACTAAATGTTCAATACAAATCTATGATACTAATTATTCCACAATTTATCCTTGCTTTCAGCTAAAATAGTTAAAAAAAATGTCAGATATATTTGTTTTTCATCTACACACCAGTCTTTTTAACATTGCTTTTTAGATTATCTTGTGATTATTTTATCATCAAAGTGTGGTTGTGATAATGGACGAATACAAAATGTATTAAATATTTGTTTCTATCAATATATTGCCCTAATGGTGGGTTGCTGTGTATGTCACTAAAAAGTCTCACTAAACTATGTATGCCTGGCAACTTTGATCACTATCTTCATGTATGAACATCATAAATTCAAAAGAGCACCTATCTAAAATTTGTTCCTAGGGCTAAATGTCTGATACACAAGAATCCCAAATTTGAGGGCTAAATGTCTGATACACAAGAATCCCAAAATTGGCAATCATATGAGAATCCCATTTAATCGAAAGATTCATCCCCAAGGTGTAGATTAGACAATAACAATGTTGAATGTAGTCTGTTTCTTTAATGCAAAATTAACCAATCTGTGTTTTTTGACAGAGGACAATTTTAAGCGGCAATTTGTTGAAAGGTGACACAAAACCTTATATCAGTGTTATTCAGCAAAAACCAATCTCAATACCATATTTTGATAATAGAGGACAAATATAAATGCTCTATTTTGTTGAAGGACATGCTAGATACTGTAAAATACTAAACCCTTATAAATACTATATTTTGCTGACAAAGAACAAATCCAAATACACAAATGTTTTTGCCAAGGCCGAACTTGAATACTAGATAATATTGATGGAAGACTGACCTTAATACTAGATGCAGCTGAGAGAGAACTGAAGCCTAAGTTATATGTTGTTCATAGAAGAGTGACCCGTAATACTAGATGTTGTTCATAGGAGAGTGACCCATAATAATAGATATTGTTCATAGAAGAGTGACCCGTAATACTAGATGTTGTTCATAGAAGAGTAACCCTTAATACTAGATGTTGTTCATAAAACAGTGACCCTTAATACTAGATGCTGTTCATAGAAGAGTGACCTGTAATACTAGATATTGTTCATAGAAGAGTGACCCATAATACTAGATGCTGTTCATAGAAGAGTGATCCGTAATACTAGATGTTGTTCATAGAAGAGTGACCTGTAATACTAGATGTTGTTCATAGAAGAGTGACCCTTAATACTAGATGTTGTTCATAAAACAGTGACCCGTAATACTAGATGTTGTTCATAGATGAGTGACCCTTAATACTAGATGTTGTTCATAGAAGATTGACCCGTAATACTAGATGTTGTTCATAAAAGAGTGACCTGTAATACTAGTTGTTGTTCATAGAAGAGTGACCTGTAATACTAGATGTTGTTCATAGAAGATTGACCCGTAATACTAGATATTGTTCATAGAAGAGTGACCCGTAATACTAGATATTGTTCATAGAAGATTGGCCCGTAATACTAGATGTTATAGGAAGAGTGACCCAAAAGTCTAGATGTTGTTGATGAAGATTGAACCACAATACCATATATTGTTGACAGAAGAGTGATCCTTGAATACCACATCTAGTTGAGGAAGACCAAATCCCATCACTTGGTGTTGCTGATGCAAATACAAACCCCAAAAATAGATGTATTTCACGGAAGAGTGACCCTCTACACTAGATACTGCTGATGAAGATTTTACCCTTATAAATGTTGATCTTTCTACAAATACAGGATCTGACTGTATGCTAACGTTAGATATCCTGAACTACATTTTTCTATCCTACGAAGAACAAGGACGCCACATGTACAGGACGTCTGGAGACAGCACAGTTGACATTGTAGGCTTACCAAGGAGAGACTCAGCAGGTCTACCCCGAACACTGAGATTTCCACTCGAGGAGAAATCACACTTAGACGAGTGATATAGGGCACCTGTTGACACGGACAGGAGTTTGGAAGGAGGACTAGATCCCGGGTAGCCTAGGGAGTCAAGAAACAGGCAATGCAGCAGGCAAAACACGCAAATTAAACAAACAGAATGCATCTAATACAACAAAATACAGTCATCAATACTAATTCAATGCAATGGAAATCATTACATCATTTCTAATTCATATGCAACAATTTTATCTCAGTGCCGATTCATATGCAGCTCCAGGCAGAAAAGTTACATGTTAATGCATAAAATGCAATTATATTTTCACAGTTAGTTCTTGTCTGTCTATAGAGCATTAGCCATTATATACAACTTTGCAATCTATTCAATATTGCTGAACTTTTATAAAAATATGAATTCAAATCATCTTTTGTGTGAACATGTCTATAAAGCACATCACATTATTAGGCTTCAATAATATCAAATTACAATACACAGTGGCTCATTGATGATGAAGCAGTTGGCAAATGTGAGGTTAAATTAAAACGGTTTTGCAATATAAATACGCTTATACTTCTGCTATCATGCATTCATGCCACTGCAAATTACTTGAATTTTTCTTTACATTACACAATATTATAAAATAAGATATATGGAATTATTTCCATGTTTCTTTATCAGTATATCTGTAAAGTATATATATCACATCAGCTTTTTACGATTATTACATCTCAATATTTTAGAATACTGTACACTAAATTGAGGTTAGCATGGTTGAAACACAACACCTTGGTAGAAGATTTCTGATATAATTTTTTGTGAAGATAGTTTGAAATCTAAAAGTGCTTTATTTTATTAGATAAAATGTAAAAAAAATATTGAAAGATATTTTGCAAAGTTTATGAAATTCATAGAAATTAGATATAAGATAATCTTCAACAATGTTAGTACCAGCTAAATTGTGTTTAAGTACATCTGTGCCTAGTTTAGTATGACGGTATATGTCCCTGTAATACTGCAGCATGTAGACTCGGTAACCTAACCTAATTGGGATAAGTGACAAGTTCACAGTGGCCTGCCCTTTAGTATATATAGTAACAATGATACCGCCACTAACACATGTCAATGTTAATGTCAGAAAAGATGACATCACCCCAGGCTATCCATCTCGCAAACTAGGCAAAGCTTTTAAATTCTATTTTTTTTTTTCCCCTCATTTTGTTTTCAACCACAATTTCATAAATTAAACAGACATTACTGTTGATAATTTTTATTACATTTTGTTTTTATAACGTGACTTTTTCTTCCCATGAGAAATTTGAATCTTCAAATGTGCAACTACGTGCATTTTGTTACTTCTGATTTACACATCTCAACAGCATATTTCTGATGGTGTACCATGCTCGCCTCAATAGCATTGCACACCAGCACTATGAATTGATGATAACTTAGTTTTCATGATACAACATGTCTATAAATCAACCGATGTATATTTTGTATCAGTGTAAATAATGTTATATTTTAACAATCAAAGGATTATCAATTTCATTTTGAAACTTTGGTAATTTTCATTTAACAGTTTCATCAATTCATGAAGAAATAAGGCTATATATCTGTGCTAAACAGCCAAGATACAGTAAGTTAATAGGGATTTATTTTTCTGCAAAACAATTTAATTTAGAATACTGGTGTGATACCAATTTTCTTTTTTAATTTTATTCATTCGTTAAATTACTCTAAAATCTAGTTTTCATCACATATCATAAATCTGAATGTTAGCTCTTTTACCAATGCATCTAGTTAGTAATATCTGTGTACACTGCAAGTTGTCTAAACTACGACTACAAACCACCGAAAGCAGAAATTTGGAATGGCGCATGTGTTAGTAAAAAAATCCAGGAATATATATGACGGTTAAATAAATATATAGGAGACAAAGTAAAGGCATACTGAAGGAACGTCTAGAAAATAAACCAGATAGTTAGCAAGAGTGGGAAATACAACATGTCAAAAAAACTGAACATTGCATGCCGAAAAACTGAAGCTCTCTCCCCATCCTCAAAATTTGGGTAGGAAATATTGGCAAGAATTCTGACAGCAAGGCTTTGATTCTAAAGTCAGGGTAGCACCTTCTTCTAAATAATAAAGTATTTCATTACAGAGAAGAATTGGAAATTTCTGAATAATGAATTATGATAAATATTTTTCTGTGATATTATTGAAGCTTTAGACCTGAGGTATAATGGTTTTCATTCAGTATCATGTAAAAAGAACATTTTATATTTTCAAATTATGATTTCACTCATAGGCAAAATAGAAGATTTTACAACAGAGTCACAGAACAAATTGTCAATTCATTATCATATCTTGATATATATGTAAAATAATTTTCAATTTATGTAATTACAAATTACAATTATTTTTTAAAAATACTTTTTTAACAGTTTCTCTCTATATATTATTTATCAAAATTGCAATGTAATAAAATATAAACTTTTGTAAAAATTTATAAAAATAAAATCCCAATGCACAAAGTTTTTTTGGGTTTTTTTTGTAAATTTTAGAAATGACATGTTGCAGTGTTAATGAAAAGAAGAGCACATACCAGTGAGGCGATTAATATCAATACAGCAGTGCCGCCTGACCGTGCTGCAGGCGGACACGGCCCGACGCTGGGGTCGCCACGAGTCCGAGTCAGACCCGTTAGGAGAGCGACGTATAAGCGCACTATGAGACGATGAGCGTCGGCGATCTACTGGCTGACACACTTCTCTAGGTGTACGGCTGCCAAACCCGTACACCAAGACTCGCCCACCTTTTCTACCACTCGCCTTCCACTGCTCGTACCGGGTGATGCGTTCCTGCGACTTTTGGATAATGGACTCCTTCCTGGCCTGAAATACAAAAAAGAGAATATCAGCATTCATAGTTCTAGATTTGTAATAGTGTAAAATTCAACGGATGAAAAATAGAACAAACTACTTTGAAAAGGAAGATATTTCGGCGTTTTATATTCTTTTATGGAATTTAAAAAAAAAAATCTAAATACTGGTAATTTTAATAACTAATACAAAAGATGAAGATAACCAATTAAAACAAGTACAAAGCTTTTTGTCTACTACTATATATCAGAACCTTTTTACTAAGAACAGTACACTGAGCACCTATATTCACCATCATGATGAATTTTGCCCTAATTACGAATCATAGATAAAAAATTAAACAGAACATTTCCAGCCAGTGTACAGCATGATCTGTTTGTATCCAATTAGAACTGGACTCAACATAAATGTATAATGAATCAAACTTAATGTAAGATTATTTTTAATCAGTTTGAAAATATTGCTATCAAACTTTATCCAGCACTATAAATGTATCAAGAGGCATCGACATATCTCTATAGGTATTATATAAACATGTCATTTATATTCTACTTATCATTCTATACTATACACCAGAAATGCCTTTCTTTCCGTGCTAAATATCCTCAAAACCACTAATATTCTTTTCCTTAACTTTACGGAGATTTCATGAAATGGAAATTAAGCCTTCTCACACTTGACACTCCTCTGCAGCATCAGTCTGATGTATGTGCAAGGTTTTCATGAAATGTCTGTCAAGTGACGTCAATAAAAAGGCACGATATGAAAAAAATCAATAAACTTTGGTAAATTGAGTTTGTGTTACAAACTTGATTCGGAAAGTGTCACAAGGAACACGTTAGCTGTGAACACAGAGAAACCAACAGATCTATACGGAAATGTTTAATCCCGAACTATTTCCCATGAGAAGCAGCATTTTGTAGCCTGTAGAATCAGTTCGATTTTCTGGCTAGTATAGCACTGAGCAACATTCCAAATTAACGAAATTTAACGCAGTTCTGTAATACAAGCCAGGTTTAATCCTGCAGCAGATTTACAATGGTGTTATTAGATAAGCCACACTGTAAAATACTGTTCGTTTTCATTAGCATGGTCAGAAGTTGGCATTCTAGACACTAATATCCACTGTATCAACATTTGTTCAGTAATAGAAACTGCACCTATACTTCTAATACTTCTATGCATTATTCATTTAATTCCTGTTTCGTGGCAATAAATCTGCAGAGCAATCCACAAGTAAGCATGTTATGAAGACATGACCGAAGACTTTCAATGCAAAATCTAATAAAACAATTGCAGATATCCCTGCCGACAAACACAACATTGTGCATGATCCCTTTACCATAAACAGGAGCAAGGCACACAGTGTATTCCACAAGGATCTTACATGTCGACTCACCCATCATCCAACACATATGATCTAATCCTTTAAAAACATCAATACTTCCAGAAAAATCTAACCTCTTCCTCTGATTCATCCGCAAACGATATCTGTCGGACCATCCGAATTTCAGCCATGTCTACATACACCGCCCTGTTCAACCTGTATTTTGTGTTCCTAGCAGGACTTATACCGAATCTACACAGTACTGGAATTTCTCCACGAACTGTTGCTGGAACAACCCTCTCAGCAAAAGACAATGGAATTTCTCACCAACCATTCATTACACATTCACCATGACAAACAAAATGAGTCACTCCCTTTCCAACTCCATGCAATAGCATGCAACATAGGACTGGGAGACCTCACTGATATTGGAGCGAATGCCTCTACAGCGCTTGCCCAGGGATCAATCCACCATAGTAATTACTGTTAATTGAACATTTTCTAAAGGGATAGAATTTGGAAGTAGGTGCAAAGGAAAGACGAAATATAGATTTGTTTGTGCTGTACTTTTTGTTATAGCCACGCAAGAACACTGGCCTGAAGATGTAATTCCGGGAGATGACTTACGCATGGGCTGTAATAACACTGGTTTGAGATAAGCACACCTAATCAATACACCTAGGCCATAGAAAAATCAATTCTAGGTCACCCATGCATACAAAACTGATCTAATTTTAGTACTTTTTTTTTCTAAAAATGTCTGTGAAAAGGGTATCCTATTTAAAATATTCATAAAGGTTTTTTTATACATTGTATTGTTACACCGACACAGATTTGGATTTCCCCCAACACCTGTATCTATAAGTCAGTACTGATTGACTGTTGACTAGTTCATCCGTCATCCTAGTGAACCACATGATGTACAGCAGCTACAGATAAGGAGATGTACAGGTGAATAAATCATACTAGTTTCTTGTCCTGATCAGTTGCAGTGTAAAGCAGATCATGACTAACAGATCAATGAAAACCGAGTCCTGTATGTAATCTGCCTATACATTTTCATTCATGAGTTTATGTTTCAAAGTTTTCCAAGCAATTCAAAATTTCTATTAACTTAGCAGTATTTTTTTAAATCTGTATATTAGAATTTGCAACCTTTTACAGTAAAACGAAAATGTCAGTAACATTCATAATTTACAGAACACTTAAAACTGTTAATTTTGCCACCTTTACATACAGTCTTTATATAGATTCCTAACATTGAAAGATGCATCTTTGAATCATTAACCAGGTATCAAAAGTAAAGAGGTATTTCTAGACCGGTGGTTTTTAGCTAGACATTTTTGACGGTATAGTTTTAGATGAGTGGTCACTAAGGTTGGTTTAACTAGTTAGGAACAAGTAGTCCTTAGGCAAGTTTAACAATGCAGAAACGGAATGACTTTGTCTCTGGTCCCTATCTAGTAAATTAATTTTATTGATTACTTACTTATAGGTTGAGAAATGCTTTTCACACTTGGTAATATCTATTTTGTGTTTCACACTTGGTAATATTTATTTTGTGTTTCACACTTGGTAATATTTATTTTGTTAATATTTATTTTGAGTTTCACACTTGGTAATATTTATTTTGTGTTTTACTTATAAGCCAGTTCTCCTATCTGTACTGGATGTTAATTTTCCTGTAACTTCCGGTTCATCTACACACAGATGAACTATATTAGACTTCATTTGATGGGATCAACCTATTAAGTTAATCCAATCATTTACCATTCTGATCAAATGAAAAAATCCAATCTTGTATCAGATTCACACAGAATGTTACTATACTGGACCATGTACAGTCATTCACTTGTACGTTAAATTTCAGCAGCAGCAGTCAACATGAGGCGATATGCTTTATAGTGTTGCAAGCTGTCACAAAAAGATTATATTGGAACCCAGCAGCACCTAAACAATCATTTCTCTCTTTTTTCTCTCTATAGGATAAACTGCTTTCCAGGTAGCAACCAGGGGAGCATATGGAAAGGTGTTAATGACACACGTCTGCCAGCGGCCCTCTTTATATGTACCTAGCTTAACAACCAAATCAATAATCTGCTGGCCTCTCATACAAACATGTGGCGGCTGGGATTTTATTTTTTTCCTGTCCGGTAGCCATCAGTCTGCCACATATATATACATATATATATATAGATTAGTCTCACATGCAACACTTGTTTTTACATACATATCTCATCGCCATTCCCACATGTATATTTATACCAAGGTTTCCAAAAAATAACAATTGTCTTTTCTTTGGAAAGTTATCTCCCTTTTTCTCTTCTATATAAATCAATATTACTAGCTTCAATAGTCGTTGCCCATAAAAATATTATATTTGCTGCATTTAAAAAATTGGTTAGCATAACTTAGAGTGCTACACTACCAATACCAGATATGCTGGTTACATAAACATCTATAGTTATTGTAATTCCTACATTCTCTAGAAAAGACAACCTTACTGTAAATTGCTATCTTTTATCTACCAATGTAAAGAAAAGCTGTCAGATCAATGAAAAATACGTCCATCTTGTTGATTTATCGGAAGGGCACTAGCAGTTTTTTATATTGATTTCCAAACTATTATCAAGAGTGTGTCATCATGATGTCATCAGGAACAGTGGTAAGTTCCAATGCTATCATTGAATACCTTTTTTAACATGTATACATCATTTAACTTATTCCCACAACATTTTGCCTACCTGGATTTGGATTTGCGTGACATCATTGATCCCCACTTAACCCTTTCACCACTGTACACCATAATAGACTCATCCAGATGAATGTATGGTAGAGTCTACTCAAGGTACCGAGGGGTGAAATGGTTAATAGTCTGGATCAGTCCCTATGATGTGGACGATCGTGTCCATCATCTTCCAAATGGTAGTAATAAAAGAGACCTGACTTGCCAAATTAATACAATTACTGTAGAACATACATATACACACTGCATAGAAAACCCCATTCATAAAAGGCTCTTTGATGCCAAGTCACTTAATGTCACTTTACTATCTTTATGTTCTCTTTATCATGTCAATGTAATGAAATAGAAATCTTAGTTTGGAAGTCATTTTAGAAAATCCAAATCAATCCAATACATACAGGAAAAGAACGAGTAATTGAAGACTGCTCCTAAGAAACACAATAGCTTGCGGCTAACGCCTAAGCTAAAAACTGCATAAAATATAAATTAAAGATTTCGTGAAAAATCCAAATGTACCTAACTACAGTCCATCCATCTGAATTATTATTTTTTTTCAGTTTTTGAGATGTGGAAAAATATCCAACCAATATTTACATTTCTAATCTCATTTTCAAATGCTTGATCCTTTATCAAAAACAACTAAATAACTTTTGCATGACACAATTTCCCACGTATTACTCTAAAACATTATAGATTATACATATTTTAACTACATCAGACATAGCTGGAAGATGTTTTTGCAAACACAGCTTCCATTCAATTTGTGATATTAGGGGTCAGGTCATAGAAAATGCAGCAAAGTAAAACGAGGAATTATTGTAAAAAATGCTTAGATGTTTCATTCACTCCAGAAAAATTATAATCTACATAAATCAAAACCCGACTAAATGTAGTTGTTCAGCACTTACACACGTATACAGGAGCCATGTGTTCACCTCCATGATATACTGACCTCAGGGCTAACAAACAATTCATAAATATTCCTGTGAAATATTTACATCAATATATTCTCCAGGGGTTAGATCTTCACTCTGCTTCGTTCAGTGTAATCTATGTAATCATTTCCAGAAGCCCTCTCAAACATATACATCTCAACCATATACATGTGTAAATTATAAACATTTCCACATTTCCACATTTTACACTTCAGCAGTGATCTCTATTTGAAATATTGTTGCTCACAAACTAGACTTTCTTCTCCACATCAATAATATATCTCCAAATTGAAAACCATGACTTTCATTTCCACATAAACAATATATCTTTAAATGAAAAATATTCTTGCTCACAATTACGATTTCCTTCAAACTGTTGGTCTGTGGTTTCTCAGTCGTCCTTTGTTCCTATGAGCACGAGGTTCTAAGACAAAGCCTACCAAATACATGTACCACAGTTATGTACTACAGCGTTCCTTGTGGGCCAGATGTCTCCCCAGAAGGATGATAACATGACAATGATGGGGCTCAAATTTCCAAACCTGTGTGTAATATGAATCCTATACAAGGAACCTGATGGTTGACAGTCTCAAAATGTCCTGCATGTACAAACACGGACAACTCCGAGGTCAGACCTGTACGGTTTCTTTTTCTGTATAGGTATCTATATGGATCAGGTATTTTAAGTTATAATTCTATGAAAATCAATCGTCATTTAGAAATGATTGCAAGTATTATTTCCTCTGACCCCTTAATATCTATCATAGACCTTCCTGTTTCTTTCTATGGACCAGCCTAATCATGTTTACGGGGGTCTGTGGGCTACAGGAAATGTATTCATCCCTACTTTCTACCTTTCCTGGCATGTTGCCTCCATTATCCGTTTGAAAAGGGTTCAAACCAAAGTGAAGGCTGACTTATCTTGATATCAAAAGACCTTTCTCTGACATTTATTCCACTCTGTTCCAAAATGTTTTCCCCATCGTAAGCTTTTGTTTTGTGTTCCAATTCTAAAACCTTTCACCTAAATTGATCAATAACTTCAGGAATGCTTCTTAAGACCTAGCGATCTATCAATAATGAAGGAATTATATTTCTTCATATCAAAACATTTCCAAAGATTTCAAAATATTTTTTTATTTTTCTATCTGTATCATTTATTTGGTGGAATATTATCAAAAGTCTAATATTCCAAAATATTGGGAGTTGAGAAATGAGTCTTCTGCATGGTTCTCTTTGAGAGAGATTTTGAATCAAATCAATGTTACAGACAATTAAAGTCAATGAACAAATGAGAAGACCAGAAGAAAGAACAGAAAAAGACAACATCTTCGACTAGTAGTTTAGTTGAGATGTCTACACAGACAGACATCACACAATGCCCTGACTGCAGGTACAGAACACAGACAGATGCCACACAATGCCCGGACTGGTACAGATCCGCTGTGAGCTTTCTGTACCTGTGACAGATGAATCCTTATCCACACTTCATCAACACAGACAGGCTTTCCATCCAATGCTCAGCAATTAACAACATCAATGCTGCACAAAAACATTTTCTGCATAGACAAAATTCTTTGCAACATTCTTTTTACAATATTTTTTGTAAGTATCTTGCGTTCAATATTTCTTTAACTTGCAGAGACAAGGCAGACATTTTTGCCTCAATGGGTCCAACACATCCTAGGGGAAGAGAAGATGAAGATTGCACACCAGTAGATACTGCTTGAATATAGAGGAGGTGTCTGTTCATTGACTGCATACCACTGCAGTGCATGGCGAGTGCAGCATCCCACGTGCTGCCAATGTGCCAGGCAGGTTTATCAAATTATTAGCTGTTGGGGGGAACAAATGCATGCAAGACAGAAAACGAACTAACAAAATAAAACCTTCAAATAATATTTTGATAGAATGCCCAAATCAATAACATAACAATACCAGAACCAATAATTAGCTTCATTTTTCAATTATTTGCACGTGTTGGCTCATAATTTTGGCTATTGGCTATTATCTGTGGTTATATACCAATGGTCTATGTTCTAACCCGCTACCTGGAAGATCATGCTTTCCCTAACAGTTATCCCTTTTTCAGTCCTACCTGCTCCGTTTCATCCCTTTTCCTTCGTCTGTCCTCTACTGCCATTCGTCTTTCCTCATCACGACGTCGTAGCTCATCAATTTTGAGGCGACGTAAATCAAGTTGTCGTTCTCGCTTTTCTTGAGCCAGACGTTGCTGTTCTCTCATCTCTTCTATTTTCTTCTGTCGTTCCTCGGCCAATTTTTCCCTCTGTGCCTTTATTCGATCTTCCCTCTCTCGTTCCTTATCTTTCTTTGCAGCATCTATACAAGGAATTGCAAATTTTATCAAATGGAACATATTTTGTACATATAAATTTCCAAAATTCTACCTACTGTACCCAAAACCTACAAGGATACAGTATCATGTACCCCTAATCTAAGTCATAACGGTGGTTAAACATTGGTGTATACATCCCACAGCATACTCCAAATACTACATATCCGGTGTCGAGCCTGTGAACTAACGCTATAGTCTATACTATACAGAAGATGCTTAACCTTTTTATGACTACACTGTCCCACCAGTATTGATCGATGCTAATGCTGCATAGCATATATCTGTCGCATACCAGAGCCTTGGGCAGTCTAGCAATGCCTTGCACACACACAGACCTGCCCTACTGCACAGGAAAATGCATAAATTGGCTGCTACGAGACCAGAATTTGATTTATCCTACATAACCCAACTGCTGCATATATAATTAAAGATGATTATGCAAGGAGTAAAATAATTCAATATGGAAGATACATATTTTGAATAATAATGTATTCAAATCATACAATTATACATATATTTTTACATATCATGAAAAATAAATTCAAACTTCATTTTTCAGACTTTTTAGTTCATTTTTATATAACAGGCATTACACTTATATTCTGTTGTTCCTTGAAGTGCAAAATTAATTTGATTTCAAAATTAACAGTCTGATAATATTACTGATTAATGATGAAGGTAATGAAAACTGATTCTGAACTTAGAATTTGCATAAATTGTGGATTGGATGATTTAGCATTTAGAAAGCTGAAATAGCTGAAAAGTTGTGAGGATCTTAATGAATAAAACAAGTTTTGGTTTTCTATATTACTTTTTTCACAATGAATAATCACAGGGTTTTACAACGAAATTCAATAAAGGACCAAAAACCAGCAACAACAATGGTAGGAAAGGAACCTGCCATCTGGTAATAGCTGTGTGAATACAAAAGTAGAAGTTGTTCAGATTTCTATGAACATCCAACGTGTTCCAACGGTAACAATTTAATTTTTCAAACAACAGCTACCATAAAGCCATATTCACTGTGCAGGTTTCCTTCACAAACAATTTGCTACAAAAAGCTGTTACAACATGTGTACGCTAGAGTGAGAATAAGGCCATGTCGACAGCAGAGCACAGGAGAAACTCTGTATGCAGGACAACAGCTGATACCATCAGATTCTTTTTTTTCGGATTGAAAAGAAATGTGTTTCTATTAAAAAATAAAATAAAATTTGTTTGTTTGCTTTGCCAGAGCATGAGGGATAAAGATGTGTCGCAACCAACTGTTCCATGTGTAGCTACCGTAAAGTGTATTTATTGATCAAGACATTTGGTCAAAGATGTAGTGGCGGGCCCAGATTTCTAGTTAAAGTTTACGTCTTTCCAGCAAGTAGCATAAGATATAGAATTACTGTTGTCTGGAAATAATACTGCTATATCATTATTATAAAACTAGTTTAAAATGCTGATATATTTGAAATCATGTGCATTGGCTAGTTTATATTTGCTGTAAAGGATCAATATATTTTGCTTGTTTTCGATAGTCTGCTCTGATCATGAAGATAGCTTTTGAACAACAGTTGTAATGAAATACTCGTATATGATTATATAGTAAACCATGTAACAAAAGGGGATTAAATTATCTCTATTTTTCAGTGTAAAACACAATGGAATATTAAAACCTATAGAAGAGGATACAAGAAACTGGTAACAGGCATGTACAGTAAAGCTGTGTGACTCTCTAAATGTGTATCTTTCTGTAGTAAAACTGTCATTATCAGGATTGAAAAGATTCTTACCAAATATATAAAAAAAAACTAAAAAAACTAAGACTAAGAAAAAACAACCAAAGCCATATAACTATAGTAAATGTGTCACATAAAACTGATGAATCAATTCAATCTTTCTAGTTAACCCAATGAACTTGTCACAGAGATCCATAGAAGACAATATTGGAAAGTCTATCGTATTCTTTAATGAATCTTTATATATATATATATATATATAGAAAAAATAAAATTAACGACCGACTAAAAAACTAGCTGCTTTCACCCTTCACAGGGCTCTTCAGGTTCTGAAGTTCTGAAGAGCCCTGTGAAGGGTGAAAGCAGCTAGTTTTTTAGTCGGTCGTTAATTTTATTTTTTCTATATTTACTTCCTTCACATGGACATTTAATCACTTTTTATTATATATATATATATATATATATATATCGTAGCTATATGACCATTGCATTGCTGTGAGTGGTACAGTGCAACTACAAGGAACATCCACATCCCAGTCTACAAACACCCTGCCAACACTTTACACTCTAGTCCTTTACCATGATAGAAACCTACAGACACATAGCTCTTCTGCTATAGGAGAGGTGCATGTGTGCTTCAACACCAGCTGTTTGCCTAAACAGAGATACACAAGGCAGAATAATGTTTCAAAGACACTTCCTGTCAGCTACTCTAAGTTTGACATAGAAAACTATACAGACAGTGTATGAAGTAATAAGACCTTACAGATTAGCTACTTTAGGTTAAATACGGCTAAGTAATGGTAGCTACATTTGTACTTTAAGGTTTACCAGAGAAATATGCAGAAAGTATGTATACCTAAGACTATAATTATCCTGCATCTAGTTACTGAAAGCTAAGTAGAAAGTATCAAACAAAAATAATTTCTGAAACATTCAACATCAAATCTTACAAAAGCTTTAATTTCAAAAGCGATTTTCGTAAACTTAACAGCTATTTAAATTTTCTAGACATTCTTGAAATACAGAGAAAGGTTGTTTCGGAAACTTTAATCATCATCACTTATACAATAAACATATCAATAATGAATTGCATATACAGGAAGTTGTTTCCGCGCCCTCCAAATTGCTATACATCGTTATATAAACCATCAATGATAACGGAATCCAGATCATCACATCAGATTATAAGAGTGAACAAGCTTTTTAGTTTGTGTTGCTCAAAGCTCCGCACCTTGGAATGTACAACTAGCCTCTGTAATGGTAAGCTAGTATCTACATACTGTATAGCTAGTATACAAACGTAAACACTGATGGGTATCTATACAGGTCTCCGCCCTAGCTTGGTACTCTAGCCTGTACCATATCTGCAGCATCTGAACCCACGTTCATAACTATTTATGAAATATGTATCATATTCAGTGTATAGTTATGCGTGAGCATGAGTAACTGTTGTTAATTTTTAATCACATCCATAATTATTCATACAATGTGGGTATTTTCTACTACAATGGCAAGCACTGGAGGCTAACAACTTGATGTAGACTGACTAATTGTATAATTGTATAACCCATTTTTCAGAAAAATGTACATAACATATTTTTGCATCTACACTAAATTACCGCTATCGTATATGCATTTACATATACAATGTATATACATTAATTCTGGTCACAGTTAACAGATCATAACTCCAGCATCACATGGTAATTGAAAGATCATTTTAATAGTTCATATCATAGTCGTAATGTTGGAAATTAAAACACTGACCAATTATGGTCACTTCAAATGTTTTTCCCATTTAATGATTTATTGAATTATTGAAATGCTACCTAAAAAGCCTGAAACCTTAACAAATTAATTAAAATTATAAAGAAAATGTACATATAAAAATATTACCCTGCATTCTGTACAGAGTTTTAAACAGTTTCCCTGAACAGGATTTCAGAATAATAATCATGTGTGTATCACTCATAATTTCATTTGACTGCAATGCTGCTATAGACCTTAAACCAGTAGAACTTTACTTCAAACAGAATATTTAAGGTTAGCTATTCATTCAGTATATAATATGTTTGGACATGTTTATATATTGCTAATAATCTACAATATGCTGAGCTGTTAGTGTCTTCTCTGTCGCAAACAACTTAGAAATGTGTCAAAAGGACCTTTTGTTTTTACCGGGGAGGGGGTACTACCTCTTTCACTGGTGTTAACACGACAGCAAAATTAACAATGATGTACAAATTGATGAAACTGGAACTTGTTGGCCAGACATAAATATGCCCCCACTCTCACTTTGATGGAAATGGAGTTAAATGTAGAGTAAATCAAAGGAAATAAAGCTAAACACAAAGTCTAACCAAAGTTTGTAAATCAGAAGTGGATAATATAGGTCACAGCGACCTACATTTGATATATAGGGGTAGTACCTCTAAAAAAGTATCCACATATGATTGAAGTAAGATGACTGTTGAACTTCTGGTAGTAGATCAAGACACTGTACATTAGGGCTGTCACAATATATCGGAAAACAGGTATATCGTATTGTACCACAATACAGAGTTGAAATATTGTTGTATCGCAATACTTTTTTAAAAGCATATTTTCATGTATCTCATTCTGCTTGGTGTTTTAACTTTGCAAATTACTACATATTCTAACAGATATGCCAATAAGCATAAAACAGGCTTTTAATAGTAGTGGTAATCAGTTCAAATTTTGTAATCGATGGCTGGTAGGACAAAAATCTTAAATCTATGTGATCCATATTATTAAGTTTGATAACATTCTGACAACAACTTATTATAAATATATTCATTCTGTATAGCAATATATCGTGATACACTCTTAGCGTATTGTGACACCCCTAGTGTACAGAAGGACTGACATATAAGAGCCCCTACCACTATTAGGCAGTGACTTAAAAATTAAATCTTGATTAAAATAATAAACTTGGAAATCTTGTATGTAAACAAATACCGAACTTTATTGTATAAATAAGTATATTGGTTAAGATTGATAGTAACATGTATATTAAAAATCAAAATTATAGGAGTAAAAACATTTCACTATCAGTAACAATATAAAACAGTTAACACATTATAGATGTAGATATCTTACAGTTAGGATAAATTACATGATAGGTGGAGGCTGATAAAAATCAAGTCTGACATAAAACAAACAGACCCACTTACAACATCAACTTCAAAGTTCACTGCCTGTGTAACATCTGCTCAGGGAATAGCCTCATGCTAATTGATTGCACGAGTAAATCAAAGGCAATGTTAGTCAATTGGTGAAGGTATACATCACATTTGTATCCAGTTGTATTAGGTTATGTAAGCGGCTGGTTGATGAATTTATTTAGTTTTTATTACATGTATACAAATCAAGCTACTGCTTACTTGATGGTTAGCAGGAAGATTTCCCTATGTTATAAAAACAGTTTTATTGACATGCCACGACGAAGACGGTGGCAATAATATACAGCTAGCAACAATAATGCAGCGACATATATAACGGGGGTGGCAGCTTCCATTTTGTAATGAGTCAACTACTTGTGTTGTTCCTAGCTCTAAATCTGTCAAAAGTGTGTGTGCAAATTCCTTATATCTCAAATTTTAGAAAATATATTGCATTCAATTGCTAATACCCTGCTTACTCAAATTTAAGAAAAATATTTAATTCATCATCAATTGCATTAAAAAATATATACACCAACTAAATATAAGACAATGAAATCAAACGTTTATTTATAAATAGAAAAATTAGATTGGTCAGAACAAAGAAACCAAAATAAATTTATCTTAAAACCACAAAAAAAAAAACATGATGTAAAACGTTATTGTTCATGCAAAGTAAATAAATTTACAAAAAGAATTTCATTTTTTTGTAATATTTTTGATCAATTCGACCTTGATTGTAGTTCTGGTCTGATATTTCTAACTTCAAAGAACCTTATCACAAACTTGTAAGCGTAATAAATTCACTATTGCACATTAGGGTTGGACATTAGGCTGAGTAAATAACAGCACCCACCTAACATCACACAGACTGTACACTAACCACACACAGTGTGGAGTCTTACCCAATAGAGAATGTCCTCACTGACAGACTTGCACCAACACCACTTCTCACATAACCCCTAACTTACCAGGCTAGAACTTATAATCCAGTAAGAACCCTGTCTCCACAACATTGAATGGATGACAGACTTTCGACTGACCAAGTGCAACAAATTGTGTAATCTACAGGGCAGATGAAACAATAATTTTCAAACTGATACATTGTAGTACTAACATTTGGATGAAATGCAACTTAATGACAAGACGTTGGACTATCAATTATATGAAGAAGAAACAAGACTACAGAGGGTGTGAACAACATATGTTACCAATGCCATGTACATTTTCTTGGCATAATATGATTGGTTGACCAAGTTTCATCAGAATCAGGTCAAATTATAGTATGGGAACTGTCACACAATCAGAGCGTATAATGCATGCTAATTACGCTACAATTTTGTTCAACTTGAACATGCACAATATTGAAAAGAAAAATATCAGAATCAAGTCACACTCAATGAAGATATTGTGCAGGACTGCCAAGTTTTGAACTTGGACTTGGTCTTCGTATAGTACACATAGTTTCATCAAAATCAAATAATATCTAAGCCAATGATATCACAGAAACATCTTTTAATGATTCACTGACCAAAGTCTTTCAAAATGTCAAAGTAGATGTAATAATTTTCAATTATTTCTGCTGTTATTATGAAATGTGATCAGACAAAAAAGTGTTTACTTGTGCAATGTCACACGATTCATTTTTGGATCTCAGCCATCCTTCATCCTGCATCTGCGTGTTTAAGTTACATGTGATACCTAGGTGACCTTGTCTTTCCCCAGATATAACCTGCGATTTTATTTCCAATGTGTCAAATAAATCCTGCTGCACATGAAATGCCTCAAGATCGATACCTCGACTGTTACTGCAGGAAGAACAAAATTACCATGTAAAATGTTAAAACTTTGCCTTTTACAACTGATCAATAAATGACTCATGTCTCAGATTAAACTCTTCTTCAAAACATAAAGCATTCTCCATTTTTAGATAGATTAAGATTTTATATCTAGCTTTCCATTTATTTTTGGATATATACAAACGTAGATTTATAATTTCGTACTGGATAGCCTTACATGGAATTATTTATGCAGATCTCATCACTGAATTTTTTCAAAAAAATATCTTCTGCAGCACTTCAATGAAATTTCGTGTAGCTTTACGATTAATTATCATATGGGCCAACATTAATTTTTTTATATAGCCTTGTATTGAATTTTTTAACAGAACCATATATTAAAGTCTATATTGTCTTGCATTAATCTTCTTATAGCGTTGTGTTAAAGTAATTTTTAAGTAGCCATCTAGTTTGCATTTTTTGGACAGCCTTGCATATAATGGTTATTCAGCCTTTCCTTGCATTGGCTTTTTTTTCACAGCTGTAGCCTTGTTTTGGAACATTTATTCTGCCTTGCATTATTATTTTCTTTAATATAAATCCTTGCATTGAATTTTGTATAGCATGGCTTTAACAAGTTTTATGTGACCTTGCTGTGAATGCAGTGAAATGTTCAAGTCATCCATACATATAATATACTGATCAAAAAAATAATATCAACAGTAAAATCTAACATCTTTACAAAAAAAAGGGATATATGGGACAAGGAAGAAATTGCAACAGTGTAGATAACATAAAGTTGTCAAATTTTCAGAGGCTCACCATGAGCGATCTGTTTCTTGAAGACATATGAACTAGAAAACATGGAAAAGTTACATTATATAAGAACCAAATTGTAATATTACAAAATAAAATGATACTTCAAAATAGTACTCTGCTACATTACGCAAGGCAAACGTAGTGGTTCCACTGATGGTATATATCTTTTTACTTTTTGGGCAAAAATCAATATATGCGGTTTGTGATTACCGAAGTCTCTCATAGATTTAGAAGGGTCGGCTGAGGCCAAATTAAATGTGAAAAAATATAGCTATGCAGAAATCAAGTGTGCTAATGTAAGTTTACTTTATAAACAAACCTACACAGCTATTAAAATTTTAGAACTGGACGACTTCTGATAATGTCTTGATTGAATTAGTCAACAAAAAACTTCTGTTAATGTCTTGATTGAATTAGTCAACAAACCTCGCTAAGTTCCTCAAGTCTTATTCTTTTAACTGTAATCAACCTCTTATACTTATGATATTTAATGCAAATAATGGATGTATGGGACAAGGAAGAAATTGCAACAGTGTAGATAGCATAAAGTTGTCAAATTTTCAGAGGCTCACCATGAGCGATCTGTTTCTGGAAGACATATGAACAAGAAAACACAGAAAACTTACATTATATAAGAACCAAGTTGTAACATAATAGAATAAAATGATACTTCAAAATAGTAATCAGCTAGAATACAGCAAGCCAAATCTAGTGGTTCCACTGATGGTATATATCTCTTTACTTTTTGGGCAAAAATCAATGATGTCTATGCGGTTTGTGATTGCCGAAGTCTCCCATAGATTTAGCAGGGTTGGCTGTCGCCCGATTAAATGTGAAGCACGGGGCGGAACAATATACGCCCGTCGAATGCCATATAGTGTGATACTTTCTTACATTGAAATAAGATCTGCATCATTCTAAGAGTCGTTAGCTGACATGCTATAGAAAATGTAGCTATCAAAATTTAGGAACTGGATGACTTCTGATAATGCCTTGATTGAATTAGTCAACGAACTTTGCTAAGTCCCTAAAGTCTTATTCTGTTAACTGTAATCAACCTCTTATACTAATGATATTTATTCGGCACTGGACATGTCTTCAATGGTGGTAGATTAATGCATCTGGACCTCCACACTCTCTGTATGTCTGTGTAACATAGTCATTCTCAAAATAACATACATTCAAAATCAGGGGCACAAACTCTGCAAAAAGAAATTAAACAGGGGCACAAACTCTGCAAAATGAAATTAAACTAAGGCACTAAAAATTAAAATAAAACAATTTAAATTAAAAGCAATGCTTTGACAAGTTACTTTAAGCAAGATGATCATGCAAATTGCTATAATCTTATATCCCTTCATCCATAAAAACTTCCACCATCCATTGCCTTGAAGCTGTCAAGTCTTATTCATATTTATCCAGCTTTTTTCTCTCCTAAATATTGGCCCTTTTGATCAGAAGATCTCTCCCATCCCTCTTCACCTTCTAGATTGTTGATTCAAATAAAGCCAAGAACTTGTTGATGTGTAAGTTGATGGATGAAAGGATGAACATTTCTATTACATGCATTAACATCAATAACGCTAACATAAGCATGCAGCAGACAGCGCTAGGCTACATTGAACTCCCATGCCTAAAGCGGTAAGAACACAAGAAGCCCTAACTTGTACCGCAGTAGGGGTTACCAACACTAGGACAATGATCTTCTCTGGCTTCGGTCCTTATCCTAAATATTTAATACTTTTCTCATAAACACCCAAGGTATATATTTTTTTATTTTGCAGTATTTACAAGGTTATCCCCACCTTCTATCTGTGACCTTTCTGACCCTACTGTTCCAACGTATTTCCTATGACCACCATGCTGTTCTTTTGTATCTGTTCAGTACTTTGCTTGGCTATTGAATCGCTGATGATTGAACTATGAGAATTTGCCCTGAAGACCTGCAGAAATTGGTTCCAATTTGGTATGTAACAGAGGTCTTCAAGATGAACTGATCATTAAACGATGAAAAAGAAATAATACACATATGTAGAACGACCAATCATTTACATTACCATACGCGATGCTGAACATAAAGCATCCTGCTAACACAGATCAATCAATATTGCCTGGAAGGCATGACGATGTGTGATAAGGAAAAAACAAGAGCAGATCAATGTCCTTTTGTCGATAATATGTTAATTAAACCAACCAACCAAAATAAAATATAAAGAAACCACCACGAGTACTTTAATTGTAGAATAAAGTATATATGATTTATCCTGGATACAGGTTATATTGGTGATTACTTGCCGACAACCATCTTTCCGTTAACAATCACGTATGTTCGTCCATAGGAAATAAACTGCTGGCCTAGAGAAAAACACAGCATTTCAATTCAACATCAGAGTTCCTGTCTGTTAGCTTGAAATTTCTCTAATATTTCTTCACCCCATCTATATCTATGGCAGGGCTGCCAAGAAAATTTGGGCATACATATACAAAGGTATATATACTGCCGAAGTATGGCCAATAGAAACACATGCAATATACTTATATTTATACCCAGCATTCTCAGATTGATATAACAAGTGTTTGATATTAGTAGGAGTATTTAAGCCAGAAATCAAAACAAACAGTCCCTTGCAATCAACATATCTTTTAGTCATTAATTATTTTCCAACCTTCTTTTAGTTTTTAGGGATATACCAGAATAAAAGTATTTTTCATATTTGACTGAAGAGTTGTTACCATAAAACCTGACACCTTTTGATAATTGAAGTTGGCTAACTCTAACACTTGGTCACACTGTACTGTATAAAGAAGCGTCAGGATCAATGAGGTTTTGTATATTGAATTATTGCTATGCTAATACATTTGTACATGTTATGTGTATAGAAAACATTTTTAGATATATGTGCAAAAATAGCTCACCAACCAATTTCTTTTCTACTGCATCTTTTTTCAACATATTTAGGTAATGATTTCAACAATCATTATCAAAACAAACTGCTAGAACCAACCTAAGCTATAGTCAAATCCTATACAGAGAGCTCTTCTTTTCCTTTCATAAAATAATACATTTCTAAACTTAAGTAAACCTAATAAAACAATTTTTGTCTTTTTATATGAACATCTGTACATATTTTCTGTAAAATTCAAGTAATCGGCAGCCCTGACACTTATATACAACTGCTGTTTAAAAATCTTCGACCACCAGTACAATATCATTTTCAATAGTAAAACCCACAAGCAATTGAAACTATGGCAAATTAAAACTAAAAAGGTGTATATAATTTGGGGAAATAGCCTTCAACATATATATATATATACATGTATATAAATATATACACAAATGTATTTATAAACAAATATAAAAAAAAAAAATGAAAATAGATATGAAAATAAAGATGAAAGCTAAACAAATATATATAGGTATAAAAAATGTATTTTGAATTTTCTTCAAAAATGCAACAAATCCCTGACACTCTTTTACAGTGTTAGCCAATATCAATGCTAACAAAATTAAAATGTGAGCTTTCAACAATGCCAGTAAGTAAAAAAAACAATTGCTATGGTGCACATACAAATTTACAATACCAGAAATCTGATTAATTGATTATTTTCTAGAAAATATTTCTATATTAGTGCTTACTCATTTTTAAACTATGTTCTAAAAGCAAAAGTTCCTGTATTAAAAGTTGAATTTCAAGGCTTCACAAACACACACCAGATTGTTCTTTTTCCCTTATACCTATTTTTTATAGAAAATACTCACCTGACTTTTCAGTGTTTGGACTCTTTTTGCCGGAGCTAGTTGACCCCTGTACGCTACTTGTAGTGGACACACTCATGATGCTATCGGTCATTTTTGCACTGTCCATAGAAGCCTCGTCCAAGGGCACTGACCTTAGAAAGGACTTTATTTCCTCTGGCGGTTTGGAATCAGATGTGTCCATACCCACAACATGATGTGTGGAGTCGCCCTCACCTTTCTCCGTGTTCTGGTTATCTCCCTTTTCACAGAGCTCTTCTACGCTTAAGTCCATAGTGGTAATTCCTGACAAGTTAAAATCCACGTCTGGCACAAGTTTTGGGGAGATGTTCACACCCAGGCTCGGTCTCGTATCATACTGACCACCAAATTCAATAGGAGCCTCCGGTTCTTCATATTTAATGTCTGAAATTACACAGAAAAAATCCTATCATAACTTAAGAGTGCAAAATTCAATTGACAGTATAGAAAATTTATTGATTTAATCACATGCCTTCAGGTATATACAGTTTATATTCATAAAGATATATTGGTGAGATAGCTGTCCGGTCCAAACAACATGAAAACCACTTTGTAAATGTAACTACAGATGGCACACAGAACACCAACATATATATATACATATATATATAAACACCTGAAAGGGCATAAAGATTAACAGTTCAATATAGGCTACCAGTCTAAACAGCACACACACATAAAACTGCGTAAAAGGTAAAAGATAAGAGCTGTACTCTACTCCACTTTTGTCTTGCTGTTTCACATCCTTATTATATATTGTATGCAATATGTAATATGTACTCATGGGCTGTAAGGCCTACAGTCAATAAATTGAATTGAATTGAAAAGGTTAGATCTTATGTGGCTAAATAGAGGAGGCTACCCATCCAAACACTTATCAAAGGGTAAGATCTGATGCGGCTAAATAGAGATGTACCCACAGAGACAGTCTAGACTAACATGACAGTAGCTGTAAGGACCTTGTCAGGGATGGTATAAGTGTAATTCACATGTTTAACTGCAAAAAAACAATACAATTCTATAAACAGTGACATAAATTGCTAGTTATTACAAGAAAATGTCACTTTTCCAGTCAAATATCCAAACATTTCGGATTCGGATTGATACAAGAAGCCCGTTGATCTTGGCACTATTTGATCATAAATTGTCAGCAGGAAAGTGAAGAATGGACAGCTGGGGATGTGGGAATGTGCGTCAGTTTTACGTCCACAATTTATCAGCAGTTTACTTGTTTCAGGAATTAGCAGAAATTGAATACATATGCTGGAGGGAAGGAATCCTCCCACTATATATGTACAGCACCAGGTGTGAAGCCTAACCTCTGTGATATGGCCAGATCACTCCACTAATGAGTGGGTAACCTATCAGCTCTGGTGGGTCTAATTATACAGCTGGGGATTCACCCAAAAACAATTGCATGGCATTCAATTACTCACAGTTACATGTACAGGAACACTACAGTCAATATACCCAACTACAAAGCAGGATCAGGTCAGCCAATGTCACAGACATTTACGTATTTACCCAATATACTGTGCCAACTTCTACGAGGCATTCTTGTATTCCTGAGCTATATGAACATATTTATGTGGTTGCATTTCACAGACAGTAAAATTCTGCCATTTACATGAAAATGTAAATACAAATGTATGCTTATAGAGTACAAGTGCTTATCAATTCAATATGTAAATGGTCCCTTTGATAAAATCTACATGAAAGGGTGTAAAGCATGTGCATAGTGTATGTGAAATCTACAAGGACACAAAAGAAAGTCATATGTAAGTAATATGTGCATGTATGATCAGACTTAACCCTTTCACCACTGTAGACCATTGTGGACTCATCCAGATGAATGTATGGCAGAGTCTACTCAAGTTACCTAGGGGTGAAAGGGTTAAATCATTCAGGTCAGCCACTAAAGAAAACAGAATCACACCTGCAGTTACATTATTATATCACTATCACTATCATATGAACACTTTGATCCATTAATATAAGCATTTAAATAATATTAATGACCTTAGCATGTTAAAAATTTGATAACGCAAAGAGCTTATGCTTGGAATTCAGATCAAATTATTTTCTTTAAGTTTGCAAAAAAGGTTTGATCCAGAGTGTTAATATAGCTCCTGGTCTAGTACAAACCAAAGGTACAGCCAATATCATGTGAAGTCTCATTTCATGTGAAAAAACGCTTAAAGGCTCTAACTTAACCTACAAAATTTGCTGTAGACATTATCTTACATTAATGATGGAATGCAGTAATTCTAGCTTTTGTATGGATGAACTTGCTTGGCAATGAAATTATAACTTTGTATTTTGTGCAAAATTCTTTTGTTTTTATCACAAATGAATAAATATTCAGTAACTATGAACTAAAAAGTATTGTCTGTCTTTTTGGGGACACTGTCATTATCATTGAATATCTATAATAAATATTATTGCCAAATAACACTAGAGCCAAAGCAAGAAAACTGCATGTCTATCAGGTGTTGAGCCTTTGATCAAAATGTGCATACATACTCAGAATAATTAAGCTTCTTTGAACTCCATGTTATTTTCCTTTCATATCCATTTTGAATACACAAGAATTCTATATAATATATTAACAAGATCATTGATACAAACACTGATGACAGTGATGTACATACATCCTTACAGATGCCGACACATTTCAATAACATTGCTAGCCGCCATATTCCACAGAGCTGCATAAATAGCCTCCAGCATATAATAGTATAGGAAAGTAAACTTGTGATGGCCCCACACTCCGATATCTTTGGAAATAACGAAGTAAGCCACGCTGACACCTCCTCAGTATGAATCAAGCACAGCTACCAACATGTGCACAGTTGGTATGCAGAACACGTCTACTGGCCATGTGATCACTAATCTCGGCTGTACATATGCATACTCCATATAATACAGTACATTATATTATAGTTCCCAAAACTAAACAGTGCACAGGAAAATATGTGATGAGGTAGAAACCGGGGGGATGTCTCAAAAGTTGTATGTTGTTCTTCAATTATTGGGTTTCAGAAAGCATACTGCAACAAGGGTTGGTAAAAATGTTTTGAGGAACAACCAAATACAATCCGCCACTCAGTGATACCCATTTTAAGGCAAATCATATATGAATTTTTATACAAGTATACTGTATATTGCATATATATTGCATATATTTGAACATTGAACAAACAAAAATGCAATGTCAAACATCACAAAATACAGAATCATGAAATACAAATATTTGCTGAACGCTGAAAATTTGTTAAAATAACTTACAAGTCTTGGACTGAATCTGCTTTCTGAGTTTCCTGAATTTCTTTTTCTTTTTCAGGTATAGGACGATATTACAGCAAAGACTCATTACAAGCGTGTACAGAAGATTTAAGTAAGAATCCTCCTTGTTAAAGGTATACATCTAGTACCAGTACGTAGACAACACTAGTACATACTACCAAACATAGCAGGCTTTATACCAACTCCAAAACTTAACATGTTACAAATTAATGAGGATGATTATCACTTTTTTCATTTAATTTGGTTTTAATATCTGTGATTAAATTCTGAATTATTACATTAATTATCACACTGTAGCACACTGACCTGTACACCTTTCTGTATTAAATACAGGATGTGGTGTAATTAATGGTAATTAAAACTGACCACTTGATAATCAGATAATTACAGTGATAGATCTTGAGTACCCAGAGGCCACATGATGGTGGAGATGGGCCAGGTCTATACTGCCAGGATAGACTGCCCCCAGACACCATAATTATCTACATATAAACCCCATAGGTTATATACACCATGGTTTATAGTCTCACAATGCAGAATAGCATCAACCAATGACCCCCAGTCTGGCACTTACCAGATTTTAAACAGGAAACAGAACACTTTTTCAGTAGATTATGCATCTTTTAGATAAAATGTTCATTGTAACTTTATGACTCATAGACATCAATGTTGAACCACTCTTCATTTAGAATTAAGAAACAGCAGTAACGGTAGGTAAAATATTGATGACCGGGTACCTGATTCGTCTCAATTTAAAAATTGTTAACTTTTTATTGAATTAATCTGAACTTATAACATTGAAATTGGGAAAAACAAGATCTTCTGTGACATTTTGAACAGAAAATATAGCACCTTTATATCAGGGATAATCCTAGAGGTGGCCATTGGGCCATTGACCCCTCAAAATTAACTGCCCTCTTAATTTTGATATTGACTAAAAATTGCTGAAATGGTCCACTGATTTCAAATTCCATGATTTTCCCTGTATAGATGATACAGACCAAATGACAGAGTGTTTGGTACTATATGGTATACTGGGTGTGCCGGTAATTCTGATCACATATTCATGCTGACAAATACTGCCTGGGTGTGAAAATGCTAATGAGGTAAGAAGGAGCAGGAAAGATGACTCAATGTTTGGCCCATCATGTATATACACATAAGACTAAATTTATTCTGTCTAGCCAAAATATTGGGTGTGTTTATGAATTTATCAATTAAGATAATTTTAATGGACCATTAAACACTTCATAAATGATAAAATAAATTAGGTTTTCCCCCTAATTGTAAAGCAATATCCCTAATGGAGTGTCCAGACTTATCCAAAATTCGGTATTTAAGCCAATCACTACAAGAAGTGGGTGATACTCACAGAGACCTGCCCAAACCAAATATCATCACATCACACTTCTTGTTGAGAGGAATATATTTCTTCTAAATAACACACTCAATTTACAGGAGTGTACAATAACTGGGTTTAAACAGTTTCCACTGTAAATATCGGTATCAAACATTCTCCGGGGGCGATTCTGCAATCAAATATGGTAAAATAATGTGTTTATTTGTAAACAAGTGCCGGAATTACTCTCAATTCGATATCAAAATTTTCCAGGAAAAAAGTAAACAAAACAGATGATAACACTATGTAGCTGCATTCCAGAAATGGCAGCTGTTCCTCCGACACATCCTATAGACTCAATAACACCAACAATAACATTACAGTATATACACAAGCTTTCCCTCTGTTCATGGTGTCTGCCGAACGCCAATGTCTAAAAACCTCTATAGGGTTGTGTTATCTTTGTGCGCAGTTGTCTGGGATGGAGTTGGCTGTATACAATGTAGGTAGAGATGTGACTAGAGTGTTGTTGCTACTGATCAATATTCTATAAGTGGTCATCAGTCTCGATGCACTTGGACTCCGTATGTTTAATCCTACGTCACACGGAACAGGTACATTTTATCCAGGAGTCACGAAATAGCCACATTAATCTCAAAATATTCAAGCACATAGATATAGGCTTTCTTGTTCTGTGACAAATTCAAAGCCTTTTAGGAAATTAACACCCTCTGGTCTGTACATACCTTTGAAGATAAAACAATGTTTTTCTGTACACCAACATGGTGATGCTTTGTCGATCCAACATCCACTAATCCTGATGTAGAAAAATTTGGCTAATACATTCCTGTTTGCTCCCTCATTTGCATCAAGAAGTGAACTATAAGCGTGGTAATTTCCATAACATTATCGTTCCGAAATTTAAAGGAACCAGTAAATACTAAGAGTCCTTTGACAAGCATTAAGAAAGTGAGTGGTGAGGATAATCCAGATTAACTGCACTATAGGCCGTTGTAAATTAACTTTCCTTTGATAATTCCACGCGTGTGCTTTCATTCAATTAACATTGTCATTTCTCCCTGCCCATCAGCCACAATGTTGACCAAAACTGTATTTTCTGTGACTGCATGCATGACTTGTGATTAACAGGTTTTACTGAGTATTTAGTGATAATCGGGTGTAACTGTGACTATCTGCTCTGACAGTGATCATCAAGACTTAGAGTGACTGATAATGGGTGGTAACTTTGGCAATCTGCTGTGAAAGTGACAATATTGGATTTTCCTGACCATCAGCAGCGAGTGCAGTCACAGAAACATGCTGCCATTAATGCTGATGTACTGTTACACCCAGACACTTTTATACCTGGAAACAGAGCCTAGCCAAGCTTTGATGATATACAGTCTTACCTAGTACATATGAACAGCTCATATCCAGCTGTCATCTCCATCAACCAGCCTAGTGAACTTCGTAATGGCAACTTAAATTAATGGACACTAGATCCCACCTTTATTTAACTTTCATCATACCTTTCACACAGTATCAGCCTCTGGAGCCAACTGATGTGGGTAGATAACCTGAATAACCCGCTAAGCCTTTCCAATAATGAAAGGAAACAACAGGAAAACACTAATGATATGAGGTTGTCCATGTACCACGTTCTAATAACACCCTGAGTAACGATCAATACCCTGTCAACTAGCTAGATCCGACATCAAACAGTCTACCATGGCCAGGATGAAATAAATAAGATGGATAGGGCAAAGACAAGATTCTGAATTAAAGGTACAATTTTAATCATGACTGAAAGACGGATTAGGATGAACATCCACACTGCTCCCCCTCCCCTCCAATCAAACCTGGAGAAAATACTGAACAAGGACATTTAACTATATGTTAATATTATATACATAAACACAGATACACAATGTATAGATCTACAACTACCATCTCTGACAGTCACTTATTGGATACATATATAATAAACTACATATGTATTTAACTATTAAAACATCACAAGCTGATACAACCTGTCATAATTTGTTTGGCTACCCTAAACATAACATACAGTGACAGGTTACCGTGTATGTGTGTACACATCCATAATCCAATGTAAGTCACCGAAAATCTCTCCGTCAATAATCTGGGGTATTTATAAATGAACGGCTTGTGTAAATAACCGACCGTCCGACAAGGAAGGATCTTTGAATGTCACAAAACAGTCTCCTGCGTTATTTCATTTAAAGTACATCATTCATGCAGAAAAACCGCCTAGTCAGTGTTATTTCACCCTGCTCACCCCTGCGCTGACCACATTGGACCAGTTGTAGCCGAAACTAATGTATACCACATGGGTCAAGTCTTTTAAACCAACATATTGGCTCTGCCCATGTTTGACCAAATTACTTCCTCTGGGTAGGGCAATAAAGTGTGGAATCCAAATGTTGATACATAGCACCTCAAGCCCAAGAGCCTTATTTTAGCACTTCAAACCAAATTGCCCTATTTGCTTTAAGTGCCCTTTATGTTCTTTAATGCCAAACTCAAAGTCTCAATTATTTGCTGCCACAAGTAAATCATTTAATAGACCAACTTTAGCTTTTATAATTTTTACACCTACACTTCCATATACCTTTTTTTTGGGGGGGGGGGGGGGNAGCCTGAGATCTTCACTTTTATCTCTTTCTTTACCAACATATAGCTGATTTGAAGAAACAGAAACATGACCTAACTGATAATGAAACTCAAACATGAACATCCTCACAGATTATATATTGATGGAAGATTGGAAACCACACAACCACAGGTATCTCTAAATGGTGTCAGATTGCAAGTACAATAAGGCGGCCAACATTTCTATAATTTATGCTCCGTTTTAACCACCCTACACAAATTTTCTCAGCCTTCACACAAGTTTCTATGTATATACAATGCACAATCAACAGCACACATCACTAGATCATCACTTGACACACATGTTACAAGTTTCAATAGATCAGGTAAATGTTTCCCAGGTTTTGTTTTGTTATTATATGGTGCTTGACACAGAATTCTCACCCTGATCTTCATCCATTCAGTACTTAAGATTCTGTGTCAGTGCTAAAGCCTTTTAAAAAGCTGTGGGTATCAAGCAGGCAATATAAATATTGAATCATATCAAATAGAAATGAACAATATATATATCTTTGAAATATTTGGAGTCCCCAACAATAGTTTGCTTCCATCTGAAAAGGTGACGAAAGTGACTATTGTGACATCCATGCCAATTAATACTTGAACACCAGAAGTGTTCACAATTTTCACAGATCAAATTACGTTTATGACAACTTCATGTAGTTTGTAACTTAGTAACATTTGTAATCATCACAGTTTTTGAGAGCAAGATTTGAAAGCCTTTTTTAGACCCCAAGTCATCAAATGTACATGGCCCAAAACATAGAAGTTATTAGAGATATACGTACCCGTCTCAGCTGTCATTCGAACCATACTCCAACACAGGGTAAATTCCAAGGAATGGTATACTGATCACAAGAAATAGAATTTTGAAAGCACAAAATTTCGAAAAACTCACTGGTGACACAACCTGCAGACACAGTGTATATGAGGATTAATTATATATGTTGTATATGGACATATATATAATTATATACACTGTGCACCCGAAAATACAACAGCTTTCTTAACTAAACCTGAATATCGTCTACATCCAACGAAAATCTCTCACAACTCGGACTTCAAATTAGAAAGTGTAAGGATAGGCCGAAATTCTTATGAAGTGTTGCGTTACTGATAGTTTTTCAGGTAATTGTACACCTGAGCGAGCTAAAAACATCCTACAGACATTCTTTATGTAAAGTAGTCTACCCACATTTGCACAAGTTTACGACATATGTTTTTATATGTGATTATGATAATAGATCTACATGACGTAGAAAGGGAGTCCCACCTCTGGAATGTTTACAAATAGATACAAACACAGGACCTTTACTCTCCTAACTCAAGAGAGCATGAAAAAGGGGTCACACTATCAAGTCAGGGATTGGCTGATTCTACTAGATAGCTATAGGACAAGATCACTGTATAATCCCACGACAGAAGATGTGTGCTGTGACAATGGGACCGATTCCTACCTCGAGGACAAGACGACAAACCCTGAACTATGACCCCTGGGCACATTCCACATCTCGTCAGTCAGCCATACCTTGTTATACCTATCACTAGTGACTATGTATACATATACCTTAGACACCACATACCTGGTCCACAGTGCTATGGGTAGTGTTACTACAGGTGACTTAACCAGTCGATGTTCATCCACTTGTACCACCGAAGACGGTGATGGTGGTGGTGATGGAACATAACCAGGTTGTCAACATCTGTCTCCCGTGTGATGGGAGGTGTCAATCTATATTAGTAGGTGTCAATCTCCGCATCAGTAGTACTGATCACCTCATGTACTGCAGCCTCAATCAATACTCTTTTTCACTTACCGTAAGGCTTGCTGTGAGTGTCCTGCTTCCAAGATACACTAAACCTCCATTTCCAAGTTTCCAGCTCCCAATGATATCCAATGTGTTTTTATAAAGTTTCGCACTCATAATATCCATTTTCCTTTTACAAATTCCAGTTTTTACCTACCATATTCCAAACTGTCTCTATAAGAAACCATCTATTCTCCTTTCAAACTGAGTAAGCCTCTCTCTTGTGTTTAGTTTACCTGGTACCCTTTTTTTCCAAATTCAAGGATATTTTCATCAAAATAGTGGTAAAAAATGACCAAGTGCCAGGATCACTTGAGAAAGAAAACCACAGTACTGAACTATGTCTTACCGTTTCCTCCCTAACTCTGACATAGGCCTGTACACTTTGTGAGACCTGGGACACTTAGCTATCAAGCTGAATATAGTATTACCCTGAAATGAGGTTTGCATGCAAGGATTCTTCACCCAAGAACTCACAGATACACTCTTAATTTGATATAAATCTCTGCTTCTGTGTTAATTTCATTAGAGCCTTAGAGATGCTTTGGATGAGGCTATAATGTACAGCTGATGTACGACTAGAAGTCACGGGATGATGACGGAACCTATAGTGATGTCCCATTTACTGGAGACAGTAATCTAGCAGTCCAGATCACAACCATTAGCACATCATCAGTCTTACAATGACACAAGTTAACTCAATTATAGATATTACCACACTATTTCATCCATAATCAATTCAATTGCTCGAGTGATAATATAATTATGATGAAACGGCACAATTTGTGTCAGAGAACCTGTCGTTCTGTCCAGACACAATACATTGTTACCAGTTACCTGAATAACACCTCGGACAGCTTCATTTATCATATGTGTATGTGGACATGTATGTAGGTAAGTCACCTATAGCCATGTCATGACAGTCTAACAGAACAGGCACAACACCTTTGCCAGGAAACACATATTCCATGTCTGATCAGCTTTAATTTACTCGCACGACCAAAAACAAAAATCACCCTCATTTTTAAAATTGTCAAAATAAAGAAATTATGATTGATATTCAAATTTTTCAAGAATTATAGTAAAACTATGAAAATTTGTCTTTTATTGCTTTCCCAAAAAAATGGTATAAATAGAAAAATTTGCATTAAGCTAACCAAACTTTTGATAGTGAAGTCCCAGGTGTTGCTTTGATGGGCAGACATGAGCAGTACCAGTCCTTCATACATGTACATCACACCTAAATTGTGTATAATGATGTGTCCAACAGACCCAAAACCATGTAGTAGATATCTATGATATTATTAGGAGCAATATGACTTCAATAACTTTAGCTAGCTATATCATGCACTACACAACTGAAAGTAGTCAAGAGCTGAAATTCATTAATCTTTGTCCTTCAAAACAACAAATTAAACAAAATAATTCTATAAATAATATACAACTACATTAGTAATTAAGAGAGTACATTTAATTTTCTATCAGAAGAAATCTTTCATTTTTCTAAGACAGTTTGAGCAGACAATTTGAATCTACATTCTGACACCAATAAATAATCACATAACCTTGACCTAAATTTTTAATGTGAACTCATTACTTATTACTTGTATATAATCACTAATACCAACATTAAAATATGGGAAGGTCAACTGCATATAT